CTATTTACTCTAGAAAAGATAATATTAAGATTCTCTTATAATATTAGAAGATCGAAAGCTTATACGCGAAGACTTCTTAAAATAATTTTATTATTAGATTGTAAATATTAGTATTTTATTTATAGTTACTAATAATTCTAAAATATTATAACTCTTATATTATCTCGATTTTAATATATAATTAAAGTTAATATTTATTATAAAGAATTAGCTAATAAGAAAAGCTATAGAGTTAGAGATAAGATTATTAAAGAATTTACTAGTTAATAATATTAAAGTCTCTCTAATTTTAAATTATTAATTATTTTATAATCGCTAATTATTTATAATAATTTTAATTTTTTTTATTAATATTAATTAGTAATAATATAAGATTCTTATAGACTTTAAGTATATCGAAGATAAATATACTAGCTAGAAACTTATAAGTATTATTAATTTAATTTTTATAGAATATAAGATTTAATTTTATATATTTAGATTTATAACTAATAACGCTAATAATAATAGTATACTCTTTAATAATTTAATTACTTATCTTTCTATTTTCGTAATAAATAACTCGCTTAATATTAAAGAATTTAAATTCTTAGATTATTTATAATATATTCTCTATATAGCGTATATTATTTAATTAATCTTAAAAAAACTTCTAGATAATATTAGAGTTACTTTAATAAATAAGAAATTTTAAAAAAGCTAGAGATAATAAAGAAGATAAGAATTAAGTTTAAGTAAATATAATTAACTTATCGATAACTCTAATAAAGATATAATATTTCTTATTATTATTCTAATTATTATATTATTAATTATATTAAGATTTAAAAATTATTATATATATTAATACTAGCGGTTAATATAAAGAGATCTTTTTTATACTATAAGTTAAACGACTTTAAGATAAAAATATTTTAATATTAAATAAATATTAATCTTTTAAAAAAAGTAATATTATTAGAGACGCTCTTTTAAGCTCTTTTAAAATATTAAGACTCGCTAAGATTTAATTTATTAGATATTAATTTACGCTCTACTTCTTTATATTAATATTATATACTTTTTAAAAAATAGATTAATTATCTACTTAAAATTAAATAATAAAAAATAATTATAAATAAAAATTATAGTCTAGATATTTAAATAATTTTTAATTAATTTCTAATAGATTTAATATTTAATTTAGCTTATTAGATTTTTTTATAAATTTATAAAGTTAATAAGTAAAGAAAAAGAAGCTATAATTTACTATATCTTTAATATCTATAATTATCTATTTAACTATATAGATAAAAAGCTTAGAAAATTAAGAAGAAAGAGAGTTTTTTAGAAAAAAGAATTTTTTAAAGCTTTTAAGATAACTCGCTGAGAAATTAGCTATCTATTATAGTTAAACTTAATTAAATTTAGACTATCTATATAAATAAATTACACTTTTATATTTAAATTATAATAATATAAAGTTAAAGAAATTAAATTAAAAGATTAATATTAGAGAGAAGCTATAGATAAAGATCTATTAGAAAACGCTTAAAAAGATATTTTAAAATTATTAAAATATTAATATAAGTAGTTAATTATAAAGAGCTAAGCGAATAAATTAATTAAATAAAAATACGCTTAATTAAGCGATAAAATTTAAGATTAAGAATTTAAATAATAAGAATAAATATAATTAGCTTTAATAATATAGAAGAAATAATAAGTCTTCTAATTATTATTCTAATTATAATCTTACTTCTAATTTTTATAAAACTTCTTTTAATAATCTAGCGAATCTCTCGATTTTAGAGTAATAAAAGAAATTAAAATCTAAATATATTATAGTCGCTTAAATAACTCGTAATATTCTTTATTCTCTCGCGAGGGCTATTATATATAAGCGGTGTTTTTTAATAACTAAAAGATATTATAATACTTAGAAGTATTATTTATTAGCGATATTTCGTATTTTAATAATAATTCTTTATATAAAATATTAAGAAAATAAGCTTAAATAAATTAGATTTAATCTTAAAGAAGATCTTAGTATATCGAATTAGATTAAAAGAGCTAATAGTACTTTATATAAAAACTTAGTTAATATTTATAATAATTATATTAACGAAGATAATAAGCTTACGAAAAGTACTTCGATAAATCTAATATTTATAAATTTATTAAGATATATTATTAATACTCTATAATATATAAAGAGATAATTAACGGGCTTATAATTAGAGAGAGTTAATAATAATAGATTTAATCTCGAAGAAGAGATCTAAAGTAACTCAAAAAGCGAATCTATCTATAAATAATTAATAAGTTTAATTAAATAGAGATAGACTTAGAGTATTTAAAAGAATCGAGATAAAATAGAATAAAAAAGTAAATTAGAGTTCGAGAGAAGGATAAATATAAAGTTTATTAAGCTTATTTAACGCGTTAAGACGAATATATAAATAGAGATAATTATAGAATTTTATTCTTATAATATTTAAAGATTTAAAATTTAGAATATTCTTTTATATTATAATTTTAAGAAGAAGAATAGAGACGCTTATAGTTTTAATTATTATTCTAATTATTAATATTAATAAAAAGATAAATAGCTATATTAAATTACTCTTTATATTCCCTCTCTCTTAATAAAGAAGAATAAATATATTCTATATATCTTAGTCGAATTATTCTATAAATATAGAAATCTTAGTAAGAATATTTTATATATATATTATTTTATAATATAATCTTATAGATATACTATATCGTTAAATATCCCGCTAAGATCCCGAACTTATATTAGAAAAATGATATGATATTCGACTCTATCTATATTATATTCGAGTACGATATAATATTACTTAATATAAAATATTCTATAAAATATATTATATCTTTCCGGCTAGTATTAATATAGCTTAGAATAAAAGTAGAGAGTAGACTACTTTTATCGAATATATATCCGCGAATAAAAGACTTCTTTCTTTATTTATTATCTTTAAATACATTCAGCTCGGTAAGTAGCCGTACCCCGGCAGTTGGGGAATTGCGTGGAGATCTTCTGCTGATCATTTATTTTGGTGACAAGCGACAACGACATGCCTTCCTCTCTTCCAATAACGTCTGATGTACCTGTAATCTGTATCTATATCTGTCCTTTTCATTGGCAAGGATACTGCTCGGCTAGAGGAAAGATCAAGAAAGAAAAAAGAAAAAGAAAAAAAGGAAAAAAAGGAAAATGGTCGTCATCAGTACCAGTGTCATAAGTCACCGTTAATAGAATTCTAGCGCACTTGTCGTCACATCGCCGATGGATATGTTCTACTGGTTCACACTTGCCATGATGTAGTTGTTTCCTCCCTTATCTTTCGCCAAGTGCATCTCTCTTTACCCAAATAAGCAGGATTCGGCGACAGTACTGTCAAGGCTAGGCCGTCTCTGCAACATCGCCTGTTTGCCCTGCCTCCTCATTGGACCTCAAAGGAGAAGGGTCTCTCGTCGCCATGATGCAAATAGAAGGAGGAAAAGTCACAAGCTCGCCACACAGGACCTGACGTGACTCCGTTGCTTGAATTGAGGCTGCGAGTCTTGACTCTGACTTCTTCTGTCGTTGCAGTAAGCCATGGTTGCAGTAATGTCTTCTTCGAAGTACAGCGCGACCTTCGACATCTCATCTACAGAGAAGCCTTGGCAGACTAGGTACAGCACATTGTACAGAAGCATGAAACGCTAGCGCATTCAGAAGCGGATAAAGCGCTGGGGTTGTTGCTGACATGTAGAGAAGCGCGTGAGGATCGAGTTCAGATCATTCAGGCATGTGAGTGCAGTCTAATTAGACAGGACAAAGCGGCCATCGTGAGGCGCATCCAATTCCTTTCTACTTACGTATATCTTGCACAGCTCAAACAAAAGCTTTAGAGTTTTGACAGCACCTACTCATCTAGCTACTCGGAAGCCATCACATTTTTCTACTCAACCATCACAGTCTTCTCCCTCCAGTCTCACCGTGATACACCTCTCCAGCATCATCTCCCCCAATCGCGTTGACTCCATCACCTCAATCAATAACAACTGGCGATTCGTGTTCCCGCAGTACAATTGGCACATCCACCATCGAGACACGTATGACGAAAGTTGATATTTGATAGACGAGGAAATGCAAGGGTTGGAGGAAGTTATTTTTAGCACGGAAAGTCGCGGCTCGCTTGCCTCGGTGATGGAGGAGTCGGTCAAGGACAAGAGAGGTTTGGATGTTGCACAGCTTGAGTTTCGTACCTACACTGGAGGAGAATCTTACAGGCATGGAATGTGATAGTAAAAGCCCTGCATCAGACATTGGCTGGTCAGTGATCGCCCGTCTATCTGAAATTTCTCTTTGAGTACCAGCACACTCTCTACAGCCGAATTATGATAGCATTACGTCTCCGATCCCTTCCTGGCGGATCTTTTCCCCAGAACCGGGGAGGGTAATGAGGTGGATACGTGCATTGATGCTGGCGCAGTTCTCGACCAGTTCGTCATGGAATATCGCAGTCATATCGTGCATCTGAACTGTCTTCTTCGCGGAAGCTAAATTCATATAGGCGCTCGACATGTGCCGAGGACACTGCTACAACCTCATCTTGACCGAGCGCATGGTCGTAACGAGCGTACCTCCACTAGGAAGTAGATAATCCGACTCCCACTGCCATACCTAATGAGATTCCGAGCCCACAAGGTCGAAGCTGTTGCTATTGATTCCTCAAAATTCTCCGGGAAATCACAGGTCGCCGGCAGATCGTGATACACAAAGCCAGTAATGGTCGTGCCGAAGCTGGAAGTGCACGAATGACGCGAAGAGAAGCAATCAAAGAGCGAAGACACTTGCCAGGGGTCCATTCAAGAGTACGGCGACGCTGATCAGACCGTCGACTCGCACGTTTCCGCTACGAAAAGAAGGCGCCCTGGTGAGACATCCCTGATCCGGCAGCACGGCTCACCGATCAGAGCGGCAGTAAGTCAGTGGGTGGATGAGGGACCTAGGTCAGAAGAACCAGGCACCCTAGACGAGACAGAACGAAGTACTCGTGAATCTCCTCAATGACACTGTTATCCAAAGAACCAGAATAGCCCCCGTCCTCCTCAACGACCGGTCTCACATACGTTGCGGAGCCTACCCCACCACGATGACCGCCATGCCCTGTCTCGCCAGCTCTCCCCGGTCGCCGCAACAGCTCCGAATCCATCCAACCCAAAAAATCCATAGTTGGGTCTGGGTGAGGCTCAACAATGGCCACGAAGCCCACGGCGCCGGGCTCTAATCCCCGTGTCCTCGATTCGAAAGATGGTTGGGCGGGCCGCTGAAGTGTTGATGCTGTTGAAAATCTCACGGTCGGGTCGATCAGTTCATGTAGGACCTGCATGACCCAGCTCCGTGGTTTACGAATCAGAGTTGCAGGATAGATAGAGGCGAATCCAAAAAAGGGACAGTCGGAGCGGTACCGATTTTCACATGAACCGAGGAATTTTTTTTGGGGCTTTTTAACCGTCAAATCGTATCGTCTCTTTCTTACTCGTAGGGGGTTGAAGCCCAAAGTCGACGCAACGATATAATTTTCCAGCGCCTTAGTTTGTAATTTCTTTTTCATTGGACAAGACCACGTTCAAGAGCAGGGGAGCGATGAAAAAGCAATGCTACATTACGGCGATACCAGCCTCTTATCTGAGCCGTGAACGCTCCCAGCAATGCGAGTAACAAATAAATGGTATCAATACGCTCAAAATGCTTGAAAGCAATAGCAGTAGTAACATCAAACGTCCGCTTACTCTCCCCTCCCGCTGCCAGCTGCGCTCCCGTTAGGAGTCTCTTCACCTTCTCCTTCATCATCTACAGCCCCGACATGCGGGTCTGGTATCTGAATATCCAGACACAGGTATCCCGTCCTCCTCAACGGTATTGCCTTCACCAGGTCCCCGTCCTCCTTGTCAAGTCCCTTCCTCCCTTTTGCATTCCACTCTTCGATTAGCAACTCCACATCCCGCGCCCTCTTCTTCACGCCCGCAAAGCCCAAATCCTCGTATAGCCAGCCAGTAGCTACGCCTAATACCGCGTCTACCCAAGCTCTCCATCCGTATGGTGAGAATGCTGCTGTGACCCCTTCATTAACATCCTTGATCAAATTTCGAAAATCCGATTCGCTAACCCAGGGACCGAGGACCTCGGGGTATGTGTGGCTGAATGTGGGCGCTAGGTCGCCCTCTATCATCCAATCCCTCGGTATGCGTATTATACGTGTCGTGCTGCGTAGCGGCGACGTGAGAGGTATGTGCGGGTTTGGGTGTGGGTAGCATGGGTGTAAGGGGCCCCAGGCGAGGTTTGACTTGGTAGAGGATGCCTGGTGGCTGAGACGTGGGGTAGAAACACGGGATTGGTGGGGTGGCCGATGGGGTATGCCATATTCAAGATCTTTAGCTGGGGTTGGTGGGCGTTTTGAAGGGCTGTCCGAGTGGAGACTGTGCTGGGAGGGTGTGGGGGTCATTGCACTCTGGGCGAGGCTCAGCCTTTTGGGCAGCGGTGGCGGTCGAAAGTAGAATGGGTGCTCGCCTCGAAGGGACCTAGCGGTTCTGCTGTGCGGAGTTGGATTTCTGCCAGAGCTTAGGGGTCCGACCTGGAGGCTGCTATGGCGTGGGAGATTGCTACGTCGGAGAGGAGCGGCCTTGAAGATCGACGGTTTGGTTAGGAGGGCCAATTGCGGAGCATGGCCTGCTAGCGACAAAGTTGTGGTGGCATCAGAGGGGACAGCTGTCGGAGGCGAACTGACGACCGCCGAGGAATTTACTGGATTCCACAAGGTGTGGGATTTGGAGGCCCGTAGGAGTCTTCCGGAGAAAATCCAGGAGGCTTGTCGCAAAGCCCTTCGAGGGGATTTGTAGACTGGTTGTCGAGGGTTTTCGGCTACTGGATCCTCGACAAAGAGGCGATTCTGTGTCTCGCCCGTCGCGGTCAGTACAGAAGAGTTGTAGGCGGCATTATGGGTCGCCGTCGTTGCGGATCTTGGTTGATCAATGATGATTGGCTGCATGTCTAGCGCGCTCTAGCTGCATATGCCTCGGTGGAGAAAATGCAGGCCTCTTTCTTCCTTTTAAGAAATTCTTCTAAACAATGAACGCTCTCTCTTCAAATTTAATCATTCTCAAGATACTGAAGCATGCTGGATGGGATGGTTGACTTGCTCCAGGATTGTTTGCTTGATTTGAACCATTATTTGAACGTCATCATTTCAGGAAAATGAGACTCATCAACGGAAATGTCCGCCATCCTCAGCCACTCCACGCAGGAACCCATGGTAGAGTCAAATCAAGGAAGTATCACTCGTCTGGCCACTGTCAGCTGCCAGTCCATTTACCAGTGCTTCGAATATGTATACCGGCGTCTGTTTCCGATCTAAAGTACGTGTATGGAGCAGCGTTAGGCCCTGTCATGATCAAAGAGCATGGAGATATCTGGCTTTACGTTGATTGTGCATCGCTATCTGGCACTTCATGCCAAAAGATTTTATTCCCATTATTGAGAATTCACTGCTACGGTCTCACCGCCAACAGAATCACCATCCAGCGCACATAGTTGCTGCAATTTCTTGGCATGCTTACCCATACATCGTCCAATTTTCACGATGCCTCAAATTCGACAGACATTCTTCTAGCATAACTCAAGAGGAGCAAAACAAGATGCTAATGATATTGTCCATATTTTTGTACCATCTCTATTTTTCGCTGACTTGATCGCTGTGACATTCACAGACTTTACCAACTTCGAAGTCGAAAACGTGCACTCCATCAAGGCCTGATTTAGGACGGTCCCTGCATAGGTGCATTTTCCATTCGTCTTCATGCCATCCAACTGCACGGTACAAGGCTCCAAGACCCTAAGTGAAGCCTGAGATTGAACGGCGCAACTAAGATAAGTAGAGTCCAGATCGATATGATCGACTTTGGATGCAGGTATGGCTGGCTATGATCATAGCAACAGTACTTGCCAGTAAGTCGGTTTCGTTTGGAGCTGTTCTTTCGAATCAACCCTTGCCATGGACTGGGAATACCGCACCCCATGTGAAAAGGATATTCTCAATCGAGAAAGCTCATGCACAGAGACGCAAGATAGGGCAGGCGAACGCGGCACAGAGAAGCTCGGCCAATGTATAGACTAAAAAGAAAAAAGCATCCCAGTCTTTGCCAGGTCAGATAGACAATTAAAGGGTTGATGTAAGAAGCAGACCTGCTCATGATCGTGGGTAATTCTAACCTGGCCGTGAGCATCCGACACACCTTCAGTATCCTGGAGATTTATTGTTGCTCACGCACCACACTCGGGAGTACAGGCGCTTTATATGTGCAATGCCATGTGTAGCATGAAAAGGAGAACGAACCTGACGCGATAGTCAATCCTCAGTCTTCGTGGTGTGATGTGTTCATGAATTCTGGGCATTGAAGTCTCGAATGTGCCTAGGAATTGGGGAATCATTCGACAGTGACAACTGATTTTGGCTCCTGCATTGCTGGATGACGATGCCTTAAGAGATCTCGAAGACTATGTACACTCAGTAGCAACATCTTCTTTCTCCCCGCATCTCCTTCCTTCCTCTGGGTGTACTCTCCCAGAGCTAGTTCTCCACCGCTAACACCCCCACCCGAATTCCCTCAGCCCATTATGATAACGCACGTGACCTTCATGTACATGGCTTGAAAGTAAGCTTATTCCCATTCCTCGTGAAGTTCCCCGCAAACGCCCAATTCAAATAGCCCCCGTCCCCCTTGAGCGTGAAATCCCCAGAATCGAAGATATAGCAGTCATAGCTGAGAGTCTGTGTGGGTGTTTTGCAGACGAGTTGCTGGTATTTGGTACCTTGGAGGTTCTGGTCGTGAGGCGGAAAGACGATGATGACATTCTTCTTTGGGTTCGCGGCGGTCACTGTTCCGATGTTTTGTTGCGTCCAGCCGTTGCGGAAGTTCTGGTCGTTGGCGTTGCCGCTGACAAGGCCGCTGACGCCGCTGATCAGGCCGCTGACGGCGCCAGAGATGAGGCTGGCCTTTACTATAAGAGGTGAAGTTGAAGCTGGTGGGTGGTTCAATATGAGTGGGAGACAAAGGTTGAGTAGATTTAATTGCTTTGCACCGGCAGTACCAGATTGGCTAGACAAGGGAGAGTATTGGAGGGTATATAACAGAGACGGGCCAACCCCAGGACAGCAAACACAGCCCTGCCGCTATAATTGAACTCCAAGGCTGAGATCAATATGCAAAAAAGCAAACGCGACAGTCCCAGAGTCTAGCCGACTTCGAGGCTCCACACCAGGCGAGCTTGCATGATTCTTGATAGTACTCAGCCTCGCTCGCCTCAGCCAAAAAGCAGTAGTTGGCCGGAGCTGAAAGGTTGGGTTTTGGGCCGGCTCGCAGATATGTTATAAGGTACAGTTGTAAAGCAGCTGTCCAAGACTAGAGCTTTGAATCTGGGCTCGCTAAGAAGCCAAAATTTGACTTGCGCTGAATCGATCCCGCTAAGACAATAGCATAAGGTGACAACAGAAAGAGCTCAGGAATATGATAAGAAAGAATTCTTTTCTGGCATCTTTGGTGCATCGCATTGTGAACAAGCGAATGCTGACTCACGTATACACCCGATTTAAGCGAGTCTAAGCGGTGCAAAGCTTGAGTATTTACACAGTCCGCCAATATCAACTTACGAGTAGCTAGCTGTGTTGGTGCGCCACTGTAAAAATGCTTCATCCACCAGAGAGTCAGTGAAAGGGGCTGGGAAGACTGAATATAATTTCCCTCCCAAAGGGCCCCAAAATCTGCAGTCTTCTTCCAGCATCCAAACAAAGCGGATTCCCCACACAATACCTACACTCAGTCTCCCAAAGGTTCACCTGCACAGTATGAGTAACCAATTCAATCAACGGGGCCAGGGAGCCGGAGGTTACGGTCAGAGCCCGTACGGCGGCGGACAACCACAGCAGCAGCAGCAGCAGCAGCAGCAACAACAACAATAATAACAGAGACCAGGAGCCGGTAGCGTTCAAAACACACCAGACGCGGCCAGTCAAGATGGTAAAGGAGAAGGGTACACGACCCCGACGAGGAAATCTAGACCCAAACACCCCGAGCCCACAACAATCGAAAAAGCAACCAGGGCAGCCCCAAAGGCCTGGCCAAGGTCAAGCTCAGCCAAACGGCACCGCTGGCCAAGTCACTAAGAAGCCTGACGGAGCAGCTGGCGCGAAAAAGAAGGGAGCTGTGGCCCCACAGCATGCGCACTCGAGATTCGCCCAGGACCCACACCATCACGCGACAATGCAGCAATTCGCAAACATCGCAAGTAAGTCTGTCTTTGGTGTGATCTTGCAAAGATAGTGTTGTTCATATATGTTCTTTCTAGAGGCGGGTATGAACCATGACCACATTCAGAGCTTGGTCCATGTTGGGACCCGGGCCTTGGCGATGTTGGCGCACAGTTCAGGGATGACGGCTGGACACGAGGAGGAGGATGAAGAGGAGGAGAAGCAGTAGAGTAAGGACACCGGTTGATGGAGTGAGGTACTGAATGTCTGTGGATCTGTTACATAAGCTTGCTTTCCTGTCAGGATTTTTGCTAGGTGGTGCGCCCATTTGGTTTACCATAGGCTCGCAGACGGTTGAAAAATGTACAAATAATGCAATGAAGCTAGGTTACCTTGCATGCTGTTCGATGATCAATGCGAGATGAACACAGATGTGGTGCCAGAAAGGTGGCAGTCAACATATTACAAGCCCCTGAAATATCGACATTCAAGACCGAAAGAAAAGATTCTTCAGTTTCCAACGCTCCTAATGAGACACATATAGAGCTTGCGAAGAAAGCATTGGTCCAGCTTTATGTCTCAATTGTGGTATGTGAAAATGCCGCAGCCCAGGAAATCGAACTTTTCTAACCGCTTGAAGCACCGTCACCACTGACTCGTATTTCCCAAGCTCAATTGCTAGGCAAGTGGTAATTTAGATATGGGCACCGGTCATCTTTTCTCGGCATGGCCTGGTCTTGGAGAGGAGCGATTTATACGGGAAGGAAAAGCTTACCGTATCTTACGAGTACGGTAACGTATTAAAATTCCGCAGCATTACACAGGGTCTCGAGTGAATAGTTTTGACTCACAATGAGCTCTTATGACTGTTCAAGGCTCGCTTTCGAAACATTTAAAAGTACATGCGCTCGCTCCGTGGACCTTCACGCCTTCTCAGTGCATGCAAAGTCTTTCCCAAATTCGACTCATCTACCTCTAGAACATTCTCTGCAACGGTTGCCAATCTAAGGTATCAGGTGCGGAGAATTGAGCCCGTCATGGCCACCACTACTACGAAGACTGGCCAGCCGTTCGATCGTTCACAGCTGGATTCCCTGCTTCGACGTCGACTTTTCTTCACCCCAGCGTTCGAGGTCTATGGTGGTATTTCTGGTCTTTACGACTATGGCCCGCCAGGCTGTGCATTGCAAGCAAACATCGTTGACACATGGCGAAAACATTTCGTGCTGGAGGAGGACATGCTTGAAGTCGATTGCACAATGCTAACGCCCCATGAGGTGCTGAAAACGAGCGGCCACGTGGACAAGTTCGCAGACTGGATGTGCAAGGATCCCAAGACTGGTGAAATATTTCGAGCGGATCACTTGGTTGAGGAGGTGCTTGAGTCAAGACTGAAGGGTGACAAGGAAGCTCGCGGCCAGAAAGTTGAAGTCGATGAAGAGAAGGAAGCCAAGAAGAAGAGGAAAACCAAAGATACCAAGGCTATAAAGCTAGACGACGCTGTGATCCAGGAGTATGAAGAGGTACTGGCCAAGATAGACAACTATGGTGGTGATGAGCTTGGACTTCTCATCACCAAATACAATATCAAGAATCCTACAACCGGTGGTGATGTGCTACCTCCAGTGGCCTTCAACCTAATGTTTCAAACCTCAATCGGCCCTAGCAGCAACCTTGCCGGCTACCTCAGACCGGAGACGGCTCAGGGCCAATTCCTCACTTTCCAGAAATTGCTCGAATTCAACCAGCAATCCATGCCTTTTGCTTCTGCCTGCATTGGCAAGTCCTTCCGTAACGAAATATCGCCAAGAGCCGGTCTACTTCGAGTCAGAGAATTCTTGATGGCAGAAATAGAACATTATGTGGACCCGGAGGGTGGCAAAAAGCACCCACGGTTTTCTGAAGTCAAAACGGTTACCGTTGGTCTCTTGGATCGCAAGGTGCAATTATCAGGCCGCACAAATGTTACCCAAATGACGATTGGCGAAGCTGTTGCTTCAGGCACAGTGGATAGTGAGACCTTGGGCTATTTTATTGCGAGAATATATCAGTTTCTGGTGCGAATCGGTGTCGACGCAAAGAAGATGCGTTTCAGACAGCACATGGCCAACGAAATGGCACATTATGCCGCTGACTGTTGGGATGCGGAGATACTAACAAGCTACGGCTGGATTGAGTGTGTGGGCTGCGCTGATCGAAGTGCCTACGATCTTACGGTCCATTCGAAAAAGACGGGTGCGCCTCTATGTGTCAGGGAGACACGAAATGAGCCATTACATATCGAAGAATGGCAAGTAGACTTGGACAAAAAGAAATTTGGCCCCAAATTTAAGAAGGATGGCAAGACCGTCGAAGCTGCGGTTGATGCATTGACCCAAGATATGCGCGAGAAATTGTCAATCGACCTTGCAAAGACTGGCAAAATCGAGGTTAATGTCCCTGGTGTTGGCGACGGTAATGTCGAAATCGACCAAGATCTAGTCAAGATCGAGAAGCGTACTAGGGTAGAGCACACTCGCGAATATACGCCAAACGTCATCGAACCGGCGTTTGGTATTGGCAGAATACTCTACAGTTTGCTGGAGCACGTTTATTGGTCTAGAGAAGGCAACGAAGAGAGAGGCGTATGTTGTGTTCCCCCCTATACACACGAACTAAAACCTAACAATTCTTATAGGTGCTCTCTTTACCGCCACCGATTGCACCCACAAAAGTTCTTCTGGTCCCATTGTCCGGTCACCAAGATTTCAAGCCATTGGTGGACCGCCTAGGCCAGAAGCTGCGTCGGCTTGGCATTTCCAACCGTGTCGACGACTCTTCGGCAAGTATCGGCAAACGCTATTCGAGAAACGACGAGCTTGGTACACCTCTTGGTATCACAGTAGACTTCCAGTCAGTCAAGGATAGTACATTTACCCTTCGAGATCGTGATAGTACGAAACAAGTGCGATCGGATGAGGACACGATATGTGCAGCAATCCGAAGCCTTGTGGATGGCCAGAAGACGTGGGCGGATGTGCAGGAGGAATTGCCAGAGTTCACACAGCAAGAGACCGACTGATTCAACCGCTGCTATGGATGGGCCGGAACGCAGCGCTGTGCTGTACTGCATTGCGGTTATATACCCCTGCATTGCGATCCTGAGGGGAGCCGAATCGTTGGGCGGCTAGCCACGACAATCGTCCGCAAGAGTACGTGATGTGGAACGAAGGAAGAGGAAACATCTGCTCCAGAGAAAGCCATTGGCTATCGTCACTCTAACAGCACACTATGTTTGAGGAGATGGATGAAACCCTTGTTCCTGACCCGAGACTCTGGTTCAGCCGTTCAATCTAGCCTAAGCGACGAGCGCGCTTAGGCGATGTGTCAAATATTGTTGTAGAATGCTCTCCATCCTACTATTGATCCGAGATTCCGAGGTGTCTTTTCTTTGGTTTACACCACCTCATCACTATCTCTGGTTGTTGTAGAGAAACCGCGTCACAGCGAGAGATTCGAAGTATGCCTTACGATCAAAATTCAACCACTGAAATTGGTGGACCAAGCCAAGGCGAGGGATTACCTTAGGTAGGCCAGGCCTTCGTTTGGCCGTTACTGAAGCTACTGCAGGCCATGCCACCAGCGTACATGCAGTAGCTGTAGATCCAGAATCGCCTCGAAGAAAACCTTCTCCAAAGTTACCCGAGGACGTCCCGTTACATCGTTCGAAAAAGAGATGCTCTCATCTTTCATAGGTCAGCCTTTGTCCCTGTACTCACACTCTCCTGTCTCATCTCCTTCTCTCATTGGTGATTTGTCCCTTCCTAGTTTGTTATATTTTTGCATGCATCCTTCATAGACCATACATTCGCTTATCCGTTCATTGTCTATAATGCTCCTCTGTGCAGCCCCGGGTCGCTACCATTAAGTGCGTTATCTCTGTCCCTTTCCTTTTTCTAAATCCGAAAAGTTTCGAGGCTGCATTGAGGTCGACTCCACTACTTATGGATCAACATATAGAGGTAGATGACCAAGAAACGGCGTCGAAAGATGACGAGCCTACGGATGAAGGCATCCCCAGAACTTCATCTGAGCCAGAACATTCCGAGGTGTCCAAGTGAGCTTTTTTCTCCAATAGTCTTGTGTTGTTTTACATGTTCTAATTTGTTCAGGCATTCCACCAGATCTATCACCCGTAGCCTTGTCGAGGAACACTTTGAGAACGGCAGACGCTATTGCAGCGAGGATTATTACATGCCCAATGACGAACCCGAACAGACTCGCCTTGCCATCGCCCATCAAGCCTACATGCCCGCCCTTGACGACCAATTGACCTGGGGCCTCATCCCACGGTCTGCAAAACGGATCCTCGACATCGGTACCGGAACCGGAGACTGGGCAACAGCCATTGCGGAGCGCTTCCCAAATGCCGAGATCATTGCTACAGACATCACGAATGCCTTTCAACCTCCCAGCGCCCCTCTCAACGTCTACTTCGAGCTCGACGACGCGCAAAACGAATGGGCCTATAATGAGCCTTTCGACTTCATACACATGCGCAATCTATCTGGCGCTTTTGCGAACTGGGGCGCAATTTATGCTGAAGTATCTAAGAATCTTAAGCCAGGCGGCTCGTTCGAGATCGCCGATCCCGGTCCCATACAATATAAAAGGGAGACCTCAAACTCGAATACCAGCATCTTCAATGGTGCTATTCGATCGGCGGCTGACATGTCTGGAAGGCCACTCGATCTGGATCACTTGAAGAAGCCCATGTTTGACAACGCTGGTCTCAGTGTGGCAAAGACCAGGGTATTCGAAATTCCGCTGGGTACATATGATCCGGATCCGCGAAAAAAGCTGACTGGGAAGATGGCAATGATAGCGGTATTAGAGGGTTTGGAGGCTGTGAGTCTGCGACTACTGACGAAGCATCTGGGGTGGAAAGAAGAGGATGTGAGGGGGCTTTGTCGAAAGGTACAAGAGGAGGTAATGAGACCGGATGCGCGTGCTTTCATCCGTGTCCAATTTGTGATAGCGAGGAAGCTGATGTGATGATGATCTAACGCGGGAGACGGACTTGCTGTTGAATGATGATATGCGATCACATCAACATTTGATCAGACATGGTGTACTATGACCGGTCTTCTTTGTATCTAGCTCTCCACTTCTGTACCATTGTCTTGGCCGTCCGGTAGGCTTTATGGGTCAATGAAAAGGACAGAATTCCGAGAAGACGGTGCCGAGTACCTGACCTCGATGTTGACCATGTGGAGGAAGAATTTCAATGTAGATCATGTCTGGTGTTGGTCTAGATGATACCTGTGTAGAAGTTGGCCTAAGATCTGCGACTCTCGGCCTGGTAACCTGGCTTCTGCAAAAAGCACCCAATAAAGAAGATCTTCCCCAAATCTTGCAGATATATCCTTTAAATCCTTCGCTTTCTTCACCCTTTGCCTCTCTATCTATCTGATGGCTCCCCCTCCGTTACCCTGCGCTAAGATCACCTTGACTTACCCCCTCTATGCGGCCGACTTCGACCCGCAGAACAGCGATTTTCTGCTCGTTGGCGGAGGTGGAGGAGAAGGACGGAGCGGAGTGGGGAACAAAATAGTGGGTAAGCTATTGGTGTACAAGGACTGTGCTTACGTTAGTCTCGATAGACGCTGCTCAATACCTCTCAAAAAACAGAGTTGTCAGAAATCGTCGACATCGACCTTTCGCGCGACGAAGACTCGGTCACATCCTTATCCTACGCGCAATCTACGGAGCAGTGGGCGACAGCTTTTGCAGGCATCAATTCCTCGATTGCCGAGCAGCAGAGAGGTAAGAACGAGCATCTGAGATCTTTCTTGCTAGAATATCCCCCTCGGCGAAAGACGGGCGGAGATGGAGAAGACTCGAAGAAAGGAAAGCCTACAGCATACCAAGGGGAGACCAAGGCGTTGGGAAAGGCCTCGTTGTTTGCACCGAGTAATTCCAAGACGAAGGAAACGTTCCAAAGGGTGCTGAGGCTGTCGAAAAAGAAGAAGGACAACGGTCCTAGATTAGGAGCAGTGGCTACTGGGCTGGCGCCAGTGGGGGAGATCGTGTTGTTCGCTGCGGACACCAGCAGACCAGGATCTAGTGACATCAGGGGCCGGATCAAGCTTGAAGAGAAGCAAGAAGCTGCAGATGTGGACATCATTGGCCTTGAACGAGACGACGGCCAACAGGAGGGCAAATTCCGAGTCGCCTACTGCACAGACTACGAGGTCTACGTCACAGAGGTGGACTACAGCAAGAAAGACAATGGTACACAACAGAGCATTCAGAATATACATGGTACTCCTCACCCAGACGCCTTCGCTTCGAACAAGGCTCGGCCCAAGTTCCGCTGCCTGCGCTTCCTCACTCCTACTCTCCTACTTCTCCTCCAGAACAGGATCAACAGCAAAGGCGCGGAGCTGCTCTTGCTCGAAATCTCCGGCGTGATCATACTCCGCAAAAGCCTTCAGAAAAAGATCAAATCTGCCACGGCCATGTCCGTCGCTCTCCTTCCCACTGCTTCCTACTCACAAATAGATCAACACGCCATTGCCATTGCTGGCGCCGACACCTCCATTACTCTCTTGACCGTCGACCGTTTCACATCCTCGCCCTACGGCAAGGTCAAATTTCGCCCTCACAGCTTCCTTCCCTCTGTCCACCCAACCTCTATCACCTCGCTCGCTTTCTCCACGTTCAACCCGCCAGGAACACCTTGGAATTCTACACCACCTCAATACCTTAAGCTCGCCTCTACATCTATCGCAAATACCTGCGTCGTGCACACCCTACCCTTGACGCCGCATCCAAGTCCACCTCCCAAAGATCAGCCAGCGCACTATCTCCTCAAGGCCCCTGTCCGCAGTAGTGTCGCCCAGAACACCATCTCTACCTTTGTCGCCCTCTTAGCCATCGCCATTGGGGCTTTCTTCCTACAAGCGTTCACAGAGATAAGAGGTGGCACACCAGAGTACTTGGGCGCAAAAGGATGGCTCAGCAAGCCAATCCACTCGTGGATTGCCAGACCATACATGTTTGAGGACGGCTACGTAAGTGCTGCAAGCTCGCACGCCAAAGTTACCTCGGAGGCTGTAAAGACGTCGCTGAGTGCAGCTTCGGAAGCCGTACAGACACCATTACACGTGGTCGAGAGCGCAGCGGCAAAGGTGCAGAAGAAGCTGGGTCTACGAGACCTTCTCAAGAGAAGGGATTTGGGCGGTGATACCTCGGACAATGGAAACGACGGAACAAATATCATCGTCAAGCATTCACCTGCTGAAGGAGGAGAGACTGCTTTGTCGGCGGAGCTAAGGAAATCGAATGAGGTGATTGAGGGCGAGCATGAGGCGAAGAGGTGGGAGGAATTGAAGGAGCATGAGAAGGAGACTTGGAAGAAGAGATTGGTCGATGCTGGGCAGTGGACTGCTGCCGAGGGAGACGCTGTGTTGCAAGGTGTTCTGTTTTCCGGGCTGGCGAACGCGGTGGGTGGGATCGTTGGCAATGCATGATCATGCTAGAGCCCCAGCTCTCATAGCTGAGTGCGATCGGTACATAGACTATCCTCCTCTCGGTTCAACTCAGCTCCCATTACATGCCAGTTTCGCCGCGGTCGATTCGCCGATCGAGTTTGCTTTGGCCCCTAATCCCCCGCAGACTATGACACGGCTACGGACCCGTCACCGAAGATAACGTTGACTTCGTATGGGGAGCACAACTATCAAAACCCTGCAGCGAAGATCCATCCTACACGGGCAACGTGGCACACGCCAAGAGTGCACAATAAGTAAAAAACACGAAACGTATGGGTAGAATGATGAGTAGGAATTTTGTCTGTCTGCCTGTCTGTCTGTCTGTCTATGCTCAATCCCAAGTTTAAAAAAAAGGATGAAAATCGGTCCAGAATGCGAAAAACCATGTCTCAGTCTCAAACGAGACGGGGTATATCCTCCTCTTCGCTTTCCGAGTTTGCCAACATCCTATGCATGCACGCGTTGAACCCATCCCCTTCCTCTCTGCTCCTTCTCGATAATCAATCCTTCGGCGCTGCTGAAGAACGAACCGCCCGCAGTTCCCTCGTCGCCTCACTCCCCAGGCACCGCCGGCAGTGGGGGCCCGAATTCCATCTTGTGCACATTGCCCCTCTTCTGCTGGCCGGAACCCCTGCGCAGGCCGACTTCGCCATCGCCGAGCAGGTGCGCCCAGCGCTTGCCGATGCTGTCCTTTTCCTTGCCGAGCCGCCTGGCGCACTCGTCCCAGTCGCTCTGGCGCAGGCGCAGTTTGTTGAGGATGAGCGCGACGAGCGCGCTGTCGTCGCCCGTGGACCACTCGGGGTCGTTGTCGCCTCGGCATGCGCGCGCGGGTGGAGGCTTCGCGTCGGGCGTGTGCGGTGGTGTGGCGACGGGTTTCAGTGCGTCGAAGTCCTCGCGCTCGAGGCCGAGAGGGAGGGTGGGCGGACATGTGCGCTGGCGCTTCGGTGTGGAGGGTCTGGCACGCTCGACGTTTTCCTGGTCGCGCGCGGGACCGTCATCGTCGTCGCTGAAGGAGCGGCGACGCTTGAGATTGCTGCGCGGTGGCGTGCGTGGTTGCGGTTTTGTGATCTTGGCGTCTTGCATTGTATGCGACTTGGCCTTTTTCGGTTGCGCGCGAGGTCCGGATGTGAGTACGATGGGGCTGCCGAGGTGTGGTGGTGCACGGATGATCTTTGGACTCGAAGACAGCGCTGTGGGAAGGTTGCTAGCGAGGAGTGATTGCAGGGCGCGACATGTGCTGTACATGTTGGAGCTGGGCGACTGGCAAGTCGATGAGGTTGGTGACAGCATCGTTGTCGCTGGTGTGTAGGAAGCTGTGCGCGGATGCTTACGAGGTGCGCAATCGAGCGATGAGGGGAGAAGCATGTTTTAGAGTCGTCTGGGCGAGTGTGCGCGGTTGCTGTCTCAGAAGCGGTGTAAGGCTGGGTTTGCGCCGGATGCAATGGAAGGAGCAAATTGTGTGATGGACGGTCAAATATGGCAAGAATAGGATCGCAGAGGTAGTACAAAGCAAGTTTTGTAATTCGCAAGGCTGTTGCGACGCGTTGTTTGATGAAGGATGGATGGTGGTGAAGGAGGTCACAGTTCTAAGTCGTTTGGGACGATGAAAGAAGGGAATATGAAGTAATGCGCTAGAGTGCGCTAGTGCCACTAGGGCAGTTCGACGAGATATAGGTTAGTCCTCGGCCGCCTTCCCCAGCATAGATGCACCAATTGGATATCGATCCGCTCGTCGGGTACTGATGAAGCAAGCTACAGTATCGGGCTTTTTGGACATGCTAAGTTTGGAGAAGAGTCATAGATTTTGAGACCCTGGTCTGACATTGGGTCACACAGATCTGGGGGCGTTGGAGAGTGGCATTTCTCTTTCAGGGGAGCTGTCGTTTAGCATTGACGCTTTGATGATATTATTATTATTGTTTCTTCAGCTCAGCTCTGGTCATGAGAACAATGAGAACAATGAGGCGAAGTTTCATGCTCATAGCCGTTCCGTCTCAGGAGGTCAGCTGTCACGTCTGTGCTGGGTTACGAGCGGCCTCAGCGTTCTTGTCCCCTAGGGATGTAATTTGCTTCTTGGTCCTACTGCAGCTTTCGACTCCACCGGCGACTACTTTCCGTCCATGTAGAGGACATTGAAAAGTACGGTGCGTGATGTCCCATGTCAGCATATGGACAACGATGATACCTAGCATCGGGAGGGCGGCAATGCTATTTCAGGTGCGAAATCAATCAAAGCAAACATGTAATGACGCATGTGACCCACTGGATGGAGTGAGTAGCCGCCGATGGCCCTCCATGATCACGATCCGGAGAGAAAGTTCGGGGAGTAGAGGGATAGGTTCTGAGGGAGACGCGTACGCTTTTAGCGCGTCAGTCTCGCGATCCCTGTCTTGGCAGGCTTGGCAATCTTCCAGCGAAGTACGCGGAATCACTTGACAGCTGCACTAAACCCCCACCAGCCCCACATCCTCCTCAAGAGCAGTTCAGTAACGAACTCGAATGTGATTCAATGACAGTCCTAGTCCTAGAATGTCGAACAGCAAAGGCCCACAAACGTCAATGGCAAGTAATAAGCCATGAGCTATCGAGAACATTACTGTGGCTCGGACGGTATACCTATGCGGGAAGCCTGGAGGAGCTCATCGAACTCGAAAAGACAATTGGAGAGGAGAGGTAGAGAACGATAGCTAGCTGTTGTGTGACATTTCCACTTCAATCTTCCCCAGTATCTTCATGTACTCTACTCTTTCATGCTCGTCTGTTCATTAATGTGCTCTTTCAGTTTTGATGTAGAAGACGGGGTACTAGTACGTCCATTTTCCGCAGAATCACGCGGTTCCGAGTGCCCGGTAGAGGCGACTGGCGAAGCATCCTTTCGATGGGTCCATTTCCTTAAGTTGGCTTCACAATTGCCCATTTCCCTATATCATAGGACAATGGAGATCTCCTATCCGTTTTATCTTGCAATCACAATTTGTCTACCGGCTCTTGCCTTCGCAGCTCTACCTCCAGCAGCCCCACTTGCAGGCGGGATCTTTAGGGAATCGCGCAATTCAACACTCCCGTTCAACTTGCCAGCACCACCGGTGAACTTCCATCCTTCACTACTGTAAGCAAGATCGCCCATACCGCCCCTTCAGAGCAATGATTAACCGCACCCAGCAATGTGAGCGACCCTTGGGACATGCGTGTTCACGGTACACCCATAACGCTCGAGTGGTACGGCTACCGAGATCCACTCCCCGTATCTGAGACCCACCGTTGTGTAATGAAGGCAGTAGATGAAGTAGCACAGCGCGCGTGGGCGGGTTACTGGGCCACCCCAATGGGACAACTCCCATACTCCTACTCGGATGGCAATGTGAATTTGTGGCTGAGAGTCGAGCCTGGTGAGACCTTACTCTGGGATTCTTGGTCCGAGGTGCTACCCCTCTTTCCACAGTATTTGGAAGCAAATGAGTGGAGGGGAGCACAGTTCGTTATTTTGTGGGATGAGCCGGGCGAGGCTAAGGTTGTTGCTTTTGGCCATCTGTTGGCGGAGTGACATCTAGGAGCTTTTCCGCGCGACCGATATGAATTTTGATCTGGAAAGGGAAGCCACATACAAGCTGCTCGAAGGCTATGCGGAGTCCACTCCCCGGCTCTAAGCACTCTACAACAGACAGTGAGGGGGAAACGTTTTTGTCCTCCCCGCGGCCATCCAGTCGCAGCCACCGACAACCTTTCTGCACAAGTACGGGAACCTGCTCACTCGCCCAACCATCATTGCACACATAGAAGCCATGCGCTTACGGCGAATCTGGAGTGTCGAGTCGGAACCGAATTTGACCAACTACTTTAGCCGCGCCAATTAAGCAAGAATACAAAGGACTCTGAGCCGAAATTAGATACCCTCAGCTTCCACATCCTGAAACTCATGTGTCCATGCACCACTTCGGCGTGAAGAATCCAAACTGACAGCGGTGAGGCTGAGTGCGTCGCAAGTAAAGGGCGCAACGGTGCCGAATCCTCCGACCTTTTCGCGAAATCGCCCAAAGCTAAACACTCAACCCGATGGTTGGTGGCCTCTGTCGTACTCAACCATCGCGCTGCATTTCCGAAACCCATTGGAAATCCTTTAAGGTGCGGGTGGTGCAAGGTGGTGCGGATAACGTCTGGGCGTTTACCTCTCCGGCTGTCTGAACAGCTCCCTCTCCTATTGCGAAGGGGATGTGATTTCCTTGCAGAAGTTACAAGTGTATCGGAATCCTGTCAAGGACTTTGAAGCCGAGGTAGAGCACAAGGATGATCAAGAAGTCACCGTCTAGGGGCGTCTACGTACAGCCAGCCGCTCTAGTCAATGGCGGCAGCCAATGTCATAAAAGCTTAAGCGAGGGAGAAAATGGGAGCTGAGTGTATATATTTTGCCATCTTGTCCAGTTTTACCCACTGAGATTAATCTCGAAGGAAATCACTTTCAATACGTCTCACCAAGTAAGGAAATCGAAGATGTCTCCCGCCCTCTCGAGCGCCTCCCAGAGACTCCCCGCCGCCGATCAGACGGAGCAGGTGAAAGAGACCGGGAACTTTCCCTCGAATTGCAATACCCAAACCTCTCCATCATCTCAAAATACTGCTCCGTACCCGAATCCTCTTCTTCGGGCTCCCCATCCTCCCCTTCAAACCCGCCGCCCGCAGGCATCATATGATCAAAAGCCCACTCCGCCATAGGCCACTCCTCCGCCTTCCGCAGCAAATCAGAGCCCGGCGGAAACTTGTGCTCGATGCAATCACTGACAAAGTTCAAGAGCTGGCTCGCATTCTTCCGCTTATTTTCGTCCGCCTCGAGCGCAATCAACATCACACAGATCAACTCCTCGCTGTATTCCTCGACGAATTGCATTATCGGCTGTCGCGCCTCTGGCGCTGCCGCCCATGCGTCCATCACGCTCTCGGTGTTGGAAGCTCCGTCAGGCAGCTGGGCGATGGGCGGCTTGAAATGGATCAGGAAATGGATGACGGCGCCGAGGGAGTAAACGTCGCCCCTGGGGGAGTGTCTCGGGAGCTCAGGGGCTTGCCAGAGTGATGTCCCGGCGGGATCGTAGGTGGCGAAGGCCAGAGTCGCGTGGCCGAAGTCTGCGAGGACGACGTCTGGGTAGTCGGAGTCGGGTGTGGGACGGAGGAAGATGTTGCTGGGTTTGATGTCACGATGGCAAACTCCTCGCCGATCGGGATCGCTGCATCTGGGGTCGAAGCCTCGGTGCAGGAACTCGAGGGCTGAGGCCAACTGCTGATAAGCTTGCCAGATGAAGAGTTCCGGTAACAGCACGCCCTGTTTCTGGTATTGGTCGACCAGCTGATGCAAGTCGCCTCCAGAGCAGTACTCAAGGTAGTAGTACGGGCGCCTTCTACTTGGTCCGACTCGAAGGCTTGGTACGGCTCGAAGGCCTGGAGACGAATGATGTTGTCGTGGCGTTCTGCCAAGATGTCCTGGAGTATGGCAGCCTCTATTGGTTTGCCGTAGGCTGACCTAGCATATTTGACTGTTTTGCGGACAATGAGTCGGCGTGCACTTCGGCTTCTCATGAGGTGAATGACGCCTTCGCCGTCTTTGCCGATTTGCTTGATGAGTTCATAGTCGCCGCCTTTGGAATCAGAATGGTCGTCGACGTTGCTTTCAACTGCTGTATGAACTGAGAGATCTACCAATGTGGACTGGGTCGGAGTCGAAAGCGCAAGACGCATTCCTGAGATCGATCTACCGCGTCTTTGAAGCAGCAAGCAGGGGGATTCGCGTTCAGGGGCTGCCGCTTCGGTACTCTCATACTCGACGGGTTTCTGTGTACCGCTTTCGGCTTCGTCTTCTCCGGTACTCTGATATTCAATGATATTCTGTGGATGACAGACATGAAGACCATCGATAGAGACGACATAGGAGAAGCAGTCTTTTCGCGGCTGAGAAAGTGGAGTCTGGCACTCCGGGCGACCACAGGAACACCCAAGAGAGAACATTGTCCTTTGCGATCTGTTGTATGGTCTCGGGCTGAAAACACTGGGATGGAGGTCTGGTGAAGTATACATAGTATTTGAAGGCAGACAGTCGAGTGGAAGGCCTCTGTCGGTTGCTGATAGAAGGAGGGGGAGGTAACATGATCTTGGAAAAGAAGTATAGAAGTGTTGAAGGAGGCCAGACAATGAGACAATGTATCAATGGGGACTTATTGACAAAGGAATTTAAGACAATGGACATTATCTTTCATGAATGAATACATGAGACGATGCGTCGCACCATCAACAAAGGAACAGAACAAAAGAACCCTACAATGGTGTGCTCCAGCTGCGGAAGGCCACAAGGCGTAAGTCATTGAATCGAGCATTGCAGTATCGGATCTTGTTGCCGTCAGATACTTGAAATGGAATGTTAAGGCCCGCACTTTTGTGAATGAAAAGATCTATACGGCTCAATCGTATCAAATATTTATACGCTGTGCTTGTCGATAAGTTACGAAAGCGGAACATCGCGCTCTCAAGATTGTACGTGGTGACAGGTAAGAGCAACGCAGATCTGGAAGGCCTGACAGCTACGCGGTCGAACTCATGAAATACATCTGCCGCCAGAACAAGCCGCGTTCACTTACAACTACAAGGACTCTTCGATGATCACAAATCCCTGTTCCGCCATGACGATTACCTTGCTTGCAATTCTCTCACACATCTGGGAGCCATTTCTCGTGGCATAATAGCCTCGACTCCCCAGTGCCCAAGACGCTCATCCTTTCTGATTAGACTGCCTCACTACCATCAGATTCTTAGATCAATATGCCCTCAGCGAAGCAGCAAGATCTGTACGGCCAGTCATGTTCACTAGACTTGCTGAGCGAGAGAGAAATCCACTCCACCACCAAAATGGCTACGTCAAGGAAAGCAACCGCTCGTTTCGAGTCTCTCCCACCTCAAATACGCAACATGATCTACAGAATACTATTCCCGCCGGCGGAGTCATGCAAAGTCCTCAAGACATCGCCAATTTGTACCTCACTGCAATCCTCAGCATCAATACACCTATGTTTTTCATACCGTGATCCTCCGCAGCAATCGGCTCATTGGTCAAGAAGGAAAAATTGTGCTCTACAATAGTAGTATCCTAGTACTTATCGATTGGAATAATCACGACCGCGCTTACCTGATAGTCGAAACAATACCACAGAACGTCGCGTTCAACTACATTGCCGAAGGTGCACCGCTGCCGCCATACGTCGTCCAGATTAACCACCAAATGCAACTCAGTGAACACGCAAGGGTCTCTATGATTGTAGCTGCTGCAGACCTTCGTTTGTATCTGCCAGAGGATACTTGGCGTGTGTGGCTGCCGTGCTTACCAGCTAAGGACATTATACTCTTTGGTGGCGTTGCCCCAGCTGGGCTGGCCATATGAACGGCTCCTGAAAAAGGATCTGGCTTCCACTCAAATCACTTCGAGGACACCGTTGCCGCGACATCGAGAGGGATGATTATCGTACCCTCAAGGTTATAGACAGCACTGGAGTTTTTGAACAAACAGATAAGATGTCCGACGAGGAGGAGGAATCCGAACAGGAGAGAAACACTGAATCAGATCGCGACAGTGATATTGAAGAGAACGAGAGCGATGAAAGCCGCAGCGAAGACAGTGGGGGTGGTGGGCGCCACAGCAACGATGATGAGGCTGAAGAGGATGACATCGAAAGTATTCGCCGCGCTTCAACTAGTAGCGATGAGGTTGTACAGCGGCGAGGATGATGGCAATGAATATGGGAATAATGAAGATAGAAGCCACGAAGCCCCAAGCAACAAGCACTGCAGCAATGATTCAGGAGGAAAGAACCCCCATGGCGCAGCTTCCAACTCAGGCCGTAATGGAGCTGCAAATGCCGCAGTTGTCGTCAGAGACAACAGTGTGGCTAGAGGGCGCTCAGGTGATGAACATGGTCATATGGTGCCTGGTAATAATGATTCGAACAGCGATGTCGACGGGAGATTTGACAAGAGGCATGCCGAGGAGCACTGATCCTGATTACACTCTTGACTGTGGCGCTATTCGTCGTCAATCCCTAAGTCTCAACGCTCAGTGCTCGTACTCGCATGTCTGGCAGCAAAATGCTCAATTTTTTCGTTGACATGGTTGGGAGAGCCAAACGCGAAGACGACGTTGGAAAGAGGCTTCTCGGAGATCTCGTCGCGGTGGACAGCTGTTGATAGAGCGAGAATAACGATCATTGGTTCTCAGCAGAGATAGCATTCATAGGACACAAAGATATTGGCATTATCGTCATTCGAGGTACTCTGACTGTCTCCAGCGCTGTTGCCCAAATGTGAGGAGATTTGCATGGAAGCTGCGGATAGGGGCTGCCCCGGTCCTTCTCTCAGAGCAAGCAGAGCTTCCTGACAGCCTCGCAGGTGACAGCCTGGTAGGTTTCACTGAGCAAGCGTTCCACTTCAGATCGAAACCCCGGTCAATTGTGGGAGTTGCCAAGGCCTTATGGAACGGACTCTGAACGTAGATTCTCAAACATCTGAGTCCAAGCAGATCTCAAACCACTTTTAAATCAAGTACGCACATTTCAGGAACCCTACCCAAATTCCATGCCCGGTCACCTCGACAGCTGCTCGCCCATGAGAACAGAATTCTCGAAATCAATACAGCGTAGAAATCGACGCTGCTCTTGAAGAACGCTATGCCCTCTTGCTTTGTTCACTATTGTACAAGGTCGACTGTGCAAGCGGAGTAGAGAATTTCAGTATCAAGCGAGCCACATCATCATGGCCCATATCAAGAGCGCGATACCTTGGCGTCCATCCGTAGTAGTCCTTGATCGTACAGTCGGCTCCACGCTCCAATAGTATCTCAGCCACGGAAAGGTATCCGAGTTCGGCAGCTCGGTGCAAAGCAGTTTGGTCATAAGTGTCCTTGGCGTCTAGTTGGGTACCCCACTCGACGAGTAGTTGTGTGCATTCGTGATGTCCGTTCTCAGCTGCACGGTACTCTAAAGGCGGTGGCTCCATATCCATCTTTTAATTGGATGTCGGCTCCATGATCTGAAAGCAGTCTCAATATATCTCTGTGACCGTTAGAGGCGGCCAAATGTAGCGCTGTCCAGCCCTTTTTGTCACAAGTCCCAACGTCAGCTCCTTTGTCAATAAGTAGTCGTACTATTTGCTGGTGCCCGTGAGAGGCTGCGCATTGCAAGGCTGTGGCTCCCGAATTACTTTTCGCGTGGATGTTTGCCTGATGCTCGACCAACAGTAGTGTTATGTCGTCGTGTCCATTAATAGCTGCCCGGTGCAACGGCCTTTCGCCCTCAAAGTCTTCTGGCTCGATCGATGCAGCATCTTCCAACAATGTAACGGTTAAATCGTAAAGACCATTTGATGCAGTAACCCACAAACCTCGAACGTTGCGTCTGAATTGCTGGCTATGCATTGTAAATCGAGATTTGAATGCTTCTGATGCCTGCATGGACGACGCTACATTGGATTCTTGCTTGAGGAATGCCAAGGCCAATGCTTTGATTCCTGCTTCTGGATTATCGCGCGCGTGACGAACCCAGTACTGGGACGCGTACTGTAGTAGAGGACAAACCTCCATTCGGTCGTCAAAGGCTTTATCATCAGGTGATGGTCCCTGTGCGAACTCGTTGAATGAGAGGTAGGTGAGACATATCTTTGCAATCTCCGTCTGCGCATCTGGGAAGAAATCTAGCGATCGGCGTTCAAAGTACTCTTGAGCGGTATAATGAACCAGTCCCATGATGTTGTTCTGCCGAATCGTCACAATGCCAGCGCACACAGACAAGACTAGGCTGATCTCAGGTATACCATCTTCGTCGAATTGAGCATCCCCAGGCTCCACGGCCAATGCATGTTGCAACTCCCGAGTGCCTAACGGCCTCACAGCGTGATGTATCCAGCCAAGAACCTTTAGAGCCAGCACAGCATGATCTCTATCTTGGGCCTGTATCCTTTGCAATACCTGGTCATATGTTCTGTCCAATTCTTCGGGCAAGGAGCCTAAGGCGGTCTTCACTTTGCGCAGTGTAGTCTTGGCCATCAGAGAATCCAAATGCAGGCGGGCAAGTAGAAACCTTAGTTCAATGTCAGCGCAATACCAAATTTTAGACTATGATTAATCAGAACTACTTACATTCCTTTAGCTTTGTTGACAATGCCAGATATGATGAGCTCATGGAGATTCTTGTCTTTCTTTATGTGCGCTTGCAGTACCCTTGATTCTATTATGCGTTCTTCGAGGTACTGTCTGATATCAAATACATTGGCTTCGATTTCTAGGCGTAATGCACTTTCTGAATCAAAATGGTCGCTGAAAGTATGCCGTGAGGTGATAAGGATACTGATCAGAGGCTTCGTTTTCCGGAGCTCCGCAAACAATATATCCCTAGCGTCTTCAGCGCATTCATCTAAGGCATCAATGACCAGGTAGGTCTTTGAAAAACAACCAATGGCAGCGTGAAGAAGGCGGCAGCATTCGGGTAGAGATGGTGCCGTCCCCTCCTTCGAATGTTTCTTGTAGGCTTCCGTCAATTCTTCCATAACTACGCGTTTGCGAGAGACCAGCTGCAGGAGTATGCTCTTCAGCAAATTCGTAGGGTTCTGTTTCTCGGCTTCGCTGTAATTGCAGTATATATAGGCAACACCAACGTGTTCGTTACTGACCACTTGAAGGGCGTTCACAATGAAAGACCTGTTGAAAGATATTTCGCATCAGCATTCCAGTCCATTCGATCTGCAGCACGGAGCAGAGCACGTACGCAAGCACCGTTTTCCCGGCGCCACCTAGGATCTGAGTCAGCGAATGCAATCCCTCTAAGAGACAACGCAATCACGATCCTCCATTTATTTTAAGAGTCTCATCAGCCTTCAAGAACTCAGCACATCGCTTATGGACGGACTAGGTGCTCAATGCAAGTCTGCGTCCAATGGAGACGACCCATTCCCACAGAACGTTCCCCGCGCTGCTAGCAGTTCGGACGGTGATTTGAAAAAGCGAAGTGTCATAGTTTGGGAGGAACATACGTATACCCAAACACCATAATGTGGTCCCCGCCCCATGTAGCCATTGTTGGTAATGGTTTGTCTGTAACACCCAGTCGCTCAACCTGTCTTGCCGTGCTGTGATGTTGAAAGTATCATGCTGTTTGCTACTGAACTCTCTCGAAAGAGGCGAAAGCCAGTCGTAGATGGCCGACATATACTGATCTGAATCGAGTTACAGAGAGTAAGTGGGCAGTCAAGTGTAAGAAGTCGCTAAAGATGTATCTTGCCTTTTTGAAACACATGTAGCTCGCCAACCCAGGCTGAAGCCTTTGCGAGCTGGCTGTCGAAGCTTTTGATATCTAGGGACATTTCAAAGACATCGTTCTGAAGTACACCCAAGGTCTGCAATGATACGGAGGTTGCGTCACTGTTTGCAATAGACTGTCACCAAGTGTGCATCTCTGTGACACTGGAAGAGAACAAAGCTAGGGCCGAATGTTGCGTGACTTACATCTGTAGCGTCTCCAGAGCGAGGGTCAAATTGCCTTGCAGGTCGCTGCAGATCTCTTTCAGCTTGACGATAGTACTCTCTTTGAAAGGATACAGCGCTCGCTGAAATTGGCTCCTCAACTTATGACTCCATCCACGGTTGGCAAGCAAGACACCGTTGATCTTTGAAAGCTTCTTTTTCAAAGCCACGACACCACTCTCACACATCGCAATGCTCTCCTCCACCCTTGCCACGACATCCCGGCTGAACCGAGTTTGCTGAATCGAACTCCTAAGACATATGAAATTCTTGGTCAACATTTCAACAGAACTATACATTCTTTTTACATCGTCTTCCGCTCCTTTCCACGATGCATAGAACTTCAAGAGTTCCTGACACATCGTCAAACCGAGACTCACAAGTCCAGCGGCGCTTGAGGCGACAGCAAAACCCTCCATGAAAGTCAAGAACGAGGTCACGTTGAAAAAATAGCTAATTTCGGAGAGAGAAGCAAATGGTGATAGGTAGATATAGAATGCAGTACATCCAGCATTCGGGTGACCAGGTTGAGAGGATTTGGAGCACACCCTCAAAATAATCGTTGGGTGCCACATTTCTGCAGGGCCGACAAGCATCACGAACCTGCAGAGTCGCTTTCCGGCGAACAATGTATTGAGGCACGAAGGAGACGGCATACTTGGTACTTGGTAGCCGCCACCGAATGTTTCCATAAAAAAGGGAGATGTCGATTGGACGTGGTCAAGCATGGATGTGACATGGATGCAGATTGCGGATGATTGCAGCCTGCACGAGCAGAGATCTTGCCAGTCGACAACCAGTGGGTGGTAAAACGGATAAAGCGGGCAGATCATGCAAGATGGTTGCAATCTTAATGGTGTGTACCCCGTACGCTGTACGTAGTCAGGTAGTATTCTTCAGACTTACCATGCTCCCATGCAACATGGTCACAATGGTGTGTACTCTGTACGATGATGTTAGGTGTAGCCCTATGAATCTCATTGCCCTTAGTAGGACCAATTGCCAACAATTTCTACATATCGCGCCAAGGTACTCAAGACGATTTTCAATATCCGGACAGCCGAAGATCTTCCGAGATTTTGTGCTGCTCTACGATCTCAACAACCACTTTTACGAGCATACTGTCAGTGTAAGACTTGTAGTGCTTCAGAACAAATACGACTCCGCGATAGCAGAATTTTTGTAGCTTTTTCGTTGTGGTGTCGTCGTGAGTTGAATCTTTTCGTGGTCCCCTAGTGTACGAGTAGACGGACTTCCCAAAGCCCCCCACGCACCCCACCTCCCCAGCCAACCAGCCATTAACTGATACTGCAGATGATCTACGCATATACCACTCATTTATACCCCGAAGGCCGTCATGCTACTCTTAAAATGTCTATCGAAGCATTGCGGCCATGTCAAAGCCTCCAACAACCATTGCGGGCGCTGGCCTGGCCGGCTTGACCTTGGGAAGATGTCTTAGACAAAAAGGCATCCCTAGCATACTCTTGGAGAGGGCCTCCTCATCGCCGCGATACAATTATGGCATCACACTCCACCCCTGGGCGTACCAACCTTTACTCAACGTTCTACAAATGGACGAATCCAGCTTCCGCGAGCGGCTGTCTATCGAATATGCATCTAAGAGGTGGCAGGGGTAGCATCTCAGGAGATGCGCTAGTGACAAGCGTGGATACCACCCCTGGTACATTTCGCTGTCACCGTGGAAGGCTGGAGCAGTTTCTTCGGGAAAATCAAGACATCAGATGGGAGCATACCATCAAAGACATCGAGACAACCCCACAAAAAGTTATCGTACGGATACAGAACGAGCAGGCCATCGAAAGCGACGTCCTGATCGGCACCGATGGCGTCCATTCTCAAGTCCGCAAATCTTTGGCTCCGGGTATACAGCTCAAAGTCTTACCTTTTGTTGTATTTAATGGCAAGAGAAAGATGTCGCTTGACAGCTTCCAGAATACAATGGCACCGCAGATGCAAGGCTTGAGCATTATCCAGTGTCGCAAGAAGAGTGGTGTTTCAGATCGCCGCGAATCAATACACTGCAACGTATGTCGATGTAGACTACACGTACTCGCGCCCTGCACGCCAGAATGATCCCTTACATAGACCGGATAGGCCGATCCCCGGAGCAACAGACATTCCTGAAGAGTTCTACGCAGAGTTGCAGGAGCTAAAGGACCTGGGGCAAGCCTACAAAGAGATGTTCGATGTTACCAAGGTCAGGCAGGATAGGATACTACATTTTTTGATGCGCAGTACATTGGGCACGGAGCAAGAGATCAAGGACCTTACAGATCAGGGTGTACTGTTGGTGGGTGATGCCGTCCACGCTATGCCATTGCTTGGTGGAGAGGGTGGCAATAATGCTATAAAGGATGGCGTTGATCTGGCCGAGCATATAGCTGCTCACGGACCACAAGGTATTAAGACGTTCTCCAGTGCCAGGTACGACAGTTGGAGGAAAGGGGTCGAAGAAAGCGAACGGAGACTGGCGGAGATGCACACGCCCGTAAAAGCATCATTGTAAGGACAATAACGATTATATATTTATGACTAAAAATTCAGGTTGCTTCACTCTAGGTAGTGTTCAGGCGGTAGAACAGCCATTTTAGGTGGCAGGGCAGCTCTTGACGCAGAAAAAAAGCCCCTCGAAGATTTGGTTTACCTCATTTACTTTCGTGTTTGCTAATCGCTTTGTACAATCGCTACAGCGCACAGAAGACCGTATTGACTCCCATGGTTTGCACTCTGAGCATTGTTGTTATAAGAATCACCTTCCCTCAGTGTATCCGTTGTCTTGCCGCCCAGCGGTCTCACTCCACCATTGTAATGATACAGCTGACTTGGTACACATGATTGCTGCCATCAAAGCATTGACGCCGGCTCATTTCAACCAAAAACAGAAGCAACACTCACAGTGAGAGAGTCCATGGGCAATGGTGACGCATCCGGAACCTCTGAACATCCTGCAACGATTGTAGCCCCTCTGCAAACAATTGGGCCGTCCGTGCAGCCTGAGTGGCTATCAGCAAGAGCCACATGCCGAAGGCGAACGACACAAGCGCTTCTTGGTGGGCCGTTTCCCGACGATTGAGACATGGATCGTTGCGTTGGCAGAGCTCCATGAAGCCTTGAAAGCTGATGAACAGGAACAGAAACAGGAATATCTCGAGATAGACTGATGCATAAGATACTTATCAGCAACCCGATTAAGTCGGCGGTACCTGCAATGCAGCTAGATCAATCGAGCAAGGGTCTGCAACTATGTGTATTGAAGATAATCTTCATTACCTGATCTTTATCTCGTTATACCCACGTGTTGTTGCGCTCCTTCCAATTCCTTCGATTCGGTACTTGCAGCTGGCTTATTGATTCTGAAGTCGGCCGATATGAAACCGGACGTCCCTTTCATGACATCTCGAGTATGAAGCATTGATAACAATGTAAAGTTGTGGTCTGCAAAGAACCTTAGGTTATATGCTCGAGAGGCTACGCCCACAGGCAGCCAGCACATCAGACGTGTCATGGCCAAAGGATTCGACATAACAGCCAGAATATCGATGTCCCAGGTGCGACCTTTCCAGGCGATTCGCCTGTAGATGACTGCGAATTTGGCGTTTTCAAAACTTTCTCCCTTTCTTCATGGCGCAGAATCTCCACAATAGCCCGACGATAACAAAAGAGCCGGCCACTAACTCGAAAAAAGAGATAAAAGAATGAACAGGTCATACGTGACACGTCTTGAGCGTAAAAATACCCAACAAAACTCGAACAATGCCACCAACCCCCAAGCGCCCCCGCGCCGACTCATCTCCATCCCAAACCCCACACGAACTCCTACACTCCTCATCCTCAGCGCATCCAACGCCTGCACCAGCTCCAAACCCCCGCCACCCCACCCCAACCCCAACCCCTCCTCTCCGATCCTGGCTCCCAACCGTCCACACCGCACCCCCACCGCTCGATGCATCAGCGCCCCAGCCGCGACGCCAGTACGGCTCTTCGCCGGCGGTAAGGGTTGTTTTTGACGACGGTCTCGGATTTGCGAAGAGCGGTGCAACAGCAGGAGGGAGTCGAGGTTGGAGGATGGGATGGCGGCGGGGGCAGGCGTCGATGATGCGGGCGGGTGTCTCGGAGACAGGTGCGGGTTGCGGAGTGGGGTGGGATTCGACGTGACATAGTGCGAGAAAGGGGGGGAGAGGAAGGAAGGAAGGGACTTTAGATGTTGTGTGAATTAGGATGAGCGGGAATGGCTGGCTTGGGGAAGGGTTGGGAGGGAGAGTGGCATTGTCTCATTGCACCATGTGATGGAATGTCTTTGTTCGAGGGCCTTTTCGATCATCGGCTGATTTGGTTTTGGAGATGGTGGGCAACGAGGGCCTTTGTTCACCTTTTAGGGTGATAGAAATTTACAAGGTAGGCTGAGACTCTGAATTCTTGTTTATTGTGAATGAGAAGCAATGCTGGGGAAATTGAGCAGAACTGGATAAGTCGGAAAACCCGCAAGCGAAATACAAAGATGTTGTGGCTGAAGGAGAACGCGAGGCCTTGTGGTAATACATTTGACAAATTGACTCGAAACCATTGATATTATCGAGACATGGAACACACCCATTCGCTTGCAAGTACATGTAACATCGTCAGAGCGTAACAACTCCCGTCCATGGCATTCTCGTTCCTCGTACCAAACTCAGGTCAAGATTGGTGACTTCCTTGGGCCTGATACCCTGAATAAACAACTTCACTGGGCGACTATTGATCACAGCAAAAACCAGACGTATCATGCTCGATGCCAATATGGCATAGGATGCACCACAGGGTAGTGACGCATCCGGTAACTATTCTGCTGTCCCTCACCCGATCACCTACTCCACGGCTTCGGGCATTGCCACGCCAGCAGCGCAACTATGATCGAACCAACAGGGAGGGCGATACCGAGTATAATCTGGTCATGCTGGGAGAGTCCCGAGCTCGAGTTTCCGCCGGTGCCACTTGCCTTAGTTTGTGAGGGACTCGATGCCGAAGACGCCGACGTAGCAGAGGTAAGAAGCGCATTCGAATCAGTCGTAGTCTGCGAAGAGAGGCCACCCGGAGTCGAAGTTGTAGTCGCCCCAGTCGCCCCAGCGACAGGCACGAGCGCAGAGCCAGCGGTCACCTACGCACGTTTCGGAGTCAGCATTGCTCTCTCGAGGCAAGAAACCTGATTTACGACACAGGTATCCAGGATAGAAGAAGGGTTTGGGTCCCGAGCAATGTCTTGCGACTCAGGTTTTGGTTCAACATTGGGAAGAATCTAGTCCGAAATGTACGTACACTAGCACCTTTCGGAGTCAGCATTCCCACCCATTGACGGATATTTGAGTAACAAGACATGTTTGGGGAGTAGAAAGGGTGGTAATTTGGATAGCATTGTTCCTCCAACATGTCTCGCGACTCACGTAGTCGTAGATGTAGCATCCGAACCCCCCATCTGCGACACTGCCGCATATGAACATGACAGCAGGGATACCCACAAGCCCGTAATCGAAGCAACCGTCGGTGTCGAAGTCACTCGATGTCTCAGGTATAGCGCATGACTGGTCTTGGTACAGCTGTAGTGTGGCATTGGCACTGCCCGGAGGGCATGCGGGAAGGCGCTCGACGACGACTCCGAAAGCACCGGTAGTGACGAGGCAGGTATCGAGTGAAAGCGAGACAGTAGGATTTACAGCGCTCTTTTCGGTGCAGTCCAAGACGAGAAATTGAGCGATTCGGCCCTGGGCAAATGTGGTAGAGATGAGGAGGGAGATGTAAAGGAAGTAATCAATAGGCGTGGAAGGAGGCAACATTTTGATTGAAGAAAGTAAGGAATAATGTCAATTAGACGCATGATCTCGAGCCGGCAGAGGCCGTCTCTTGAATGCATTTTTGAAGAAGATCACGATTCACAAGTAAGCAAGGACGGGATATTTTGGTTACAGCGAAAGGCTACAACGACAAACATACACACTCTCCATATGGGCAGCCTTTCTGTGCGTGGAAGGCACGGGCAGGTAGCTGTATGCACCCTCGGTTGCAGCGGGCGTTGATAGGAGAAGCTCGGTTCAGTAATCAGTATGTGCCTACTTACCGCTGGGAATTTGGGGTCTGAAATACGATGCAATTTCGGCAGACGCTACTTTTGGACGGAAAGAAGGGCTATGATTGGGAGTCTTTGTGGGCCAGATGTTCTTTTTCAGAAGAAGTCGGTGGATGAGATGTCGTCTCTATTGGCTCGAGATAGGAGGAATAAGGTGAATGTGCAGACATAGATGCAGATGCAAGGGGACGGCACCGTGCACAAGCGCTAAGCATGGCGTTACCTGTCAAAGTAAGGTACCTACCTAAATTGGTGACCCTAGGCTCAAACGGTAATCCGCGTGCTTTTTGATGAAGCATTTCTCTGCTCTTCTCCATCTTGAGTCCTGAGATACCCAGATACAATCGGTATTAGAACCCACTACTTGACGCCATAGTGGCCATACCTTACATCAGCTGTCAACGTCTTCACCTTTCTTCTTCCATGGACCTATTTATCCCTAGTCTTTAGCACGCATCGACTCTCCATCATTTCACCTCAACCCAATGTCCCAGGCGACCAGTTTGCAACGTAGTAATTGATTCATGTTTCAACGTAATTCTATCCATCTACATCGTGCATGAGAAAGTAACGACTGCCACTGGCATCATAAGTCGAGAGTAAGTCCGTCCATCATCCATCTAGTGGGTACCACCAAGCCTATCCCCGAATACCAGCCCCTCTTCCGCTAAGCCTTCTGGTATACAGAGAGACGGTCAGGTCCTCCGCAGTACTCCATATCGCTACCGCCGCAGGGCATGTTGCTGCAAGTCTGATTGAGACTGGACCCCGGAGCGAGAGCAGAACCGCAGTAACACTGCGTTCCATACTCTGTCCCAGCCATCGGAGATCCCTTGCCGACGCAGAAGCTCTGGCAGGCTTCGTTGGTCATGGTGTTGCTCGTGTACGTCGCGTCACCTAGAGCGCGCACCCCAGTAGGCTCATTTGCGCAGCCCATATATGTCCACCCGTCGACAGTCGATCCAACAGCTGGGCCAGATCCAGAACTTACGTTCAAGAGTGGTGGTTCCGGAACGTTAGCTGGGCAGACAAAGTCAGCCAACGTAGCCTCCTCTGGGCCAGGCGTTATGGTGATGCAGCCGGGTAGCTTGTCGATCACGCCGTGAACGGGCTCGTCAATTTCAGGTAGACGGGCGGGGCAGTCGGTGGAGAAGTTTTGGTCATCAATGGCAGCGAAGACTGGGCATTCATGGACGACACCGTCCTCGTTGGCGACTGCGCACTGCTCGATACCGGCTTGAAGAGTATCAACATCCCAGCCATTCAGGAAGTCGCCGTGAAATCCGTAGCCTGGGCTAATGTCAGCGATTGGTCATGGGAGTCAGGGGAAGAGGAGCATACCAGTAGGGTCACCCTGTGCAAAGACGAACTTCCCACCATCAAGTGCGATCTCGCTAACGCTGTACAGGACCTCATAGAACAGATGCATAAGCTGAACTGGATACCCTGGAGGGCAGGCGCCATTGTCGATGGTAGACATGTAGGCTACGTGGCTGCTGTCTGGCAAGTACTTATTGACGCCGTCCCAGCAAGACTGGAACTGTATTTGAGCACGGAGACCATTGTCGCAGTCAGTCATGTTCATTTGTGGCGATTGGGGATTTGGTGAGTCCGTCAAGCAATTGAAGCTGACGCGGTTACCGTATGGTTCCGCACCTTCAACCGAGCTGACCGGCGTATCGTTGAAGGAACGAGCGGCAGCGTCGCCAGAAAGCATTCGGAAGCCTGGAGGGAAGGGTTGGATATTGGTCTTGTTGTCGCCACGGCCAAGGTAGTAAACAGCCATTCCTCCGTTGGGGACTTCTTCGAAAGAGCCATTGGCATGCTCGTAGTACAGGAGTGGAGTCCAATAGGCGGACAAGTCCTTCTTGATCTCACAGGATGTGCAGCTGGATGACTGCAGAGAGTCATAGGTGGAACTCGGTCCGATGTCTATTATCGTGTCAGCTGGTTCGGAGAATGGCCACTTCCACAGTGGGGGGGCACTTACTTGAGGCGCCAGAAATCTTGTGAACATGGCTAGAGACTGTGCCAGGGCTGATAATTGGATCAATACGACCGGTCTGGATTATTGAGCAGCTCATGCGCCAAAACGCATGCGAGAGGCCAGTCCAGGAACCAAGGGATAGCAAAAGAAGTGACGACTTGTTGACAAACATAATTGATTGGGGGTTTGGAAAAGAATGAATACCGAGTTTCGAAATGAATGTGTTGGATCTTGATTGCTGGAAAGAGGGACAGCAGACAAATGGTAATGAATGTAAGTCTTCGCAAAAAGCGAGACGATTCGAGATCTACTCGAGATGAGAAGGCAAACGATTGTACAGAGCAACAGAGAAGAGAAACGGTCAGTGAGGGAAGTGGCTCATATTAAGAGAAGACGGGACAAAGACATGCTTTGAGCGAAATACAGAGGCGTGACACATTTTCGTTTCACATGCAGAAGATTGACTTGGCTTTGATTTGATCATGCAGAGTCACCGAGGGTTCCAATCCAGATGGAGGTCCTGAATCATGGAGGAAAGAAATCATTGGTCTAGATTTGATGAAGGCAGGTATTCTGGCGCCTATTTTGGCTGTAAAGTACCCGTGTGGATCTTTTTCATGCGGCTAAGCGCCCATATTTCGTTCACCTTCTCCCTACAATTTAGTCAGGTACAGTGGTCGTACACCAAATGAAAGGGTACTGTCACAATAAGCCACTGTGGTCTATGTACAATGGCCTTTTTGAGAAGACCGAGAACGCACGGGTGTGGCTTGGAGGTGGTAGATCGCATTTGCCAAGACGGCCAATGCGACAAAGCCAGCTGGAAGAAGAGAGTCTAGCTCCTGTCAATGCCAATTGATATGGGGCAGGTAGAACGTCAGGTGATGAAATCAAGGTAGAAAATGTGACAAGCCATGTCGAGGATAAGACATGATTTGGGCGGCAAAAAAATCAAAATGAAAGGTGCCTGAGGTAGGTGCTCAAAGAGCCCCTAGGCAAGCTAAGAGAAAATGCTCGGACCCATGCCGAGGCGGGCGTCAGTCCCCAAGTCTCCTCCTCTTCTCAACGGATTGCCCGTAACTTTTGGCAGATCTAAAGATGCTTGCCTCCTCACGGCTTACCTTGTCATGCAATCTATACTCTTCGTAGTCTAGATCTACGCTCGGTCGTTGTATTCTCTGACTGGATTCTAATTGAAACAAGGTCTCGTGTTTCTCTCCAACAGCTTGCTTTGCGGAGCTCTTCGCTGGCTTCTTGGTCTCGGATCGGACGTTATACTTTTCTTACGACGTTATACTTTTCTCTACCATTCTTGTTTGGTCGCTTGTTTGCTGGAACGGCTTGCTTTGGAAAGATTGAAGGCGTACTTGTCTCGTCATCGGACTCTATTTCTCGTTTCTTGCCAGCCTGAGCCACGATTTTCGTAGCACCATCCTGAATTGCTCGCGAGAAAAACGGACTCGACTGATGCCCATCTTCCGATTGATGCAACGATCGTTGTAGATTTCTGTTCGAATTTGGCTTGGCCGGCGGAGGCATTAAGATCGACTGGCAGAGTGTCAGTACTGGGGAGATCATGCAGTGGGAGAACGCACATCTAGTGTAGGTTGGCTAGCTTCTCTGAACAAAGCCAGGTCTTCTTTATAGTCCAGCAAGGGTCTACTCGGCATCCATCCTCGGATCGCGTCTTCATATTCTTGCTGTATGGTTCTCTTACGCTTTACGTTCGTGAACCACCCATGCTTCAAGGCTTGTTCTACTTCGAGTCGCGCTTTTTCATCCAAGGTTAGGAGACTCTTGACAAAATCTTTCCCTAGGTCGTTGACAGTCTGCCAAAGTGAGTTGTAGTCCATTTTCGCTAGATCGCATTCTGCTGCAGCGTCCAGAACGGCCGCCGATGAGGCGTCATTCTTGGAGTTTTCGAAGACGGACTCCCCAGTGAGTAGTAGTGTAGTTATGATGCCTACGGACCATATGTCTGTAGCCATTGTGTACCCTTCAGTGTTCTTGTTCTTTCCACGAACCTCGCTATGAGCTAGTCAGCATACAATTTGCTGATTTGTCAGAGGAGACACGCACGGAGCCACATAATAGTCCGTACCCACGGAGGCGGTTTTCATTCTTCTTCTGCGCATTTGCTTGCTGCCGCTCAACTTGGTTGAATGCCCGAAGTCTGCTAGAATCACCCTAGCCCCCCGCGCCGGCTTGCTCATCAAAATGTTTTCAGGCTTAAGATCTCTGTGACAGATTCCTTGTCGATGGAGGTATTCAAGAGCCTTTAGCATCTGATAAATAATGATACCTATGAAGATTTCGGGGTCAGTATGGCTTCGCCAAGCAAGATAAGTCCCCGAGCAATGAGACAGCTGAAAGGGGCATCAAAAGCCCTTTGCTCCCAAAACATGTCTTGCAACTCAAGACGAGGTCTGGAATGGAGAAGAGCTCGCTCAGAAAGTATACATACAAGCCTCCGCATCGTTCATGTTGGTCTGTGGCCTTTCAATGTAAGACATAAGGTCTCCTCCAGTGATAAGGTCTGAAATGATAAAGCTGGAGATATGTCAGCTCGGACACTGATATTGAAGACATTGTCATACAGATTTGTCTTAGTGAAGAAGACACGCTCGACGTGTATGATGTTTGGCTGAACATCTCATGAGCGAGAGTCAACAATGGGACTTCCTTCCTCACATGGCTTATGTCTTTGAGCAACTCCACTTCTCGCCAGCAGGATTCGGAAAAGCTGACCCTTCCTGACCACTGATGAGGTGATTTGTGCAGCTTAACTACCTTACAAGCCATTTGACGATTGCGCGCAATGTCGACAGCCATCCAGACCTCTCCGTAAGCTCCAGATCCCATTTTTTGGTCTGTGATCCTGAACAAATTCGTAAACAGCTGCTACACATCAGCCCGAGTCTCATCAGCAGAGTTTAGGGCCTGCCTTTGCGTCTTCCCCTTGGACAGTGCTGGCGTCTTGCGAACACTCTGGATTTCGACATACAGATCGAAAGGCAAAGGAAGAACCATTACACAGGCGGACTTTGTCCCCGTGGCTCAGCAAGACGGCACTGCCTCTCCCAATCAAAGATTCCTTCCAGTGATTGCCATGCTCATAGCACCAGTAGGTGCCATTGGTGGAGAGATCTTTGGCGTAGACGAAGATACGTTGATGATTATCCTCGCTGTAAGCGATGGTATATATCTGTAGATGCTGATTCGAGACAGTGGGATCCGTCAGAATGACATTGCTAAAGAAATTAGCGGAGTCAATGGCTTGGTGGATCGGTTGATCTCACCAGCTCTTGTGGTCCCTCCCTATCAAGAGCTCTTGCCCGTCGAGTATCTGATGTCTTGCACGGGCTATCCAAAACTAAGGTCAGTACGAGACGTGCTCTGATGAGCAGTCCGCGTACCGAGGCCATCACACCCATCTTCCTCGAGGTACCCAAATAGAGCAGGTGCCCCAAACGAGGGCATGGTTCCAAGCTCCAGCCGCAAGCGGGCAAGCGGGTACAGTGAGCATGCAAATGGGTTTAAAACCGTGTACAAAGAAGGCGATGGGGAAGAGCAAGGACGCGTCGATGTTGAGGTCCAAGCAAGGCAATCGAAGCTAGGTATAACATTGACCGAGGGGACCCTCGGACTGTCTCTGGGCTTGGCGCCAAGAATTTTCGCGAGCCGTTAGCGTCAAAGTCCCCGCACATATTATGCCAGTTTCACTCGAACCTCTTCTTTCATCACCATCAACCCTCATCTCAACAACGAGTAAGTGTCCTTTCCAAGCTTGGTTAACCCTTTAGCTTCGTCAATGGGTATTCTTTAGTCAGACACCGTCGTTGTTCATCTTGGATCACTTGCTAACGGTCACGATTTTTGCTAGATCACCTAGTTGTTGACCATGAGAGCGAAGTGGAGGAAGAAGCGTGTCCGACGCCTCAAGCGTAAGAGAAGAAAGACGAGAGCTCGCAGGTATGATCTCCCTCTCCTCTAGCTGTCTTTGTGGCTGCCACTGCAGCTTCAATTGATGGTGCACGTGCTAACATCTGTCTCCCCCTACAGCAAGTAAACACACCACCTACTCGATCTACGCTCTACGACTCTCCTAAACATCTCGCCGGCAATACCACACACACCTCGAGCGATCTCATCCACTTACACCGAACGAACGGATTTGTTCGGAGGCAATGTCAATGGAAGGAGATCGGGGTATCCAAAGGGCGTAGTGGAGGAAAGGACAGGAGCGTGTCAAGCCATAGTCGAGCAGATCATGGGTGTTCTTGCATTAAACATGTTGCGGACGATCGTGAGGCATCATCAGGAAGAAATGGTCCTCTGCAGCATAGCGATCGCGTTAGGAAGCGAATGATAATTGAAGAGCTTTCTATCTGAGACGTTATGTCCCTCCATTTCTATCCTTTTCTTCAAGGTGAATAGAAGAAATACACGTAGTTTCTTTTCGGTGATACTTGTGCCTTTCGCACGCTCCCAGACCCGAGGCCTATGCTACGTGTATTGTTGTGAGACTGACTGTACAGATACGGCCCAGCCTCGCAATTACTATGCCGCCAACACCGCGCTATGCAACGCCTCAACAGTTCCCAATGCTGATACTCTTGGTGGCCTCTTAGAACCTTTAGAAATGTTAGCTCAAATACCCATAGATGATAGCCAGCGTCCAAGCTTAGCACGTACCTAATCTCATAGCTGCCAGCCCTTGTCATATACCGCACCCACTTCACGCTCCCATAATTACTCTTCTCAAACACCTTCAAATACCGCACCAATAAACCCGAACTCGTGAACATCAAAAGCGAAAAGCTCAAACTCAACGGTGGCCTGCTCCAAGTCTTCTGATTTGTCATCGAAGTCAAAGACGCTTCTGCAGAAAGGACGTATTCGCTCTGTCCTGAAAATCTTGGAATCTTCCAAACAATGTTGTTTTGCTCTGGCTCATATTTAGCTTTGCCCTGGGACACCCTTTCCGTAATCCTTGCAGCATTCAGCGGCGTCGGTACCCGGACTACAACATTAGTAGCGAAGAGCTTGCTACCGTAGTTGGCTTTGATGGCAATGCTATACTCGACCTTCGACTTGCCGACCTCATTGACAATGGCGTGGACCTTGAAGGGCAGGTTGACGTTCTCTGTAGCTCGATACCGCATGAGCTCGAACTCGCCGTCTGGCGGTACGAAAGAGATGATACGGTCTGCATCGAATTTGCCCAGCTTGACGCATTGATGGAATTGACAGTCTTCAAGCGTCACACTGCCTGCGGCTGCTTTCGTAGCTTTAGTACCTGCTGTATTTCCTGAGGGCGCAGAGAGGCTGTCGCCGTCTAGCAGCAGCCGATCGTTGAGCCCAAACTTGCATTCGGGGGTTCCGGAGAGATAGGCACGCATGACAATTTGGCCATTGACATCCGCTCGTAGGACTGTTCCTGTAGCTGACATCAAGAGATTCACGTCTTCTATGACGTCCACGAAAGCTTCGTTCTTTCGATACCTTATATCTGATCGCCGCCACGATAAGGCGCCCGTAGCCTGCATTGTGATTCTGGACGAGTCCTCCATTGTTCGTTCCGACTTGACACCTTCCGTAGTTATATACATCTTCAATGTGTCCGTCTCCGTATTTTGAGGATATCCGAAGTCCAAGATCTCTGAAATCTACATCAGTCACCTAATTCTGTAGACTATTTCTTCCAGTGGAAGTCACCCACCATCCAAGAGCTCGTAGACCAGCACAAAGTTGTTCTTCACAGCTTCCTCATCGAACTTCCCAAAGTAGCCCCTCCCCAGCCCCACCAGTCGATACAAGAACTCGAACACCAGCGCCGCATTGGCATTGCTCTTGGTTATCGCCACCAGATATATGTTCTCATGCTTGACGTGGCTGAAGGTCGTCGATCCGAGGGTGAGGATCGGAGAGCGAACTTGTGCATTGGAGATAACCTGGATGCGAAAGACGTCGGCGAGCCGTGGACGGCAATCATTTCGAAAGGCGCGGAAGATGAGATTCTCGCCTTTCTGGTTGAAGATGAGAATCCCGGATAACATCTTAATTGATGGTGTGGATGGAGGCTCATGCAGATCTAACCTTGATAAACGTTCTTGCACTAGGCCCGCACTGTGCATTTGTGCTCAGCAATGAGATTCGAACCTACAATTGCATGTTGCTTCCGTGACATTTACTGCTCTTGATCTAAATTTACCGATTTTCCTAAACAGAATGGTTGAAACGGGGTCTACGCAGTATATCGAGCAAGGCGTGACAGTACAGTATCTGGATGGGAGGTTTGAGAAAGACGTAACAGCTAGCTAGATACATAGATAGGGACGCCGAGGAGAGACGAATGGAGGGAATAATGGGGAAGCTCTTCTCACCAAAATCAAATCAGATCTCGCTTTACAAACTCAGCATGCAATGTTTTGCCGAGAGCGGCTGGACTGCGCTCAACGATGACCCCAGCAGCCTCCAATGCAGATATCTTCGAATCTGCGCCTCCTTTACCTCCGCTCACGATAGCACCTGATAGTAGGGTAAGTATGGATTATGAGGGTTAGAGATAGAGAATCAACCTACCTGCGTGGCCCATTCTCCTCCCCGGTGGTGCGGATATACCTGCAATGAAACTTACAGCAGGCTTGTTTGATGTGTTATTTGCTTTCAAGAAGTCTGCAGCATCTTCCTCGGCAGACCCGCCAATCTCGCCAATCATGATTATACCCTCTGTCTCCTCATCCTCCAAGAACACTTTGAGGCAGTCGATGAAGTTTGTGCCTGAAAAAGGATCCCCTCCAATACCAACGACAAGCGATTGACCAAGGCCAGCCTGTGTTGTCTGATTGACGGCCTCATATGTGAGAGTACCAGACCGTGAGACAATACCTATTCGTCCTCGTTTGTGGATGAAGCCTGGCATGATCCCAATCTTGCATTGGCCCGGAGCTATTATACCGGGACAATTGGGTCCTACCAATCTGGTTTTGCCTTGGGTTTTCAGGATGTCGGTGATGCGGACCATATCATGTTGGGGAATTCCTTCAGTAATGCAGACAATAAGGGGCATCTCTGCTTCGATAGCTTCTTCGATACCTGCGGCGGCCAATGGCGGCCTGATGTGTTGTCAGTGACTATCACAGTCTTATGATCGCTGCATAGAGTATAGATAGAATCCAAAAAGGTTCCTCACGGGACGAAGATCGCGGATGCAGTTGCTCCTGTCTCTTTGATAGCATCGCTGACTTTGGCAAACACCGGTTTTCCCAGATGTGTCTCTCCGGCTTTCTTTGGATTTGTACCACCGACGACATTTGTTCCTGTCCCCCCGTCAATCCCATGTTCTGTCCCAAATTTAAATGTAGTCAATACCGTAATCGATCGCCTGTTGGGCGTGGAAGCTGTGCGACTGTTAGCAGACACTAGAGCCAATTTGACATTCCCGATGACACACCTTCCTTGCTTGCCAGTGAAGCCTTGGAAGATGACTTTGGTTTCTTTGTTTATGCGAAGGTTCTCTGCTGTTGAGGCATATCCTGAAGTTGCAGTTGAGTAACCCTGCCTCCTGGCAGCAGCTTGCAAGGCGCCAGCCGTACGGCGGCTGAATACCTGCATCGCTACGAGATGGCGAATAGCAAGACCAACAGGTACCTAGGATAATAGGTGTATCAGGTAAGGAAAGATGGGGTCCCTCGCAGTGAAGGTCCAACGGCGCGCTAGCGGTTCCCTCACAATCTGAACCCTGCATAAAACCATGCGAAAATCAAGTCGCCACGACTCATTCTCAACTTCACGGCCTCGAGCCCCTCAAGACATCATGCCCACAGAGACTATGACCGCTCCGGCGGTAACCAAGGTCAAGCTATCCAAAAATGAGAAGCTACCGCCAGAAAACGAGCGGTACATGCGGGCGTGCTCCGACATTGCTAGTGCTTTGATACAGGATCATGAAGCCCAGCAAGATGACACGGCCCCAAAGAAAGACCTCAATTTAAACAGTCTGAGAGGTCAAATGGCAAAGAAACATAGGCTAAGCAACCAGCCTCCATTAACAGCTATAATCGCAGCTGTGCCCGAACATTACAAGAAATACATTCTTCCAAAGCTGATCGCGAAGCCAATACGGACGTCGTCTGGTATTGCAGTTGTGGCAGTCATGTGCAAGCCCCATCGTTGTCCACACATTGCTTATACTGGCAATATCTGCGTCTACTGTCCTGGTGGTCCTGATTCGGATTTTGAGTACTCCACACAGTCATATACTGGCTACGAGCCAACGTCAATGCGGGCAATACGAGCTCGCTATGATCCATTTGAGCAGGCTCGTGGCCGAGTGGATCAGATCAAGTCACTAGGGCACAGTGTGGACAAGGTCGAGTACATAATAATGGGAGGTACTTTCATGTCATTACCGGAGGATTACCGAGACGAATTCATATCACAATTGCACAATGCACTGAGTGGGTATCAAGGGCGTAATGTGGATGAAGCCGTGGAAGCTGGAGAAATGAGCAACATCAAGTGTGTTGGAATTACGATTGAGACCAGGCCTGATTACTGTTTGGACCCGCATCTGAGCAGTATGCTTCGGTACGGGTGCACACGGCTGGAGATTGGTGTTCAATCACTCTATGAGGACGTTGCGAGAGATACCAACAGAGGCCACACTGTTGCATCGGTAGCAGAGACATTCAAGTTGGCAAAGGATGCAGGTTTCAAAGTCGTCAGCCATATGATGCCTGATTTGCCAAATGTGGGTATGGAGCGGGACCTTGATCAATTCCGAGAATACTTCGAGAACCCAGACTTCCGTACCGACGGTCTCAAGATCTACCCGACCTTGGTAATTCGCGGCACCGGACTGTACGAGCTATGGCGGACAGGAAGATACAAGAACTACACCCCTAACGCACTAATAGACCTGGTAGCTAGGATTCTAGCCCTCGTACCCCCATGGACCCGAATATACCGAGTCCAGCGAGACATTCCAATGCCCTTGGTAACGTCTGGTGTCGAGAATGGGAATCTTCGAGAACTCGCATTGAGTCGCATGAAGGACTTTGGCACTACCTGCCGAGACGTCCGAACACGCGAGGTAGGCATCAACGAGGTCAAGAACAAGATTCGCCCTTCTCAGGTCGAGCTAGTACGAAGAGACTACGCTGCCAACGGAGGTTGGGAGACATTCCTAGCTTATGAGGATCCGAAGCAAGATATTTTGATTGCACTGCTACGACTGCGAAAGTGCAGTAGCACGCATACGTTCCGACCGGAACTGAAATCTCAACCTACCAGTCTGGTAAGGGAGCTGCATGTGTACGGCTTGGCGGTGCCAGTGCATTCGAGAGATCCTAGGAAGTTCCAGCATCAAGGATACGGAACTTTACTGATGGAGGAGGCAGAAAGGATTGCGAGAGACGAGCACGGGAGTCAAAAGATCAGTGTAATTTCTGGCGTTGGTGTACGATCTTACTACGGGAAGCTCGGATATACCCTCGATGGAGTAAGTCCTTTTTTTAAACGTGAATGAAGTAATCACTGATTAAGGACAGCCATATATGAGTAAGATCCTTGGAGGTGGGATGCAAGAGGACGACAGCAATGATGACAACGATTGAGATTGCGTATTGACGATGAAAAGCCTACAACCCAATGTACACTCGACGGTCCCTATGCGTCAAAGATGCTAGAGAAAAAGGAGAGCACAGACGACAGCGACGAAATCGACGACTGGTATGACCGTTGAAAGTATTATAAATGCGAAGACGAATGACGCATCATGAGCTTCGGCTGGAGTTAGTGCGTCGCTGGAGTTCGGTTATCAAGGCATTCCTGGAATCGGAATCTGGCATAGCGAGGCGAATGGAGCATAGGAACGTGCATAAGCACGCAGAACCTGGAGCATAGACGAGCAGTCTAAGCATATTTGTTCCATATGTCCAGTTCTCTGAGCCAATCCCACAGACTTTCGTCCAACGGGCTACGTCGATAGAGGGTCATTCTAGAAACCACATAGCCTTGAGAACGCCGACTCCTACACCTCAAAATCGCACACTCATGTAATCCTCCCACGCCTCTAATTCAGTGTTATAGCACCCCTCTTGCTTTGCCGTACATGTAAATATGCCTGGAATCCGCAGAAAACGAGGAAGACCTATGTTAGACCCGACCTATCAGCTTACTTCTTATCCACTGGAGCAGATCATGTTCCAGAACCGAAGCCCCATTCGAAAGCTCCGCCGGAGTGTAGCATACCGCGTAGACAACCACGGCCGCAAAAACCGAGCCAGCCACCGCTTTTCCGTCCGCTGGGTCCTTCGTGCTGCCCATCATGCTATGGTGGCCCACCTAGAAAAAACACCATTATCAGCATCTGTATCCATCTCGGGGCACTGGCATGTGTCTGCAACAGAGCTGGGGAAGCCGGCTCCCGCGGGCGACATACGCTGAATAAACCGCCGATGATAGAAAGGATCACGATTGCGAAAACGGAGACGACAACGCTGTGTCGCGATCCACGATCAGTCCCATCCTGGTCTCAATAGCTGGAAGTAGATCAGGCTCACCAGCTCCACGCGTTGAGGGCGGAAACGACGGGCTTCATGGTGACGAATCGATGATGATGATGGGCGAGGTGGTAGATAAGGGGATGGCGAGCGCCAACGGGGATGGAGTTGCGGTCAGTTGGCTGGGGCCGAGGTTATCGATGGTAAAGATCGTGAGATGGGCTCGAGGATGCTGCGCTGGGTGTCTGATGTGAGGTGTGCCGCCAGTGCGGCGGAACAGTGTCGTCGCCTCGCCGCTTGGGGCAGGGTGCCAAGACGCCAAGGTTTGAGGCACTCTGGTGCGCTGCTAAGGAAAAGATGAATGCGAATATATAATGTTGTCATCTACAGTGTGCTCCTTTTGATACTGCTTCTATTCGCCCATTGTTAAGAGCGTCGCTTTGATGCCTCAGATGTCCTGAAATGTGGTTAAAGTCAACATCAACGATTGCCACCTGTTCTGGCAGCTTGCCTGCCTTCCCTTCGCTATTCGTCACGCTTTGGATGGACTTCTGCCTTTGGCAGTCCGTAGATGCTATCTCAGCAGTGGTGGCTTACTATGGGCGAAGACTCGTTGCGGTAGCACTTTTACTACTACAGCTACCCCTCTGCAAGATTTTTCCAAAGAAGGACTCAAGTTTTAGATACCCTTTCGAAGGTCCATCAGCCTCTACGTAGGCTGTTTCAGCGCTCAATTGAGAAACGGCTTGCACAATGTTATGGCACATGACCAGGGATGAAGCTTTCTTTCATGGTCTGTATGTACAGTGACATACGCTATGACGGGCCTTTCGCCCTTGATATGGAGTTCCTGATTGGGTTGTTGTGCTTCGTAGTGGTGCGTAGGTGAGAAATGGACGCCAGCACAGAATTGCTTGCTAACCCAGATAGGAAAAACCTCTTCCTTGTCCAACCTGCATGATCGCAGAGTGTTGTGATAGTCGGTGTGAGATGGATCCGGACAGTGTTGACCAAATAGCAAGCACGGATAACCCAGAAAACAAAGAAAGGAAGAGCAGCGTGAGGAACCGGGACCAAAGCCAGTGGATAGAAATGTAGTCCATGCCATTCTTGGACTTCAGATGCCGTAACATAGCAATAATGTTGCCACACGTCACCAGAGAGTCATACGGCGGCAGCGCGCCTCCGCCCCACTTCTTCCACCAGACAATCTCCATCAATCCCATCCTTGTGTTTTCTCTCTTCATCCTCTCCTTTATCTTTGGATTGACGAATATGTGGTGGAAGTCCTGGAGTAACGTGTCATAATCCTCGTCGATTGCAAGGACAACAGGCTCGAGACTGCCCTGGTAGAGAACCATGACCGAGAACGTGAGTTCAAGGTATTCGAGTGTCGTACATTTGCCTCGAGAGACGGCATGCGAGAGCATTGAGGCGCGGGTCGAGTGATAAGTTTTGCGAGCTAGGGTTGTGGAAGGTCCTGCGATGTCACCGGTCGGCAATCCGTGATCGTCCTGGTTTGTTTGTGTATGCAGGCGGCTGGTCTTTGCTTGTATTGGCCGCCATGTCTGGGATATGGTCGGATGATCTTAGTAGTCGATGCAAATGAGAGGAGAGATGGAAAGCAAAGTAGGAATGATATTATTTCCTGTTGATGATGATGGAGATGAAGAAGATGATGATAAGGATGGTGATGATGATGTTGCCTGCAGTTGAAGCTGCGCCCGGGTCGTAAGCTGTTGAGTGTGAAACCACGGAGTGTGTTAAAGAAAGACAGATGTCTGTGCTACGCTAGTACCGTTTGGTACCGTTTCAATCCGACCAGCACGTTTCCACCCCCCCAACCTTTCACGAAGGCGGTTGACTACCAAGAGAAGGCTGCTGGGATGGCTTGGACCCGAATCCTGAGACACACCTCTGTTCCAGACGTCGACATCCTCCGTTCGTGTGATCTTACAACCAATCGCGCAGTTCAGTCACGCAGTGCCAAAGACTGATGACGAAACTTTCGTCTTTGTGATCTAATTTGGTCTCTCGGGTCCGAGAAAGTGTTAGAGATGCTTCGCAAAAAAGTTCGCCACCTGCTTACGAGTACCCCCTCGCAAACTCCTTCAACCCATCTTGTTTCTTAAGGTCCGCTCTTGCTACCATCCAGCCATGCTGCATAGGAGCATAGTTCTCAACCTCATTCCCCTTTCCTGTCCTCAATGCCTTCCCATACTCCGCCATCTACACCAGTGAACATCCTGACTCGAGAACAAGCAAATGTAAGAGATCGTCAACTTCTCAGCGTCCTCCTTGGCTATGAAGTACTTCCCGCAGCTTTGAACGGTGTGCCAGGACCAGAAGCAAGTGCAGTGAGCTTTTCCTCCCCAACGAAAGCCGTAGGCACCCCAGCCTTTGATGCTAGGCCATTTCTCCTCTGCTTCCTTTGGATATCAAGAAGCTTCGCTGTATGCCGTGGCGGGTCTGCTCTGTTTTTATGAAGTGCATCAGAATGCTTCTCTTCTCCTCTGTATCTGCTGGGTGGGCGTCAAGAGGGAGTCCGCCCTGAAGGAAATCCGGCATTGAGACGACAGCATCGGCCAGCAGCTCTGCGCCTTGGCTAATTGATGGATGGAAGCCGAAGACATCGCATGCGGCGACTAGACCACGAGTTGGTGAGGTAGAGGAGATGACATATGTCTTTAAGCCGGCGAAATTTTCAATTTACCCTTGGGTGTGTAATTGGATGTTGTCACTGCTGGCAATGTAAAGCATTCTTCACCTACTCCTGCCATCGTGAGTGGGTTGCGAGCAGTATTTCTTATTCTTGAGCAATCGATTGGTTATTCTATGGAGTGTATATGTGTGCTATAGATATACCATGTCAAGCTCATGAGTCAAGCCCATAAGTCAAGACCGTGAGTCACGACCAAGTGGACCGTGCATATAGCACACCTTGAAAAATTCTCTTGGGTGTAGTGCAAGGTAGAGGAAGTCACAACCTCGAACATACACGATAGTACATCATCTCTTCATGTTGAACCTCGCTGGAAATGTGACCGTCGGTTGAAGTCGATATGATTTGTGAAAAGTCGAAAAACTAAAAACGACTATATCAAACTCAAAGGCCAGCTCTAAGGGCCGCGCCGGGACTGATTCCGCTAACAACGATTAGCTCCGGATGATCCGACTGTTTCCTTGGGCCAAACCATAATTAAAAGCTTAGGAAATGGAAAACGGTGGGCCGCAAGCTGCAGCAATCTATTCAAAACAGTGGGCTGACACGACCGAAATAGGCAATTTAAGGATGCATAGTCTGACCGAAAGGCAGATTTTGGGTTGACTGCAATTCGATTGAGCTAAAATAGACACCGAAGCAGGTATCTCTAAGGTGAATGAAGGCAAAGGTCAAACTTGATTTAGGAGCTAGCGAAGGCAAGATTCTTGGCGAAACGGTCCACAACAGGGCCATCGAAGGTGGCCATGAGGACAGGACCAATCGCTCAAGCATTCCCAAAGAAAAGTGTGGTCTGAAGAAGCATTGCCCATTCAAAGGCAATGTTCCGGATAACACGAGGAAGGTTCTCAAGAGAGGCATGGTCCTTGGGCATATACCCACCTAGAGGCAATGTTCAGAGCTGGCATACGGTCCGGTTTTCTTTGTTATTGCAGCTCATTCTGTATTTTGTTGCTTGTTCCATGCTACGCAGTCTTCAAACCTGACCCCTTGTCCGCCGAAAATGTCCAGCGCGCTTCCAATTGTCAGGTCTACCCGGGAACTGCTGAGCCTTTTAACCTTGTCCAAGTCATCCATTGTCTTCCCTCCTCCGGCATAAGTCACTGGTAGAGTGCACCACTGTCCCAGCTTCTCCACCAATTCCTCATCTATGCCGCGTTGCAAGCCTTCATTGTCAGCGGCATGTATCAGAAACTCTGAGCAGAAAGGCTCGAGTAGCTTTATAGACTCTGCCAGAGTCTGTAAGTATACACGGGGGAGTCTTGGCAACAGTTAGGACTTACTTTCATCGAGCTCCATATCGGTCAGAGTCTGCCACTTGTTCATTGCAACGGACCATTTGGCGCCTTGCCTTCGACAGCTCAAATCAATGACTAGCTTGCTTCTGTCTTGATTGAGCACATGCAGGACTGCATGGAGGTGGGTCATAGAGAATTTGGCATCTGGAAACAAATAAGATGTCACAATGACCTACCGAGCGACCTCAGCCAAATGAAAATAGGCATTCATCAAAAGAAAACGATATTACCTTCTCCGCACCTTTCTCGATCCACTGCTTTGCATTTGTCTCGTTGATACCCCCACCTAGTTGCAAGGCGCCTGGCCACGCTGATAGGGCTTCTTGCGCCGCTGTCTCATTTCCGGGCCCCAGCATGATAACATGCGCACCACTTAGTTCGCTATCTCTGTAAAGTTGGGCATAATGACTTGAGGGAAGTTTGGAGACATAGTTCGTCTTGAGATCGGAGGCCTTCTTACTCAGAGTACCACCTACAATCTGCTTCACCTGACCAGAATGCAAGTCAATGCATGGTCTGAATCGTGTCATCACTCTAGACTGCAGCAAGGTAGGATGCACAATTTGGTGGACGAATTGTTGTACTTGTAGATTTAGAATGATCCGGAGAAACTTTTTTCCGCATTCTTCCGTGCCTAGCAAGTTTCTTCCTTTTTTGCAGCTGCTACATATCAACTTCGAAGTATGGCACCAGCTTTGGGCAAAAGGAAGCGGCGTGATCAAATTACTGATCTTGAGTCTAGCCGTGAAGCTCCTGCGGACGAAGACTCCACCAATTTGCAAGCTCTCTTCCGGCAACATTTCGAGTCCACCTTTGAACCATTGCCAGGCTCCTCTGCGCACCCACCGTTAGTCCATAAGCTCGATACCAAGGCGACTGACGAAGGAATCGAGTCTGATTGGGACGGATTTTCGGAACACGGCGAAGAGCATGCAGAGACTGTACACCACGCTACCTCTGCACCGTCCAAAGCGGATGTTTCCAAGGACGAATTCAGAACATTCATGGTGAGAGCGCAAGTCGTGTCGTCCACCAATACTACGCTGAATATGTATCATCGCAGAGTGCAAAACCTCCATCCTCGGTTACAAAGGTAGCGTCTACAGCGAAACGGAAATGGCCTGAGATCACCAGAGAATGACGAGTCATCCACAGACGCTGCCAATCTCAAAAAAGATCTAGCTCTGCAGCGGCTGCTGAAAGAGTCTCATTTGCTGGACCCACAATCCTCGCTGTCACATTCCGGTAAAAATCGGCATAAAGCTTTGGACCTGCGACTCCAGGATATGGGCTCCAAAACATCCGTCTTTGCGCAGCAGAAGATGCCACTTGCTCAGAGGAGAGGAATTACTGCAAAAGCTACAGAAAGAGAAGAGCATCGAAGACGAGAAGCACAAGAGAACGGTATCATCCTAGAGAAGGCAGCCAAAAGCAAAAAGAAGAGCGACGCCATCAGACAGAGGGGCATAGGTGCGCCTAGCGTTGGCAAGTTTCAAAGAGGGATGTTGAAGCTCAGTAAGAAAGACGTCGCTGATATTGAGGGGCCGAAGAAGAGTGCAAGACGCAAAAGGTAGCTTATCGATATGTCGGCTTTACAGACACAGATGTCCTGGGCTATAGAGTTTGGCGCATCGGTGCGGCGTCCGAAATACGAGGTTTCAGCCATTAATAACTCATCTGAAACTACCACGACTACGACTGTGGGCACTTTTGACTTACGTCTAACGAGAATTTCGGAGTCAAGCAATCTTAATTGGTAGGGAAGAGAGTAACGCTGTACATATCCAGAGTCGGCGCCCAGCATGTTCGTGGCTGGAGGTTAACGGCAGGACCCCCGTTGTGATATCAACATTCGGGCAAAAGCGCCTCCAGCAAAGAGCTATTATACGGCATGTCGAATTGCGCTGGGAAGACACAGAGTCCCGGAAGAGTAGCTTACAATAAAGAAACAAATGCAATGTTACTAATCAGATCCACCATGGTTATCCACATTAGTGGATCCGCTTCTCGGTTCCTTCCACGAGTGAGCTTCGCGCGACGACGGAGCGACTGACCATCAGACGTCTCTCCAGCGTGCATGGATCCTCCGAGGCTCAGGTACCGGAGAGGGTTTGTACATAGGTATTAACAATCTTTTTGACAGCGGGACGGCAGGTCGAGAGTCGATATTGGAAGCAGCGTGGACTCGGACGTTGTCGTCTATAGCCGGAAGCCAGCCAGCGGAAAATTTAATACATGGTGACTGGATCCTTGTGGGTGGTGGTAGGACTCGGTTTCATACTATCGCATGCCCTGTCTTCCTTGTTGATCGACGTCCAGCTTGGGGTTACTGCTTTTAGGAGGTTTGTATGTTGTAGACTTGTTTATTGCTCAGGCCTCTGGCCAAGCCCATCAACAATCAGCAGCTCCTGACTAGCCTAACATCAGAGTTCAGCTTTTGCACTTTCTCTTGCATCACAAGCATATTAGTAGTTTGGCAAAGCACAAGTGGTCAAGTGTGTTGGTATTCGAATTTCCCAATGTGGAAATCTTTCTTGCGCAAGTGCGTTGGCGCGCCTATCTTCGGTTTCAGGCCGTCGATCAAACTGCCGTCTCCCATTCGTGCTCTTCCAGCCCAGTACGACCGCGGGGAACTACATGTCTTGGTTCTTCCCGCTGCGGTGAAGATCCACCTGGGACCAAAGGTGCACAGTTCAGCACGTGCTATGCAACATCAATCTCATAGTACCAGGTCCAATACTCATGGAGCCTTGCGTAAATGCAATGTGGACCTTCTCAAGCTTGGCAACCGAACCAATACTACGTTTGCCCAAGTTCTCTCCCATCAAACACAATGCCAACATTATGAGTACGGCCCCCCTTCTTTCGTGGAGGGAAGTGCATTATTGTTCACACGTGGCTTACAGATTGCCGCGAGACAGGTCTAGTAATGTACGTAGCCATTCCAATCGGAGATTTGTCCCACTCCGTTTGGGACGGCAAGAGGGAGACTTCTATGGTCTATCCGACCACGTAGCTTTGACGACGCAACGCCACCAGAATGATGCATGATTTATACTGCAGCAATTTAGCATGCCGAGTCGCGGACGCAGGGTTCTTTGGTAGCAGATGGGGCCGGGTCGTCCGATGGATCATTAACCGAGGGCCAGCAAGTTTCTTTTGCTGCTTTAGCGATAATTCAGTTGCCATCGGTCACGTCGTCTAGGGCGGTGCTTGAGCCGACAGAGCACGCTTGTATAGAAGCGTGCCGTGGTGGGATCCGATTCTGATCGCCCTTTGCTGTGTGGACAGGCGTCATCAGTCACTAGGTGGTAAGTTGCGGGACGTGCAGAACAATGACCTCAACTTGTGGAAATAGTCAGCATAGTCAGCATAGTCATTGGAGAACTGTTGCCCGCCAGGTTTGATTGCAGATTGCAGAGTCAAGGTCAATTCGAAGATTGCCATATGATGATTGACCACTTTTCTTATGAGGCCATTACGCCATCTTGGGTGAGAATCTGAAACCAGTTTGAGAGCCTTCTCGAAAAGCGGGCTAACCGGAAAGACAGTAAGCGCCCAAATTTAGATTTGCACTTGCCAGCTCAAACCAATCACTTGCAGCAGGTACCACGCCTCCTTCCTTTGGCGTGCCGCTGGACGAGTGACTTGTCGACAGCGATGACCCACGTTTGGCAAAGCCACTTTCTCCGTAGAACCGGAGGATTCGACGAAGCCTGTTCCCGAGGAAAGCTATTTAATGTTCATGAACGTCGTGATGGATAGGACAGCTTCACGTGGAAGCAAGGCATGATTATTGACAAACCCTTACTGGACTACAGTCTTTGTCTTTAATGTCTTGGAGCACAGGTGGAGAGGAGCGCCTTGCAGGATGTCGTCCTGTCAGCTGGAGTTGGCATTATTTTCGGCTTTTGGCATGGCTGTGCCTTAGGTGAGCATTTGCTTCTAGCCTTTCACCTAGATGCTCATTTCCGCACAGTCCACGAACCAAAACATTCTCGCACAATTCATTGTCGTTGGGGCCGCTACCGTGACTTACTCTGCGCGAGTACATGCCGTAAGGTAGTCATGAGGAATGAATTCATGCAATGATCAATGCGTAGAAAATGGAAGATGTAAAAAAGAAGATGATGAGATGGTAAATAGAGTGGCCGTGTTGGGCCAGTCCATTAATACTTTATTGGCGACTGGCTTGAGGATCAGCAAGGATGATGATCCAAAAGTACCTTAGTCCCTTAGGGCCCCCTTGTTAGTTCGGCCGGCTCATCTTTTTGTAGAGGTGCCCTCCGCCCCCCGCCGGTAAATTTGGCGCTTGTTTTGCACACACACAAATCCCAACCTGAATCCTAGCATATCTTTTGCCTTCCCTTAGTCTTTCCCCCCCCCCCCCCCTCTCCCTTTTAACCGAATTCTAGGCCAGGCCCCGTTTGACAACTCTCAAACACAACCTCTTAACTTCTAAAACACCCAGCGCTTCCCCCCTCCCTTACTCGTTCCCAAACATACCTTCCAAAAAAGATCCTACCTTTGTGCGCCCATTTTCTCTTCTCACGTCTCACTTCCCGTCGCTACAGCTTCTCACACACTTCATTCTGAGGCTTCCATTAGGTCGGTGAAACAACCGCAGGCCAGTGTTTTCGCTTGCCCATTCATTCATCAGCCTTGCCGGTGCAAGGTTTGGAAACAGGCGAAATCGACAGCACAGGCAGGCCCTGCACTTTTGCCTTTAACCTTCCCACCAAACCGTGTCAGCGTCACTTCCAAACTTCTCGAGGCCGGTACCTGCAGAACGAGATTCATTACATTCGCTCCAAACTGCCCTGACACCGTTAACCATCTAATTCTCCACTGCCTGACACTGCTTTTCGCGAGCTGCGAGCTGCGAGTGACCCGCCACAAGCACCGCCCACATCACCACCTCCTGCATCCTCCTCCCACGACGAAACTTTCTTCGCAAGGGGATCACAGCAATTGTCTGCCAGCTGCGGGGTGACACAGCGCCATGTCGATGTACTCTCAAAACAACCCAACGGCAATGGCGCCGCCGCAGAAGCCAGAAACCTTTATGCTCTCTGATGCAGCGCAACAGAGTCTGCCACAAGATGCGCAAGTCGCACTGCAGCAGGTCGATAATCGTAAGCATCCCCTCGTGTTGGTATCCGAATACAAGAAGGTGACAGCTGGGCGCACTGCTCTGCGATCCATGCTGCTGGCATTGTGCGGACATGGGCTAACTCCGTTGCCAGTCAAATACTTTCTCATCTCTGCACCCGTGGACTGGACCCCCGATCAATATATTAGAAGATTCCTCTTGCCGACGGGCGAGTATGTGTCGTGTGTCTTATGGTAAGAAGCCTGATCCCCTGGTCCAGCATCCGATAGGCAGTCCTGATATCGTGCAGGAACAATTTGTTTCACATCTCCGGTACAGATATCGTGCGATGTCTCTCCTTCCGATTCCAAGCCTTCGGACGGCCAGTGAAAAATCCGAAGAAGTTCGAGGAGGGTATCTTCTCAGATCTGCGCAACCTCAAGTCTGGCACCGATGCATCGCTCGAGGAGCCAAAGAGCCCCTTCCTCGACTTCATGTACAAGAACAACTGTATCAGAACGCAAAAGAAGCAGAAGGTGTTTTACTGGTACAGCGTGCCACATGACCGACTCTTCCTCGATGCGTTGGAAAGAGACTTGAAGAGGGAGAAGATGAACCAGGAAGCGACTACAATGGCAGTCAATGAACCAGCTCTTTCATTCGAGTTCGACTCCTCGCAGTCTTTGTTCGAGCAGCTCACAAAGAGTCAACAAGCAAACACCTCATCCTTGAACGCTAGTTCGGCATATTCGCAATCGACCTCGCCAGTCCTGCGTGCAGTGGACTCGATGCCCCCGCCACAGATGGTCCCCAGCTCGATGCCCACGGTCACCGAAGATCTACCGCAAACTATGGGTGCTTATTCTCAAGTGTCCATGCCTTCTACCGCTGCAACAAACTTCATAAAGCGTGAGCAGGACTATGGACAGCTGCAGTACGATCGAAATGGCATCCCGCTCACACGAGTGCACCAACGTCACACATCCATGCCCGCGTACATGGAATACTCCCCAGCCCCTTCCTTCGTCTCTTCGCAATACGAAGACTACAGCCAGCGAGGTATGTCGTTCGAGCCTGTCACTCCGCCTCAGCATGCACAAAATCTAGCGGAGCCAGCGTACATTGCCAACGAGGACACTGGTCTCTACACAGCCATTCCTGATAATTCTCAAAACTACAATCCCTTGATGCATTTGCCTACTGCCAACCTCTCGGGAGGCCAGTACAACGCCACTCAGAGGTACCCCTCGAGTAACGTCTATTCCGTTATTGAGGGATCTCCTACCTACAAGCAGAGGAGACGAAGGTCTTCAATCCCTCCGAACGTGACAAACGGTGTCCCAAACACTACTGCTACTGCTACTGCGACTGCTGCCATGCCCCACGCACCACACCGTCAGAGCGATCTTCGCCGGTCGGTGTCCGCTTCAGTTGGGCCAGAAGAGGGAGATGGCGAACATAATTCACCACAACCGGGGACTTTGGCCAATGGCTACGCCAACATGGTGCAGCAGCATAAGGAGATGTTGGAGCAAATGTCCCGTCATACCACGCCATTGCCCACTCTGGAAGGTAGCCCAGCGCCACACAACCTGGGCATGATGCCGCCACAAGACAATTACAACGGGTATCAGGCCGAGAACATATCCAGTTCAATAGACAACAGCCCGGTAGCTGCCCGAGGTGATAGGCCTGGACCCGTACGGAGAGCCCGGAGTGCGACTCTGATGGAGCTGGGTCCTTACCCACACAAATCCCATTCGTGCCCAATCCCCACCTGTGGCCGTCTTTTCAAGCGATTAGAACATCTCAAAAGGTACGTTTGATAGGCTCTCTTCCCTCCTCGACGTTGACAACCCCTGGGAATGTACCCCCAAATAATTTTCCCCTGTGGGGGACAAAATCTGTGAACAGTTGCCCCTTAATTTCCGCAACCGCTGACAGTTTTCCGGCGCTTAGACACGTGAGAACCCATACTCAGGAGCGACCATACGTATGCCCACACTGCCAGAAGGCTTTTTCACGGTCTGATAACCTTGCTCAGTAAGTCTACGCATTACGCATGTCCAATTCATGATCATTCTGGGGGCGAACTAACCCTTTCCGCAGACACCGCCGCACACATGAAGCCCGCCCCGATGGCGAAGTGGGCGCCTACAGCGACGAAGATCTTGAGGCCGAGGAGAATGAATTTGGGGTACTCGATGATGAATCTCCACCACCGCCGGACCACAGCTACATGTCGAATGGGTTGACGAATGGTTTGACCAATAGCCCAATGACCAATATGACAGCAGCCTCCATGCGAATACCAACCACCGGCATGGGAACAGGCCACGTCATGGCGCCTCCTCAAATGATATCGACCCAGCATATGCTACAGCAACAGATCTAAAGCGCGTCGAGATGCCTGTGCGTTGGTTGCTGTATAGCATGCGCCTTCTACCGTTATTCGTTACATACTCACGACGTCACGAATTCCCTTGCTCGTTTCCTTAATTCTAATTTCCGTTGAAAGTCGCTTTATCATGGGTGGAAGCCCATCCCTCTCAGCTGATTAGCTGAAGCTTGCATTTGCGGTCCCCTCAATGTACGTATTACGCATGTCATGCTAGACCCGAACGACGCATGGTGTCGGAGAGAGACGGGTCGGTCGGAGAACAAAAGGATTGTAGAGTAAGATCTGGCGGGTCGGCCGTCGGTGGAAACGGGAAGCAATCCTTGCCATGATTGGTTCCATGTCTTGCTGCACTAGACACCTCCCTTGGCCTTGTCGGCTTCTTGCCCAAGGGGGTTTTTTGGAAAGAGATCGATATGTTCATAGATGGCGAAGTCGAACCACGTTGTTGTAATGGCGGAAAGGAAATACCAACCTTTTTCCCCCCGTCCTTTCTTTCTTACAGACACACTCCCCCTCCCTCCCTCCCTCTTCCACAACACACGCACGCGCGCACATCCTTCCCTCCATCCTTCCATCCTCCCTCCCTCCCTCCCATCCATCCATAACTGATAAGACCAACACCCGTCTCCGATCCAACGCATAGACAGACAGACACATTTCATTCATTCATCCATCCAGCCAGGATATCCACAAACCCCCCTTCCCCCTCCCCCTCTCCCCGGGGGGCCCCAAGTGGGCGAAAGCGTTCAGAGAGCAGCGTGAGAGCTTGTGTGCAGACTGGGTGCTGGGAGGGTGCTGGGAGGAGAAGAGAGGGGAGGAGGAGGGAAGAGAGGGAGAAGGGAGGGGAGAGAGAGGAGAAGAGAGGGGAGGAGAGAGAGAGAAGAGAAGAGGGGAGAAGAGAGAGGAGAGAGGGGAAGAGAAGAGAGGGGAAGAGAGGGGAGAAGAGAGGGGAGGGGGAGGAGAGGAGAGGAGAGAGAGGGGAGAGGAGAGGAGAGAGGAGAAGAGAAGAGAAGAGAGGGGAGAGGGGAGGAGAAGAGAGGGGGAGAGGGAGGAGAGGGGAGGGAGGGGAGGGGAGGGGAGGAGAAGAGAGAGGAGGAGAGAGAGAGAGGGAGAGGGAGGGGGAGAGAGGGGGAGAGAGGGGGGAGGAGAGGAGAGAGAGGAGGAGGGGAGGGAGAGAGGGGGAGAGAGAGGGGAGAGAGAAGAGAAGAGGGGAGAGGAGAGAGAGGGGAGAGAGAGAGAGAGGGGAGAGAGAGGGGAGGAGAGAGGGGGAGAGGAGAGAAGAGAAGAGAGGAGAGGAGAGGAGAGGGGGAGAGGAGAGAGAGAGAGGAGAGGAAAGGGGAGGGGAAGAGAGGGGAGGAGAAGAGAGGGGAGAGGAGAGAGGAAACCGGGAGAGAGGAGAAGAGAAGACAGGGGAGAGGAGAGAGGGGGAGAGGGGGAGAGAGGGGAGAAGAGAAGAGAGGGAGGGGAGGGGAGGGAGAAGAGAGGGGAGGGAGGGAGGGGAGGGGGGGGGAGGGAGGGGGAGAGAGAGAGAGGGGTGCAGTAGATGGATAGAGAGATTTTGGGGGGGGGGGTATCGGTGTATCATCTCCGCGATGGAAGGGGGATGGACCGTCGTTGCAAGGCTTGATGTGAGAGGGATTTCTTGGAGTTCTGGCTCATACGAAGGAATTGGAGAGGGGGTTCTTTTTGGAAGGGGAGTTCGGACACGCCCCTTCAAACGGCATTGGAAGCGGAGGGTATCGCCCTTCATTAATTTCCTAGTGATCGAGCATATTGCCATCGAGATAGCCTAGGCCGACAAAATTGGTATCGAATAGATTCCCTCACCACAGGCCACGCACCGTATCGAGTCTGTGAAGCCTGTCCAATGCCCGGGTCCAAAATCCCTTGGCTCATCCCACTCCAACTCACACCGCTTCCCCATCCTGATGATCTCTCAAACCTCTCTCCTCTTCCCCGGTCCCTCCCTCCCGCTTTCTTCCGTTCCCCTTAACCGGCTCCGCGTCTTCCCTGATCCTCCAAGTGAAGACCGCCGCAACCAGTGCTGCTAGTCCACCAAACCGGAGTACCCACCCTACGCTAGTATCATAGGGTTCTCCTCTCTGTTTCTGCGCGAGTTTGAAGATGGCACTCGACACCAATGTCGAAACAATTTGGGGAGCTGCAACGGCGACGTTGTGAAGACCGAGTATTACACCGGCTTGATCTTCTGGCTTGTTCTTCGGGTTGGGGCCTCCCCGCCGGGCCTCACTGTCTCGTTTCGATATTTCAGCGCTTATGAGAGCAAAAGGGGCCCACAAAGAGAGAGCCCATGGCAAGCCGACGACGCCGGCCAAGACCGTGGCTTGAGTCGGGGTGGAGATAAAGAACGTCGAGGCCATGCAGAGGGCGAAGAGAATATGGGAGAGTAGCCAGGCACGGCGGAGGGTGAGCCATTTTATCTGGCAAAGGTCCAAGAGGCGGCTTAAACGGGCGTGAAGCGTTGGAGATGGTGAAGGTGCGGATGGAAAGAAATATGTACTTGCGGAGAGGGTACCGGGTGTCCCTGGAGTGTGGTGCGGCGGAGTGGAAGGAGTCTTGGGAGGAGGGGCGTGGTAGGAGGGAACGACTAGGAATGGAAGGAGCATGTTGGAGGTGAAGGAGGTGATGGCGAATATCAAGAGTGCGAATGTGCCAACCCGCGTGGCGTCTTCCCAAGCTTTGTCGATTTCGGCTGGTGTGAGGTCGGGATGTGAGGCGAAGTAAGGGTTGACATGCAATTGACCGATCCAGGTTGTAATGTAGAATAGAAAGCCGAACCAGCCCATCCAGTTGAAAAACTGCACTTCGCACACTTTGCGACTCTGGGGGGAAGTCGACGTATCGAGTTGAATACTTGGCGGAAAAAGCTGAGGATCCCAGGGTTAGCCTCGGAAGGGGGGCCTTCAAAACGAGGATCGCGTTCGCGGATGTAGAGAGAGGTGATCGCGATCGTGCCGCAGAGGGAGACACTGGCGATGACACAGAGAACCTTGAATTGTGTATTGCCTAGCCAGGGGAAAATCTCTGGGAGATTCACGTAGCCGGAGATGTATCCTAGAATGTTGCCGATGCCAGTGATTCGGCCAGCCCACGAATTGGCGTCCTCCTGCTGATGCGTTGGTGCATAGTCAACTATGAAGGCGCGGACGCCCGCTTGAACTTAGAGAATGTTAGCGACATTTATCGAGAGATGTGACTCAGAACTCACCTGTATTGATTGCAAAATCTAATACGTATACGAAGATGATTGCGAAGATGATTGAGCAGACTTTGACACCATGCGATTCTGGATTCGCGCCGAAAAGCCCGAGAAATCCGTGCACGATTTCCCTCGTCTTGATGATTTCGGAGTCAGCATGACTCTCTCGGGAGAAATTCAGGATCGCGAGATATGTCTTTGGAGCAGAGAACTCTTGAGACATAATTGGAGGTTCATAAGACGGCATAAATGGGGAAGGATTGCGTCAAAATGTACAACGTACCCAGGCCAAGCATAGAAGGGAAATTGCCGTAGCCAATGCGCCTGCTAGCATGAACCTACGCAGATTTCGGAGTCAGCATTGTTTCTTCGAGGCAAGAAGCCTAAGTTCGGAGACAGGTGCAGGAGTGGAAGGAGGGTTTTGCTCCTGGACTATGTCTTGCGACTCAGGTTTTGGTACACATTGTGGAGAATGGCTCCGGATCACACGTACGGTACCCTCTTCCCCCATGGTGACCGGCAATTGTCACTTCGGATCCCGATGTACGGCTGAACAAGAGTACCAGAGAGCGGCCCAGCAATCCATACGAAAGCGAGTAGAGACTTGCTCATGCCCAGTGAAAGAAGATATGGCTGTTCATCATATCTATTAGCACACAAGACCCGTCTGATCGGGCCGCTGTACTTACAGAGCCATTGGACAGCTCCGTCGCCCACGCTATTTGTAGCCTGTGTCAATCCCGTCAGTACTCAATTTTTCTTATAGAACGCTGACAGGGTATGGGTAGAGTACTCTCACCCTCCGATGCCCAAGGTCAATATGATGAGGTAAAATGTGCTCTTAGATTGCTCCTCTTCCCCCTCGTTCCAGTCTAATAGTCCTGGAGAGGTACCGCGGTCCTCGGGTCCACGCTCATCCTGGGACCGCTGTGGTGAAAGCAGAGGCGAACTCTCATTCAAGTTAAGGGATCCTGGCCTACTTCGGTCTTTCGCAGAACTCAAAGGAGACGAGACATGACTTTCGGTCGTTCCTTGCTGCCGAGAGCTTTCCTTCGACAGTCTGGAGACAGGGCGCGATGCTGATGGATCCTGTGCCATGAAACCCGACGCTTCGACCGTGATGGTTTGGAAAAGGTAGGCAGCGGTAGAAGGCGAAAGTGGGAGCCTTGTATAATCGAAGCACTTGTCGATTCGGACGAGAATTGATTTGTGGTCAAGATCCAAGAGGGTCTTATGAATTCTTGAATGGGTCCATGGTCTGCTGTTTCCTCTGCACTTGGGCTGAATGACCAAGTCAGGCGCCCGTTCTGGTAAAGAAAGGATTCCCAGGCAGCTGTCTAGCGAGAGATGTCTCTAGCCTGGGCGAGCGATCTATCTTTGCGAGACTGTACAGGGACATGTAGGTAAAAAAGGCCAAATGTCAACAGCCAGCCTCGAAGCTTGAGGTCGGAGGTCCCGCTTTGGTGGGGCTGGGGCGGGAGTGAGCACTAGCGCAGATCATCAAAGCCATCAGTAAGATATCACCCTCGAGGCCTCAAGACATCGAGCAAATACTTAATGCAAGAATGTCCTGTATTCACGCAGGACAATAAAATAATAGCAGGTTGTGGCTGTGGTTCCTAAGTCCGCTAGGGAATTTTGTTGTAGCCGCGAGGTGCATATTATCGGTTATCGGATTGTATAACACCTCTAGTCCCGCCAAGGCTACCATTCTCGCGACAAGTCTTGGCGTAGATCAAGTACCTCACTGCGAAGCTTCAGTAACCATCGAAAGACGTTCGCCAGATGATGTGTTCCCGTCTTCGTAGTATCACTACCGTCACACAGGTTGCCTTGCCGTGATTGCTGAGGCAGATGCGTTCGTCCCGGGAGCCGCCTGGAAAAGAAGCACTTCGTCGGCATGGCTTCGCTCATGGGCAACGCCGTCTATGAGCTTCTTAGTATGATGCCTTACCCCCTACAGAACGCTGGACTTTCTCTGACAATCCGACTCGTATAGAAAGACAAGCCGACGATGAGGCAGATCCGGAAGATGGCGGTGAGTGGACTCTCGGCGTCGGGCCAACGACTGGATGGCTGACAGAGGGACTCTACAGAGCCGGAGGCTGGACAGAAGGAGATTTTCTCCTCCTGGGCATTGTTCATTCTGATCATGCTGCTCATACTGGCTTTGTTTGCCAGTTATATGCTACAGCACAAGAAGATACAAGCAATACACGAAACGGTGATCTCAATCTTTGCTGGTGGGACTTTTTCTGCAGCCATTGGCTTTGAAGTAATGTGTCGACTGACCTTGTGTAGGCATGGGCGCCGGTCTGATAATAAAGTTGACCGAGGGAACATTCATCCAAAACACCGTCAGCTTTAACTACCAATTCTTCTTCAACCTACTCCTTCCTCCGATCATCCTAGCCTCTGGATACGAACTACATCAAGCAAACTTTTTCCGCAACATCGGCACTATCTTGACATTTGCGTTTGCGGGGACCTTCATTTCAGCTATCGTGCTAGGCTTGTTTTTGTGGTTGTGGACACGGATACCTCTTGACGGCTTCCAGATATCTTTCGTGGAGGCAATATCAGTAGGGGCAACGTTATCGGCTACGGACCCAGTCACTATTCTGGCTATTTTCAACACGTACAAGGTTGACCCAAAGCTGTACACCGTCATCTTTGGAGAGTCGATCTTGAACGATGCAATCGCCATCGTCATCTTCGACACGGCACAGAGATATAAGCCGGACGGCAATAGGGGCGGCTCTCTGACCATCGTTAGTTTCTTCGAGGCTATTGGTATATTCTTCCTGGTGTTTTTCGGGAGTCTCATCATTGGAATCATCGTCGGCATTGGAACGGCCCTCTTACTGAAATTTACCCTTGTTCGCCGATTTCCCAAGATTGAGAGCTGTCTGATCATCCTGATCGCATACGCAAGCTACTACTTTGCCAATGGAGCAATGATGTCAGGTTCGTGCAGGCTACAAACATAGATGGTCGCTTGTGGTGGCAATGCTAAATATTCGCCAGGTATCGTCAGCCTTTTGTTCTGTGGCATTACCTTGAAACATTATGCGTACTACAACATGTCACGACGTACACAATTGACTACGAAATACATGTTTTCAGCACTTGCACAATTGTCAGAAAATTTTATCTTCATCTATCTCGGACTGACCTTGTTCACGGAGACGACACTATACTTCAAGCCCTTATTTATTCTCATTGCCATCATCGGCATATGCGCGGCAAGATGGTGTGCGGTATTCCCTCTTTCGAGAGCCATCAACTGGTTCATCCGCTACCGTGCAAGACGGAGAGGGAAAGATGTGGCCGATGAGCTCCCTTATTCGTATCAAGTAATGCTTTTCTGGGCTGGACTACGTGGTGCTGTCGGGGTGGCCTTGGCTGCTGGTTTAACTGGAGCCAATGGTCCCACTCTACAGGCTACGGTTCTTGTGGTGGTTGTCCTCACCGTCATCATATTTGGCGGCACTACCGCCCGCATGCTCGAGATCATGGGCATTCGGACTGGCGTGGTCGAAGAGATCGATTCGGACGACGAATTTGACATCGAAACAGCTACAAATGGTACCTACTACAAAAGTGCGGGCAATGCAGTGGGCTACTTGCCACAGCCACGGAAGGGCAGCGGTGTTCCAGTTGATAGGAACGGTCTCCGCGTTAATGGAGGTGCGGAGTCTGGATATAGTAGTGGGACACCCAGCGTCAGCCCTCCAAACAGACCAACATCCCGCAACAACTCTACTGTCGGTCAGAGGGAGAGGGAAGCCGAGTTCGCGCGTCAGTCTTTGTTGGCTCGAGGAGACAATGTGCCCAGCGAAGAGGAAGATCTATACTCTGATAGTGACCTTCCGCCAGCAGCTCGGACTCGGCCACCAAGAATAAAAGCGTCTCCAACCAGGGGTGACCCTCGGGCAGCAGCAGCAGGATCATCTCCTGCCGCAACGAACCACCCGCCAAGCGGGGATGTCGATCTGAGTGCCACCGGAGCATTCAGCCAACTCTTTTCTGGCACATCAGAAGAACAAGCGGCGTGGTTCACACAGCTTGACGAAGGCTTTATCAAGCCCAGGCTGCTGCTGGATCAGAATAGGAAGGGCGGCGGCGGCGTTTAGGAAGTGACTTGGGATGGTTTAGTACGGTGATTATACCACATGATGAATGTATTAGATAGCCTGGGAAGGGCATACCTTGCCTTAGCTCCGTTGTAGAATTAATCCATGTCGTTATTCTGCAGGTGTCGTCGTAATCAAGGCTTTGGCGGCCTGGAGGGGAGAGCGAAGATGAAATCTCACATGGGACAAGAATTGCCGACAAAGGGCAATGAATGTATGGAGGCAGAAGTATGCCCCGATGACATCCGTGCATATATGCGTGGTAGGACAGGCAAAGCGGCAGCGAGGGGCAATTTTGGTGAATGTAGGCCGCATCTGGTTGGTGCAATGGAGAAAGCGAGCCGGAGCTAAGGACAAGGATAAGGCTCAATAATGAATTGGATCAAGGGCACGTACTACTCAGCTTGCCCCCCATGAAACAAGCATGCGCCCGCTGGATAAGAGTACGTGAAAAGAAGATCACGCATTCCAAAGAGTAATAGTCAGTTTATGATAAAAAAATAAGATAGATGAAAAATATTGATGTGCAATGATGAGAGAAAGAATTTCCATGAGTAGTCGTAGCTGCAGTGATGAAATCTCAGTAGAAAGTACTCCGCCAACGAAGCTTCCACTCGATGGGTAGGCAATAATCTTGCTCGCGTTTGGCTGCGATTGACGCTTCCAGCAGGCCGACCAACACCATCACAAAATGGAACGCCATCCTCCCGGCAATCTCTCCCACATCATTCCCCCCTCTAAATCATCGCAACACCACAATCTAACACCTCCTCCTCGTCGTTCCGGACCAAAATCATCGAATAATATCCACGACCCTTGCTGACTGACCCACACCCGCGCCCTGTCTGGGCACAATAAGATCTGCGCCTGATGTGGCTTCATTGATGACTACATTCGCCCACAGTTCAACCTTCTGGATAGCCTCATTCCCTATTCCAACTTGGACACCATGCCACCCATCCATCCAAGCTCTCTTGACTGAATGACGCCCCGAACGACTCGCCAAGGAGATCACGCATTTACCTTGGCTGCTGCAACATCAAACACGATGCACTCTCCTCCAGCCTCAGTGACGCGGAGATACCACGAGGAAAATGATCGCCGGCGAAGGGATTATCATCCGCAGTCGCCGACCCATAGTCATCCTTACTCGCCTGGTAACGGAACACATCCTCCTTCACCCTACCATCAATACTCCTCTCGACCCTCCACCTCTGCAACCATGTCACAACAACCTCCCGCCATTAGCCCACGTCTAGGACCTCCGCCTTCTCCCAAGACGAATGGACCTTCACAAAACGGCTCGGCATATTCCCATAGAGATTCTGACGGCTCTACACGCTACGATCCATTGTCGGAACATCGTGAAATGCCAAGTAAGAAGCAATCACAGTACAACACACGCTCGCCGGGTCAGGTGAGTCTAGGTCCTTTGGGCAGTGAAGTGTGTCCAGCGTTCCATGTGGCTGACTATAGTTGTGGTGTAGACTCGAGACCCGGCCTCATATTCTAGCCAGTACTCAGATCCAAAAGTTTCTCCAGTCACATATAACTCCCCGACCGGTCACCTCTCGCAGCGCTCGCCAACATTACCGTCATCCCATGCACACCCACCCAGTAGACATAGCTCCATCCCACAATCACCTGCAAGAAGCGCTCTTGGATCCCCAATACATCCGCAAAGCGGCTTCAACTACACATCGCGAATCAACGGCTCCATGGACCTACCATCTTCTCAAGGAAATATTGATGAAGATGATGGTCAGATCCGCGCAAAGGAAGAGCCCAAGGCTACAAGGACCGCAAACCCGATGTCTTTCTCAAGCATTCTCTCAAGCAATGTTCCTGATCCCCCGAAATCTACTCCGCGGTCTACACCTGCCTTGAAGCCGCTAAAGAGTTCTTCGCACACCCCGAACGGAGACGTCAAACCTTCACGGACAGCACCGAGAAAGTCTGGCTCAAAACGCACTGCCTCACCAAAAGGCTATCTGGCCCCGACAAAGCACATTGTTAAGGCCGAACCTGAACTTCTCCCTCCTGCAAAGAGCTTAGGTAGCAGCAAGCTGAAGCCTGGCTCAATGACCTCAGACAAAGAGAACGAAAAGGTCAAGAAAGAAATGGCAAAGATAGATGCAACGCCGTTGAGTCCTATTGAGTTACCAGAATATGAGGCCGACAAGCAGAAGCATGCCAAATCTTCCCAGAAGCGACAGCGGGATGTTGAAAATGGCGAGGAAGTCAAGCGCAAGGTATGTCGACCACTTCTCCCCCTCACTGTTTCGTCGAAGCTGACACAGAAATATTAGCGCCGTCGCACCGCTGCATCCAGGACTGTTTCGCTCCAATTGGGTGCCTATGCAGATTATGGTAAGGAGCGATTCAGACAAATCAACGAAACTCAAGCCCTTGAAGAGGTCCAACGCAAAGAGGTCCAGGACGAGAAGGAGCGCAAGAAGGACATGCAACGCAAGCGCCGACGCGAGAAGACCATACAACAACAGACCCAATTGCAGAAAGAGGCGCTCGAGAAAGTCAAGTTGGCTGACGATGAAGCCGAACGGGAAAGATTCATGAGAGATGCACAGAAGGCGGAGAAGAAAGCGAAAACCACCAAGAGAATTCTAGAACGGGGTGACATACCGGAAGAGATTCGTGAAGTCACACCAATGGCACCAAACCTTGAAGGTGGTACAATGAGCACGTTCCAGAGTGCCAGCCATCTTTCGCCTGAGCCACCCCGGAAGAAGATCAAGGGCCCTTCTGTACGACCGAAGAAATCAAAAGAGAAGAAGCAGGCCGAAAAGGATGCCGCTGAGCACGGTTGGGCCTTGCAGGAGAGGGAACGGGACGACTTGGTGTTGATAGCCCCGAAAGAAGAGAACCGAAGAGATACTTATCCAAGAGGAACAAAAGAGGTCCGGCCTAGAGAGATCCCGAAGGATGCTTCACCGGTTACGTCGACGTTGACCAATTACGATTCCAAAGGTTTCCAGCAGGTCTATGATTCAATCTGGAAAGACATCGCACGGAAGGATGTACCCAAGGTTAGTAGAATCAAGGACAATTCACTATCGATAAAGCAATCCAATCTCCGGAAGACAGCCCAGCTGGCAGCAAAGGAGGCTCGGAGATGGCAGCTGCGTACCAACAAAGGTACCAAAGATGTGCAAGCGCGAGCTAAGAGAAGCATGCGAGAGATGATGTCCTTCTGGAAACGCAATGAGAGGGCGGAGCGAGACCTACGAAAGGTCGCCGAGAAGCAAGAGCAAGAGAATGCAAAGAAGGCCGAAGCAGACCGTGAATCCAATCGGCAAAAGCGCAAGCTTAACTTCTTGATCTCGCAGACGGAACTTTACTCCCATTTTATTGGTCGCAAGATCAAGACCGATGAGGTGGAGCGATCAACAGACAGTGCAGATGTTAGTGTGTCCAAGGAGACTGTTCAACCAGGCAAGGCAGATGCCCATGCAATCACATTGCCGGATAGCGTAGCTCAAGTCGGCAGCAAAGTCACCAATTTTGAGGATCTCGACTTTGACGCCGAGGATGAGACTGTCCTTAGACAAGCTGCAATGGCGAATGCGCAAAATGCCGTTCAGGAAGCTCAAAACAAAGCTCGTGCTTTTAATGGCGATGATAACAAGATGGCACAATTCGACGAGGGCGAGATGAATTTCCAGAACCCCACTGGACTAGGCGACATTGACGTTGCTCAGCCCAAGATGCTGAACGCCCAATTGAAGGAATACCAGCTCAAGGGGCTCAATTGGCTGGTCAACCTGTACGAGCAGGGCATCAACGGGATTCTGGCAGATGAGATGGGGCTAGGGAAGACTGTGCAGTCAATATCGGTGATGGCCTACCTTGCTGAGAAGCACAATATCTGGGGTCCCTTCCTTGTCATTGCACCTTCGTCCACATTGCACAATTGGCAACAGGAGATAACACGCTTCGTTCCCGATCTAAAGTGTCTGCCTTACTGGGGAAATGCGAAGGATCGAAAGGTGCTACGAAAGTTCTGGGATCGGAAGCACATCACCTATACAAAAGACTCACCATTCCATGTCCTCATTACCTCTTATCAGCTGGTTGTGCAAGACACTCAATACTTCTCGAAAATCCGTTGGCAGTACATGATTCTGGATGAGGCTCAAGCTATCAAGTCCTCGCAGAGTTCAAGATGGAAGAGCTTACTGGGATTTGCTTGCCGAAATCGCCTACTGTTGACCGGGACGCCAATTCAGAACAACATGCAGGAGCTTTGGGCTCTGCTGCATTTCATCATGCCCAGTCTCTTCGATTCCCACGATGAGTTCAGCGACTGGTTCTCCAAAGACATTGAGAGTCACGCCCAGAGCAATACCAAGCTCAACGAGGATCAGCTTAAGCGACTGCACATGATTCTCAAGCCGTTCATGTTACGGCGTATCAAGAAGCACGTTCAGAAAGAGTTGGGCGACAAGATCGAAGAAGATGTCTTCTGCGATCTGACGTACCGTCAACGCGCATACTATGGCAATCTCCGTAATCGGATCAGCATCATGGATCTTATCGAAAAGGCTGCAGTTGGTGACGATCAAGACACAGCGACATTGATGAACCTAGTCATGCAGTTCAGAAAGGTTTGCAATCATCCTGACTTGTTCGAGAGAGCCGATACAAATTCACCGCTGTCATTGGCACACTTTGCAGAATGTGCTTCCTTCATGAGAGAAGGCAACAACGTCAATGTTGGCTATTCCACAAGAAACTTGATCGAATACGACCTTCCGCGCCTACTTTGCAGTCCGGAAGCGAGACTTGATGTGGCAGGCCCTAACAACTCAAAAGCCGGGTTCAGAGGCAAATATTTAACTGAACTGATGAACATCTGGACGCCTGAGAACATCCAAAAGAGCTCATCGGACAATGCCACTTTCTCCTGGATGCGGTTCGCCAACATATCAGCAACCGAAGCGTACAGAGCCTCCCACCAAGGTGTGGCCGAACGAGCAATTCAGCTTGCTGGAAAAGCCTCTCGTCTTGCACGTTTCAATGTCGTGTATGATGAAACTGAAGAGACTAATCACACTCCTGCACATGCTCTCTTCAACATCGTGGAGCGAAACGATCGCCGCCCGCTTTGCAGCATCACTGCAGAGAGCCGCTTGCACAATCTCTTCAACATCTCGAAGAATACGTTCGAAGATCAGGGGTTGAACACGATCGAACAGTGTGCTAGACCTGGGGCTTCAGCACCACCGATCCAAATCTCTTGTTCAGACCAGGAAGCGCGCGTCCAGAAGGAGAACACCATCTTTAATATACCTTTGCGAAAGGCACTCTACGGAGTATCGGAGAAAGACGAAGCTGCACTCATCGAGGCCAAGGTTGATCCAGCTAGATACCCAGTCGCCACCCTCCTTCCACAGCCGTTGTCACAAAAAACCCGATTCACCAACATCCACGTGCCTTCGATGCGGCGCTTCGTCACGGACTCCGGCAAACTTGCGAAGCTTGACCAGCTTCTTCGTCAGCTCAAGAACGGTGGCCACCGCGTCCTACTTTACTTTCAAATGACCCGCATGATCGACCTCATGGAAGAGTACCTCACCTACCGCAACTACAAATATCTCCGACTCGACGGCTCCACGAAACTCGAAGACCGAAGAGATACAGTTGCCGACTTCCAGACAAAACCAGAAATCTTCATCTTCTTGCTTTCTACTCGCGCTGGTGGTTTGGGTATCAACTTGACCGCCGCCGATACCGTCATCTTCTACGACTCAGACTGGAACCCTACTATCGACTCTCAAGCCATGGATCGCGCTCATCGTCTCGGACAGACCAAGCAAGTTACAGTCTACCGCATGATCACTCGTGGCACTATCGAGGAGCGAATCCGCAAGCGAGCCTTACAAAAGGAAGAAGTCCAGCGTGTTGTCATCTCAGGCGGTGGCGGTGCAGGTGTAGATTTCAATACCCGAAGCAAAGACAATCGGAATAAGGATATCGCACTCTGGCTTGCGGATGACGACGAAGCGGAGCTGATTGAGAAAAAGGAACAGGAGATCGCGGCGAAGAGCGAGGAGCAGGGGAAGAAAGGTGGGAGAAAGAAGACTGGAGGGAGGAAGAAGGATGTCAGTTTGGATGATATGTATCATGAGGGTAAGACACCCCTCATATCTATCAACAGTGATGGACAACTGTACTGACGGTGCTTTTGCAACAGGTGAAGGACATTTCGACGACGGCAGCAACAAACCTTCCGGTGCCGCCACCCCCATGGAAGTGCCAGAACCCACGGCGCCGGGGAAGAGAAAGGGCATCAGTAAAAAGGCCAAGACGGCGAAGCAAAGACTTGCTATCGCAGACGGCAGTGGAGCTTGAGGGAACAGATGTGTAAGCTAGGAGACAGGAGTCAAGAGGCAACAACAAAATGGGGACATCAATGGAGCATCATATGCGCGGACTGGTTGAAATTGGGAAGGCCATCTACCGGCCGAATTTTGTACGCTTTGTAATATAGATTGCATGTGAGCATCGATGTGTCGAGTGCATTGCCGGAAGGAGAAGGAAGAGTGATTACCAGGCACAGAGGCTCTTGCGTCCAACCATAGCTGTTGCTTGCCAATGATAAACTCCAGTCTGTGAGCCATCAGTGCAAGACGCCCCCTAAATTACTCGTACAGCAAAGGCCTTGGATCAGGAGTCCGTTATTAACATTCGCCACTAGAATGCTATGCTATTATGGACTTTCCCTTTAAAAGGCTGCTCTCTTAACACCATGATCCAATACTCCCGAAACGTGCATCCAATGCAATCGACAGGACCAAACCCATGTACAAGACAAAAGAAACCACGCCCTCGCTCTACGTACCAGTCAGGGCCTGCTGCCTCATCGTCTGCTCGAACACCTGCAACGCCAGCGCTGGCTGGTAATACGGCACTTCATGCCCCGCTCCATACACCCTCAAGAAGCTGAGGTTGTCGACCGTCTTGAACGTACCGGCTTCCGTCCCGTTGACCGTGTAGGGGGCCAGTGATTTGGCCGCGAAGGAGGAGGTGCCGGAGTAGGTGACGGCGTTGGCGGAGGCGAGACCGCCGAACCAGTTGCAGATCCAGTCGGCGTCGCCAGCCCACATTACTACGCGGATGCCGCTTTGGACGACGGTGGAGAGAGTTGGGAGGAAGTTGCGGGCGTCTGTTTTGGGTTTGTTAGCGGCTATTCGTGTAACCGAAGAGGTAAGCTTACCGTCCCCGGTCGAGGTGAATTTGTTGTAGGGGGCATTTGCGCACTCGGTATAAGTTGCTTTGGCACCGATTGCGCTTGTGACGGATGGCTGGAGTAGGTAGCTAGAGTAGGTGGCTGGTCTACGCAGATTCGGGAGTCAGCATTGCTTATTCGAGGTAGGGAAATGGAATTGCAAGACAAGTCTGGGGAGTAGAAAGGTCTTCGTGCTCCCGACACATATCTTGCGACTCAACTTCATTACCTAATAGGAAGAATCAGCTCCGAAGTGTACGTACGGGTATGGGTCATTGCTTGGTTCACGGATGTCGTAGACATCGAAGTCGTACAATGCAACACCGCCGTTGGCTGAGGTAGAGCTAAGGGGACCTTCAATGTCATTGTAGCAGGTATTGTCGGCGTTCTCACAGGCAGAGTTGGATCCCGTAGTGGCGGTACATTTCGCGAGAAGAGGCGCACAACTCTGTGCATTGGTGTTGGTGAACTGTGTGTGCTGGGCTGCAGTGATAATGGGTTTGTAGGTGTTGTTGTAGGAGAAATCGATGTAGGATTGGGATTGAATGGCGGAATCGTACCAGCCATTGTTGATGCCCAGGGCTATAAGATCGATATTGTCACCCTTCACGCTTCCGGCCTTTATGGCCGCGTTCTGAGATGCGAAATAGCTAGCAAACTCAGGCCCATAATGTCCTCCATACGATTCGGTGAAAATTCCGAATTCGCGACTCTCGTACTGGGGAAATTGTGCGTAGAACGCTTGTAACAATGTCCAGACGTATGGGGCGGCCGTGACCGTGCTTGTGACTGAGTCCGTACCGTAGGAGAAACCGGTTCCAATAGGCTGGTCAACATACAACATATTGGCGTAGGTGTTGAAGCTGTATGGGTTGAGAGACGGGGTGGAGTCACCATTGATGAAGTGACAGGGTCCATTTTCGACGAAGAGCCCGATGGAGGAAGAACAACCAGGACCGCCGTTGAACCAGGTAGCGAGGGGGGCCGTGGTGGGACTATTTCTAGCTTCGAAGAACCAGAACCACCTACATGCTGTCAGGAAATGAGCGAAAAGGGTGAGAGCCGTAGGAGACCATACATGTTCATGTTCGTGCCCACTGACAAGTATCCTGAGTACTGGTTCACGCCGGGCGTAGTCTCACAGATGCCGGAGTTAGTGACGAACTCAAGCTTGGCGCCAGTAGCAGCATGCTCAAACACGGTATAATTAGTACCATCACGTTCGACGAAGGAACGTTTGTCCTTGGCTTGAGAGTCATTGGGAAGGGGGGAGGCGAGGGCAAAGGAGCTCAGGGCGAGCCCAGCGGAGATGACTTGGGAGGAGAAGCGCATGTTGAACAGTAAGAGGAAAAGTAAGAATAGTGTGAAGAACGACGTGGGTTCTTTGGGAAGACATTGCTTGGGGTGTTATATAGAGAAGGCAGCCGAACAGGAATGCATGTCGAGCGGCGGCGAAGCATGAGTGAAGAAGGAGCCATGTATGTGTCTGGTCCGAGTGGTTGTTAGGCACTCGGAAGCAGGAGGCACACGACGTCGATCCAGCAGGTGCATATTCTTCGAAGGGCGAATAGAATGAATGTTTGTGACAAGCCAAGGCTATATTATCACAGGATGAGCGTTAGTTGGCACCCTCCTTTTTGAGATTCTTGTTCCGTTGGGCCTAAGAACCCAGGTACCATATGCACGATACAATAATAGGTAGATACCATGATCCTGGTCCTTTCGTTATGATGACTTTTCCTTTGCTGCATACAAGCAGGAAAGTGGAAGATAAAGGTCAATGTCTCATTGGACCAGGCTTCTTTCTTGGCGTCAAGAATGGAGGTATAATTCGTATTTCGCCACTCATTTCGTAGCCTGAAGCACAATTTCCCCTGAGCCGTGCCTGTGACTGTGACTGTGATTGTGCCTGTGCCTGAGCATGACTACCTGTCGGTGTAGTGTTTCATATTGGATTCTCTGTCTGTCCGCTGGCTGCTTGAGAATGATGAATTGATTCAAAGAGGGGCGAGGACCCGTGCGACTGTGTTTTCTTCGGGGCGGGGACCCGTGTGACCGTGTTTTCTTCGGGGCGATCCCGGCCCCTAGCGTCTAGCGGTTCCCTAGCCTCCGCTTCCGAGGTTGCCTCTTTCTTGGCATCAAGCCTTCCAAGTTCCAGCGCCTTCCCTATTTGATAGCTTGATATAATTCCATCTTCTATTGGTCCGCTGGTCTTTTCCCAAGGGCCAATAGAATATCGATCTAATGTCTTGACAAAATTGCCCAGGGCGCCCCTACGTCCGGCATTCTCTTGGTCTGGCTTTGCTACGGAGTACACAGTACACACTTTCTGCCTCGCTCTGTATCCATGTCTTCGGACAGCCAGGGTGCATTCACACATTCCCAAGCTAGCCTTCAGCTCTTGATGTCCGAGACATGAACAACTTTTCTTATTCATTGCATCGGACATATCTGCCAAGGTTGAGGGACAAGCATCTTTTCCGACATGGCAACTAATAGGCAAGGTGCCCAAATATGGCAGTCGAAAAGGTACATGCCAGAGATGAAAGAAAGTACCAGCGAGACAACATTTCACTCTGTTCCACGCTCTTCTCGTAACAGTCATGAACATTAACGACAGCTTCTTTCGGCTTATTGCCCAGACTCGACGTGAAGGTAACAATCTTTCTGCGCCTCGGTCTGTCACTTTTAAAAAAGGAATGACTCTGGAAAATGTATTACTCACCTTTTGTTTCCGCCTCGGGGCACTCACGAGCGGCGAAACGCAGTGTTTGAATTGTTCGGGCAGGCTGGTGGGCGCCAAGGCGTTTCGAGCGCACAGACTTGGTACAGGTAAGTCCGAAGGGAGCATATCTCCTTTGGCTTCTAATTCAAACATCTTCTGCTCTACATTAACGACGTCGACCATGTTCGTCGACGCAGGATTTCTGACTCCTTTTGGCGTATCCCTCATAAGGCTGAATACGGTATATGGGTGTTGCATTTGCGCTTTCTTATCACCTGCCTCTTTAGGACTTTGGAGAGGATTTCGGCGCCATCGTTTCACATCTTCATTGGCTAGATTGTATCAAGTCTCTAAGCTTTCAAATGTTTATCGTTGTTATCAAGTATCGAACCCCAACGGCGATAAGCGCGCCGTCATCATACATCATGCAATCTGCATGTAAATCCTGGGGGACTCTGAGAATAATGTATTTCTTCATGTCCCTCTTCCAATCCTCGTCTTTTTCAGTGCCACCACAGTAACCACAATCCGAATGCCCTCAATCCAGCCCCTTCCAGTCGGTGTTGGCTATGGTGTCGTTGTTGGAATTGGGTTCTTCTTCGCTGCTGTTATGTGTGGTATCTCGTACATTCAGGTGTGTACTGCATGAATTGGGCCAATGATGACAGTGGCTGACCATGCGCAGAATCGATATACCAGGTTCTCAACGAAAACGAGCGAGGAGTTCAATACTGCCAGTACGCACATTTCAGAGTTTTTCTTCCCCATCTTGTACCAAACATTGAGCCGCAAGACTATGTCTTGGAGCGAACCCCTGCTCCTACTCCTGAGATCTATGTCATTATCCCAGCTTTCGTGCCTTGGTTAAGCAACGCTGACTCCGAAATGTGCGTAGGTAGAAGTGTGAAGCCAGGTTTGATTGCAAGCGGTATCGTGTCCGCATGGACCTGGGCTGCAACTTTGCTTCAGAGTTCAACGGTGGCATATGAATATGGTGTGGCCGGGCCTTTTTGGGTACACAAGTATCCTCTAAATCTTGCGAAAAGGGGCTCATTTGTACTAGTATGCGGCGGGTGCGACTGTACAGATTCTCATGTTCTCGATATTGGCTTGCAAAGTCAAGCAGAACGCTCCGAGATGCCATACATACCTGGAAATCATCTACACCCGTTATGGCGTCCTAACGCATTGGGTCTTCATCTTCTTCGCGCTTCTGACAAACGTTCTAGTCAGCAGCCAGCTTCTCTTGGGCGGCAGTGCAGTTGTCACGTCTCTGACCGGCATGGTACGTACATTTCGGAGCTGATCCTGCCTATTTGGTGTTGAGGTTGAGTCGCAAGACATGTTTCGGGAGTAAGAAGATTGTCCTACTCCTTAGACCTATCTTGCAACTCCACTTCCCACCTCGAAAACAAGCAATGCTGACTCCGAAATCTACGCAGAACGTCTATGCTGCCATCTTTCTTATACCGCTTGGGGTCTGTGTCTATGTAGTGTTGGGCGGTTTACGTGCAACGTTCCTTTGTAAGGCCTCTCGCAAGCACCCGAGGGTGCCTATGCTAACCTGATGACCGAGGTGACTACTCTCACACGCTCATCTTAATGGTCATCATCCTCTACTTCATGTTTTCCGCGTACGCAACGAATTCTCAAATTGGATCTCCATCTGCCATGTATCAGCTTCTCAAACAGGCAGCTCTGAAACGCCCAGTGTCAGGCAATCAAGATGGCTCTTATGTGACGATGAAGAGCAACTTCGCTCTCATCTTTGGCGTGATCCAACTCTGCTCTGGGAGCGGTACCGTTTTTTTGGATCAAGCTTACTGGCAGCGGGCTATTGCAAGCCGACCTACTACTGCTGTCCGGGCATACATTCTTGGAGGTCTAGCTTGGTATGCGATCCCATTCGGCTTTGCCACTACTTTAGGGCTTGCAGCGGTAGCTCTCACAGATTCACCCACCTTCCCAACGTATCCAAACAGCATGACCCAAGCACAGGTCTCTGCCGGCTTGTCGGCACCCTTTGCAGCTACGGCCTTGCTGGGAACAGGTGGCGCTGTGGCCTTGCTGATCGTTCTCTTCATGGCCGTGACTAGCTGTGCTTCAGCAGAGCTCATCGCAGTGTCTTCGATCTTGACCTTCGATATCTTCAAGACTTATATCAAGCCAGCTGCCACACCAGAGCAGCTCATCACCGTCGCACACATCATGATTGGCGTCTGGGGTTTGGTGATGGCTATCGTCGCCTGCATCTGGAATGTCATCGGCATCGACCTAGGCTGGTTGTTCCTAGTTATGGGCCTCCTAATTGGTGGTGCCGTCTTTCCAGCAGCCTTCGCAATCACCTGGAAAGGCCAAACGAAGGCAGGGGCTCTATCAGGAGCTGTGTCCGGGCTTTGTGCTGGGCTTATTGCATGGCTTGTCACCGCGCATCAGTACTATGGGAGCTTGAGCGTATCTACCACTGGAATGGGTATGTATACTTCGGAGCATCTTCTTCCTCTTTCATAGCACGTTTTGATTTGTACGACATGTTTGCGGAGTCAAAGGGTCCTTTACTTCTCCAAAGCTGTCTCACTATTCGGATATTAGCCATGAAGAAGAGATACTGACTCCGAAATGTCCGCAGAGTATCCAACTTTGGCCGGGAATCTCGCCGCCATCATGGTCGGTCTCATCGTCACAGTGGCTGTCTCGCTGGCTAAGCCAGAACCTTTTGACTGGGATACCACACGCTTGATCAACGCACCGCCACCCCTCATCACAACCCCCAGTTCCGGCTCGATCGACAAAGAAGAGAACGAAAAGGACGACCCGAACCAAAACAGCAACCTCCCCACCGTTCGAGACGAGGAGCGAGAGATGCGCGAAGACGAACTAGCAGTCGAAGAACCCAGAAAGCTTCGACGAGCCTTCAAAGTCGCATGCATCGCGTCCTTCCTGCTCACCCTCTCCATGGATTTCCTGATCCCGATACCCATGTTCCTCTCCCACTACATCTTCTCGCAAGGTTTCTTCATCGCTTGGGTGGTCATCACCTTCTGCTGGGTCTTCTGCTCGACGGCCATCTCCGTGATCCTGCCGCTCTGGGAAACTGCGGGCTTTTTCCGGGATCTATACCGAGAGGTCGTGAGAGGGTGAGAGGGTGGGCCGGTGAAGGAAGGGTCTCGCTGCGTTTCGAACGGCGACTTGGAGGCTTAAAGGCAGGGATGCTACATAGAGCCTAGGAGCGACGTAGATCGATAGACTTCAATAGATCTTGATTTTCGCTCCCCACGAAACCCACACCCTTCCTTCCTTCCTTCCTTCCTTCCTTCCAACACAACGCCCCATCCTCACCGCCGAGTGAACAACATCAAGATCGTATCGAAGACCGCCGAGGGTCTTCGAGTACGAACGCCGAGAGGTCCCCAGGGGGGGGCTCCCGTCACCGTAGATTGGAGATCGCATCCCATCGTAGAAATGTACAAAACTCACCCCCACCAACGAGCCCGAGCGGGTATGGTGTCGTAAACGGTAGCGGACCCGTAGATCCCAGGTCGGGGTGTCGGACGTGCTCAGATTTGCCGGAAAAAGGGGAAAGTCGGGGGAGTGGAGGTCGCATCTTACTGACTTCGGGCGGTTTCGATTTGGCTCTCGGGTTTGGAATTTCTTCGGGAAAAGGGTTGGGGACGTTGTTCTGGCTCTGTGCTGTGTGTGTGTGTGTGTGTGTGTGTGTGTGTGTGTGTGGGCCTGAGGGGGATGGCCAGAATGTGTAGGGTCGCAGTGGAGGATGCCTTGGATGGATAGGGGAGAGAGGAATGGTGGCAGAGGAGATGTCTTTCACCCGGCGAGCGCGTGAACAGCAAAGTGGTCACCAACCAGACCAAAACTGAAAGTGGTTCAACCGATGAGCAGAACTTCTTTTCGCATTCTAGCTATGTGCATTTCTAGTCTAGGGGACGAAAACCGAGATGCACAACATTCGCATGCGCGATCAGCAATCGTCTGAGCGAAACGCCTCAGCATGCCCTGCTCCGCGTTGGACTCCTTTTAAACCCCTTGCTTGTTGGTACATCAAGATAACAAAATCTCATCATCGTCCTCATGTCAAGTCCATTTTCTTGTAGAACGCTACCTTGCCTGGTCACTCTTCATCACTAAGTCCATTAGTATATCCGTCTCTGCCTCCGTTGAAAGTAAGCTTGAGCTTGGGGGCTCCGTTGGCACCCGATGCCATTGGCGTACCGACACTCGAGACAGCTGCTGTTGAGCGTCCGTCGGCAGGTGTGGTGTCATCAAAGTCTTGGAGCTGGGGATGCTTCTCCGTGTCTTCTTTCAGCTTCGCCACAGTAGCAGCCTATATCGGAACATCAATCAAGTGCTCAAAGTGTCACAAAGGAAGAGTATAACATACCTCAATCTTATCCGCATCTTGGTAGAGTGGACTGCCATCCTCATTGTAGAGCCTGGCATTATCGCATAGAAGGCGAATGTCCTCCCTATATTCCTTCAGGCTCCGGTACTCCTTCTTGTTGATCTTTTTCTCGATCTGCTCCATGCATATAGGGTTACGGATGAGCACGTAGTAGTCGGGGTAGTCGTTTTTCGGTACCAGCTTGATGAAAGGATCAATGAAGCCTTTGATTAGTGGGCCACCTTCGTCATCCTCCTCGCCGGGAACCTCTTCTTCAAGGTCCATGAGATACTGATAATTGCTATTGAGGATCTTCTGAAGGAGGTTGCGCTCACTCGTGCTGAGAGTCTCAATAGCTTTGCTAAGCCGTGCACCACCACGTTTTTTCTTGGGCGCTGGCTCATCGTCGACGTCCTCGTCCGCTTTACGCTTTGCACCGGCTGACTTGCGGTTACGCTTCTTAGATGAAGGGGCCACGGAGCTGTCCCTGGATATGTCGGGAGAACTCTCTTCTCCTGCAGCTTTCTTCGCCCGCTTATCTTTGTTCGCGTTGCGCCTGTCGATCTTGGCATGTTTTCGAGCCATGGCATCCTCGATGGTATCTTCGTCGTCATCAACAGCAGCCAACCATTGCTCTTCAGTGAGCCCGTCATCATATTTGACCCGCGTTCTCTCGCGAGCCCCACGACCAGCGATCTCCTCAATCTCTTCAGCGATGGGATTGTCCTCTTGCATATAAATATCCGGAAGTTCGTCCTCGCCCATCAATCGAGGAAGCTTGTCCTCTTCTGGACCGTATCTTGCGTTTTGAGCTCGCTCCTCATCCATTTTTCTGAAGAGCGTAACTTCGTTCTCTGACCTAGCCATGATCTGGTTCAAATCATCGTCGTCCATTTCTTCTTGCTCTGCCCCCGCCTCTGCAGCCTCGGCGCTGTCGAGCAAGGTCCTCAGCATGGCATCTCGCTCTTCGTTTGTGGACTTGTTGTCGAATCGGCCAGCTTGAATGACTTTGCCATCCATATCCAACTTGTACTGAGCTCGTTCGAGAATCTTCTCTTCAATGGAGTTGGAGCTGATCAATCTCAAGATGCGGACTTCGTTCTTCTGACCTATACGATGAGCACGATCTTGGGCTTGCAAGTCCTGGTGAGGATTCCAATCCGAGTCATAGATGATGACAGTATCAGCGGTTTGAAGGTTCAAGCCGAGACCTCCGGCACGTGTTGAAAGCAGAAAGCAGAAGTATGGTGATTCTGGATCGTTGAATTGTGATAGCAGCTCCGACCGGTCGTCGGACTTCGTCGACCCGTCAAGTCGTAGATACTGCATTTCTCTAAGTCGTAAAAAATCTTCCATGATGTTCATGATCTGGGTCATCTGGAAGAACATCAATACCCGATGGCCTGAAGCCTTGAACTTGGGTAATATGCGATCGAGAAGCTCGAATTTGCCAGCGGTACGCCACAGCATATCGTTGCTGTAATGCGTAGGGTTCATTTGATCTTCCACCTGCTCGAACACGAATGGATGGTTGCATAATTTGCGCAATTGCATCAGCATATTGCTGAGACCGCGAATGCCGGTCTTGCCGCCTTTGCCATCCGTAACGGAGATCTTGTTGTTTTTGACCAATTGTTGGTACAGCTTCGCCTGCAAGGCCGAAAATTTGCATTTGACCACTCTCTCTTGCTTGTCGGGTAGGTCTTTCTCGACATCTTTCTTGAGGCGACGTAGCAAGAATGGTCTAAGGACCTTGTGCAACCGACGAATGACTAGCAGTTGCTCTTCTTCGGTGAGCTCCATCTTGTCCTGACCTCCGGTATTAGCGAATGGAGTATTAAACCATTCGTCAAATGATTTGACCGATTTGAAAATAGTCGGTAAGACGAAGTTAAGGAGAGCCCACAGCTCTGGAAGATTGTTCTGCAGAGGAGTCCCGGTCAAAATGAGACGATAGCGCGTGTTGTAGTACTGAGTCAGGGTGTTGCTGAGCTTGGACTGGGCATTCTTCATACGATGTCCTTCGTCAACGATCATATGGACCCACTTGATTCTGCTGAGGACAGGTTTGTCTTTGATGATGTATTCGTAGGTGGTGAGGAGAACCTGAAAGTTGCCGTACCGGATCTGCGACTGTTGCTGTTTGCGAGCAAGGGGAGGCCCTTTGTAGACAATTCTGGATACTGTAGGTGCCCATTTCTCGAATTCGAGGTTCCAGTTCGTAAGCGTACTTAGAGGCACAATGACGAGGAATGGACCATTTTGCTTCTTCTTCTCGATGAGATATGTGAGCAAACTGATGGTCTGAATAGTCTTTCCGAGACCCATTTCGTCTGCGAGGATACCGTTGAGGTTGTTGTTGTAGAGCGATATCATCCATTGGAGACCCTTGACCTGGTACTCCTTCAACGTTCCACCTTCGAGATTACTGGGTTGCACCTTGATCTCTTCCTTGATACGATGGGCGACCTGATAATAGTCCACCTTAGGCCCGCCCTCCACTTCATCCTCGCTTTCACTAAGATCGTCCTCGGGCATCTCCACTTCAGGATTATACTGTTCGACAGCACCCCTCTGCTGCTGTTTCACGGAAGCAGCAAGCTGGCTTAAGAAACCATCCGTTTGCTTTAACAAGTGTGAAATGCGGGAGTCCTTCGCCTGGCCAAGAAGCTTAAGGTATGTCTCTTCGTCATCGTTTCTCAACGCTTGTAGACGCTGTTTCGCAGTTCTCTCGACACGCTTCTGCTCCTCTTTCTCGATGTGCTGATGCTGCGCCAGCATCATTCGACCTAGCTTCTGCACTCTGACCCTTTGCGTTTCGGCTGCTTTCTTTATTTCTTCGCCATGCATGAGTATCGACTGAATGTGGTCGTTCTGCTTTTTCTTCTCCTTTGTTTCCCTAGCATCTCGCTGTTGCTTCTCTAACTTTTCGGTCATGCGAGCTTCACGAAGAGACTGCCTCTTCTGTCGCCGGTACATCGAACGGTTGGCAGTTTGAGCTAGATTGTCGTAGTGCACCAAATCTCTGTGAACTTGTTGGCGTAAGGCACGTTGCTTCGGAAGCAAGCAAAGCATCTTATATTCAATGAGGGCTTTCCGCTTTAGGGAGTCGTCCTCTTGCGGCGTGTCACTCTTGCTTGTGTCCCACACAGCAAGATTGGCGGGCAGACTCTCGAGCTCTGTTTTCCTTGACGTGATACGATTGTAAGCAATGCGCTCGCGCTCGTCCCGGATACGGTCCCCATCCACACCAGCTAAAGCTCGGCTCTCGTACAGATCCAGCTTTCGCGACGTCAGAAGGTTGGAAATGCCAAGCTCGCGATCACGACGGAGTCGATTGACGTCGACACCGGTTGGCATCAAAGGATACACTTGAATCCGGTTTGCTCTGACGGTGTGGTTCGCATAACTGATGCTAGGCTTGATGTAATTGTGGGGATCGCTGTACGTTTTGTGCATATGTAGTCGCTCCTTGTCCTTTGCATCCTTCTGCTTCGTCGTGCGATGGACGTCTTCTAGGACCTGACTGGCAGCTGCGACAGCCTGCGCAACCGTTGGTGGCTGCTTGCTTTGCTGTGATTTAAATAGCTGCTGTTGCAGAGCAGGAGGTATCGCAGCATTCTTGCTGAGCATTTTGAACGCCAATATCTGGTTCTTAAGGATTCGCATCTGCTCATCTGATAGACTGCCATTGCTGTCAGCCTGTTGCTTTGGCGGTGAGCTCGCCGCTTTCTCCACGTTGCCTGTGAGTTGCATTGTTGCAGAGCCAGATGCAGTTGCCGAAGTGGCTTGGGCCGATAATATACCATTTGACGTGGTGGTGGGTGCATGTCCTGGCATTCTGTATCAGTACTCACTCGTTGTGGCATGATGATATGTTACATACCGTTGACGCCATTGGTCTCTCCACCATGATGCTGCTGCTGACCTTGTTGAGCCTGTTGCTGAGCCTGTTGTTTCAAATACTCTGCCTGTTGGCTCCTGAACCGTGACTGTTTTTGTACCGCGGACAGGATATTTTGCAGTTTTAGGAATTCCGGGTCATCTGACCGGACGCCTTGATCTTTCAGCTGCTTGTATTTCTATCGAAATGTTAGCCCAAGTTTGAGAATACTCTGAAATGAGAGGTACTAGGTTGCGAAAGGTGTTGAAAAATGAAATTGTGGGAAATCTTACGGAATAGGTCTCAGTGATGGCAGCCTGGGTGAGACCCTGAGGAAGGTTGGGCGCAGTTTGGACAGAAGCCATGGCGGCGGCCGGGATTAATGATTATGATTGTCGTAGATGCGGTAGTAGTCAGCAAGCGGAGGTGTTGAGACGCGGCGCAAGCGAGTGGAGGAATGGATGATAGGGCAAGGCGCCGTGGGATGGAAGAAGCGCAATGCGAGAATGAATGAGAGGTTGATTGCCGGGGTCGGTGTGAATGGCAAGCTTGGCAAAGGAAGGGTGACCCTTCAACGCGTCTCGGGAGACGTGTTGAAGGTTGTGAAGCTTTTGTATGGCAAAAGGGTGATGGCGGGGTCCGAGGCACAACTTTTGGTTGATGAAGCGTATGCTGCAAAGTTGGTCACTCTCCCTTCCCTGAGGTGGAGATTTTAGCGTCTGATTCTGCCAAGCCACTAGACTACGGCTATCCCTGAGTATATTTACGCCGTTTTCCCAACTTTCGGTCGTACTAGGTTTGTGTGGCATAATGACCTAGTACTTTGGCAAACAATCTTGTAAATAACAGCACCTGTCTTCATACGGCTGTTATCAAAGTCTAAGCTACACACTGCTCACGCTTTAAATCCGCGTAGCCAATTTGAAAGGAACCACCGGGGTCCTCTCCTTGGCCAATACTCTCATTGCCCAGAACCCAAAGACAGAGTCTCCTCGCCCGGCAATGATCCTTCGGGGTATACGACTGATGAGTCTGGTAAGACCGATCTCCAGACCTCTCAATACAACCTCCAACGCCAGGTCACAAGCATTCTGCCAATGCCAGATTTCACCGAGACCGACAACGCCCAACTCTAATGCAGTTGGATCAGCTCATGCGTATGAGACGTTAGTAGTACTGAGCGCGCTTCGTTTCATCGGCGGTGGAGGAGGCGGTGGTTTCTTTGCTCTCGACGGCGGAGGCGGTGGTGCTTGCTTCTTACCATTCGGAGCTGATGTCAGTGTAGAGTAGCTCGTACTACGGGATGGCGCGGCGCTGCCGTGTGAAGTAGCGGGCGAGGCAGACCTCTCCTTGTACGACCGATCAGGACTGCTGTTGCTGTTGAAATTAGACTCGTCGGAAGGATCACTGAAAAGATCGTTCTCTGGGCTGATAGTAGATAAAGGCCGCAGCTGTGCCCGCTGGTTTCGAACAGTAAAGTTATTACTTGGAACCCGTGACATTCGCCGTGGAGGCGAAGCATCCCGATAGAGCTGTGTTGGACCTTCGAAAGTTGTTGCGCGGTTCACGCCAGGCCGGGCGGAGCTATGTTCGTACCCGTTCACTTCTTTTCGAGGAGACTCGACAGAAGGAACATAAGAAGATGCTGCGCGTGTAGAGCGAATGGCTGGCCGATTCTCCACCACGGGGAGAGGCTCTTCTTCTATTGGATTGTATCTGTCCCCGTACGCATGTGCGGTATTGGAACGTGATCGAGACTCCCGGCGGTTGTCTCCACCATCAGCTTCGGTTTTTCTGAAGACTTCGGTCAACCTAGAGAAGAAGGAGCTGTCTTATCGTAGAGTCTTACCCTGCAGGCCAATTTTGCTTCAGCTGCATTAATACATCGCGACAGCGGTCGTAATACTTGAGCTCGGCATCCACGAATGATCCGAGGTCAGCAACGCTGTCGACCTCTGCCTCTTTGATCTTTGCCATCGTTAGCTTTGTAATGGTGAGGGATATTCTACGTAGTGCTCACGTCCTGCATCCGGCGGTAAACGTCCTCGCTGGTTTCTTCGTATTTGGCTTTCTGTGACCGCAGCTCTTCTTCCACTTTGAAGTCCTCTTTCTTCGCTTTCTGCATCTTAGCTAAGGATGCATCGTAGGCTAGTCGACGGCTCTCCAACTTCTTTCGTGCAGACTGCACTCGTCAGATCTGCCCTTTGCGCGGATGAACAGGACCTACTTGGTATTCCTTCATCTGTGCGAGGGATCTCTCGAGCGACTCAAGCCAGCTTGTAGTCGCATTTGCAACGTAGGTCTCTTGAATGCGACCAATCCTTTCATTCGTCCTGCCCATGCCTGCGCCAGCGTTAGCCTTGAGAATGAGGGTGTCAACAGTGAAAATCACTCATGAGGCATTGGCCAAACTCTGAATCGTCCTCAAAATCCTCGCCATGATTGACCATTGTCGAACCCAGGTAAGCAACTGGTAGGATCTTCTCCTTATCGTCCCCCTCTTGGCGTTTTGATAACGTTTTGACGTAGGCTGTCATTGATCGTTGAAGGCGCTCCATGCCTGGAAGCAGTTAGTCCAGGATCATCTGGGAAGAGTGATAGCGCTCTGTGCTACCTTCTTGCCTCAGGCCCATCTCTACCTCCAGCGATTTAAAGTCGTCCGAGACGCTTGTCTTGACCTCACCACCCATTCTTTCCCCCGCCCATTGCTTGAACCTGCCGAGCTTCTTATTGACGTTCATATTGTGGATTGCTGCTGTTTGGTGGTAGCTTTCTCAGTGGTGAGCAGGTTTTGGTCCGGAATGTAGGAGTGGACACGATGCCAATGCCGTGAACTGATGTCCTCAAGAGCCGTGGGTGTTCCAAGATCCAGCTAGAACAAACGATGAGAGTTTCGAAGATGCTTTGGAACGACAGACAAGAACGAAGGAGAAAGAGGATCTGGAATAATCTTGAAAAGTTGGCTGTTGATGTTAATGAATTGTTAAGAAGCAATAATAAAGATGCAGCTAACCCCACTTCATTCGGGATCGAGGACGTGACGCACTAATGCCAAGAATAGCAGCCAATCAAAGGAATCCATCAAAGGGGCTGCTTTTGACACGATCACTACCTTACGTATCCAGATTATAGGCTTTCGCTCCATCTACAAGCCATCAAATATCTATTTTTTTTTGGGAGCGGTAATACAATTGTTTCAGATTTCTAGGCTTGTTTCGTACTTGGACGTCTCCTTGTTTGATTCGCACGATACGTATGTTCATGTTTCATTTGACACATGACGAGTCCGGTTTGAGGCCGCTATTTCGGAAGACAAAAGGCTGGTCTTGCTGAAGCTATAAAATTCCTCACATTATCGTTTGTTCAAAACGCCTCACACTCTTAATCTTTGGTTTTCTGCGTGCCTCGTAGTAATCCCGTCCGCCTAGCTGCAATGAGACCTGCTTTTTGACCCTGTGCTGCATACCGTGAAATCGTCGACGCTTTACCAATATGTTGATGATTACCGCCTCCGTGAGGCTAGACAAATGTGTTAAAATAACAGTTGCAGATTCAAAAGTGGAGGGAACCCTTACATGGTCGACTGGGTTCATGGCAACACCACGAGTCTTGGGCCACGAGTTGCGCTTCACAGCGAACTTATGCTTGGCACGGGAGGCCTCTAGAAGCTCGATTAGTCTGTGTCTGTGAACACGCCACAATGACCCAGTTAATGACATACTCAACAGTGGTTTGTCTGTTCGTCCACCTCCTGCCACAATGCCAATCATGCCCCTCGCGCTGCTCTTGATGACCTTCTTTGCACCACTGGGTAGCTTGACTCTCGTCTTTCCCTCATCAGGATTGTGGCCGATGACCGTAACGTAATTTCCCGATGTCCGCCCCAAGACACCACGATCGCCCATCTTCTCCTCCACATTCGTCACCACTGTACCTTCGGGTACGGAGCCCAAGGGCAGGACGTTTCCAACGGTGAGAGTAGCCTTCTTGCCAGCATAGATAAATTGCCCGGTGTACATGCCCTCGTTGGCGATGAACGTTTCTGTATGGAGTTTGAAGCGGTAGGGGTCACGGAATTGCACTTTGGCCAGTGGTGCCCCTCGGCCAGGATCGTGAATGATGTCTTTGACGACGCCTCGGATGTATCCATGCTTTTCTGCGAAATCAAGGGTTCGGAATTGCGCTGGGGCCTTATTCAGGCGAGTATGGGCCGCTGGTCATCTGTATTAGGTGCAAGTCATCTGGGGCTGTCTTGAGGGGGACGTACTGAAGATGGATCCACGACCCTTCCTCTGGTTGCGGATCACTCGACCCATCGTGGCTTACTGAATATGGCTGTCAGCTATGACATAGGTATGCTCTAGGCGTCTACTGACCAAAAGAAGTCGATGCGTTTGAAATTTGTAAGTCGTTCAGTTCGGATCTGCACTTTGTGGGAGGACTCGCTTGGCTCAGCATTAGCGGGGCGCTAATTTTTGAGCCGCCGTAGCAACCTCACTTCGCGCCGTGGACCTCTTCTGTCTTCCATCGTCACTGCGCTGGGGTTGTTTTGCATAATCAATTCGTGGTAGAGGCTGGCCACGGATACCTTTTGAAAGCTCTATATCAAGCTGCTTTCTACAAAATGTCCCATCGCCCAGAAGTCCCTCATCCCAACGATGACGCCGCTCAAGTCGAGGAGTTTCTCATCAAAAATTTCCTCGTTCTCAACGCTAGAAAAGATCGAACCGAAGCCAAGCTAAAGGCTCAGAAAACAATAGTCGACGGGAGCGGATTGTATGAAATTTCAGAAGAGGATTGGCGCGCAAAATATGGCATTCAAGGAGTGATATATACGACGAGCTGCAACGTAGCAAATATGGCTACGTAGGAATCCAATTAACTTTCCCATTATACTTATCCAAAATTTACGATTGATGATGGTTTAAGCATAGCACAGAAATTGTTGGCAAAGTATTATTTTGGCTGGAAAGATTATTCTCGCCATCGGGGTTGGAGCAGGTGTCAAAGATGCCATTACTAAAAAGGCCGTCGGAAGCTCCGGAATCTTCATTACTTGTGCTGTTGCAGTCACAGTCAATAGCTTTGCTTACCTCTTCTGTGGAAGCAAATGGATCTTTAACAGTGGATGGAGCTGGGAACGACTGAAGATACGACACACAGGTGTTCCGAGAGGGCATGGATATGGGGATTCTGAAAGATCGCATAATGGCTGTCGCTGATGATTAACGAGTCTTTCAAAAGTCTATGCGTACAATCACCAGTCTGGCACCTTCCAGATTACTGGTCCCTTGTGTCCAAATCACAATCAGCTTTCTTATTGCGTTGCTTTGCGCTGGGTATCGCGTTTATCATGGCTGCAACGTCGGCCTCGGCCTGTTTTCCCATAGCTGCAGACGTCTTTGATCATGTATTACCAATGACATCGTTTGTCTGGAAACATCCTTTCTCAAAAATATTGTATGGAGGCGGATTGCTTACAGAATATCATCATGGCGCAATTGCTCCGTTCTGTTGTATTGGTGTCGAGACCCTCGAGCCGAGACACGGGCGCAAAATCTCCAAAATCTACGCATAGCCTCTGGCCGGGATTCAAGGAAACAGTACGATGCGACATGGACACTTACATCGCAATCCGTCATGCGACATCTGGGGTTGCATGGAATGGCTGAATAACACGTTTCACTGGGATGATGGAGCGTGGAGATGTGGAATGGGTGTTGGCGAGGAAAGATCGCGTCTGCGCCCAATCCTGCACCTCGCCAGCAACTATCAAAGGATGGCAATGCTTGCCATGTGTCATTACTCGGCTCCACATAATGGTTTCATTTATGGGAACAGGAGCTGAGTGATAGCATTGAGACTACCTAGGCGTCGAACTTGAAGCTAGAACGATACCTATCAATTCAGATTTAAACGCAAATCGCGCTCCCGTAAGATGTAGTCCGTTCATCTAATTTCACGCTTTTCTGACCCAAAGTTGGGAGCTCCTAGCTGACATAAAACCCCCCAAACAAGAAACGCCAATGTCTTCCTCAGAGCTCTCTGACATCTCTTCATCACTATCCAGTGATGAGGGCATCGCGTCAGTCCCGATTCCAAAGGGCAAACTCGACCATTATTTCAAGCAAGGCTTGAGCGCAACACCGACGTCGCCGCCCGCAAAGAAAAAGCGCCCACCTTCGCCGGCCCACGAATACGTTCTCGCAGACAACCCGGACATTGCTGTAAGTACTATAGATGGTCGATCCTATGTTGCCAAATGCTGCGCGCCTTGGCCGGCAGGAAAGCATTGCTGATCCCTTTGACACGCAGTTCCTCTGCATGTTCCGCTCGCGCTTCAGTGACGCCTTTCCAAAATCATTTCCCCATTATGGGCCGCAGGACATTGAGCGTGGCGTGATAGATCCAATACCTGGCGACCAAGTCGAAAGACTGCTATGTGCTCTGCTGGGCTTGGTGTTGAACAGGAAGAAGGACATCGAGTAGGTCCTCAACGATTCATACACATAGCTATTTTGCCCAAACCCTATAAGATTTATACATTTCCCCTTTTCTCCACTGACTATGGCGTCTTTCGTGAATAGGAAGGGTCATTACACCCGGGCACTAGAGGAGGCAATACAGACGCACAACTCTCAATGGCCTCGCGTGTGGAATGGCAAGAATCCCCTTCATGGGGGAGGCAGCTTCAACAAGATGAGCCCGGAGGAGCGAGTGCGTGTGGATAGAAGCTGCTGAAACGTATGCCGATCGCTGACTCATTGTGCACAGCTTACACTCCTCAAGGCGCTTGCCATATGGTCACTTGAGTCCTCAGAAGCCGTGAAAGCCATCATAAAAGAGTCATACAAGCAGTCTCGTCACGATGATGATCTCAACCAGCCTCTTTCGGTGCAAGCCTGGGGTCGAGACGGCGACAAGCGCAGGTTCTGGCTCATCGAAGGGCAGGACGACACGCATTTCCGACTCTACCGCGAAAGTAACCCGGCTCTGAAGAATAACACATGGCGCAGCGTTGCGGGAACTATCGATGAGGTCAAAGAGGTCGCCCAGCGTCTGGATGAGGAGAATACCCAGGCTTCACGGCGGTTGCGTGACCGCATAAATGCAGCTGTACCTCGTTTTGAAGCATCTGAAGAGGTCAGTCCATTAAGTGGGGATATTGTGACTCTATCTAAGACGGCTGATGATACTGCTCCAGAAACGAAGACGGAGAGACTATCGTCTGGCCCGCAAAGCACAATTCGTACGGCCGGAACCAGGCTTCTCCCTCTACGAGGGTCGGACCCGTGGGAAGCGACCAAGATATACTTACTCGGATGAAGAAGACGAAGGCTCAGACGCGCTGTCTACACGACGATCGAACCGACAATCGGGCATCTCGACTCCGGCGGAGTCACATGGACCTACCTTTACGGCCAGCGGTCGACAGGTCAGATCTAGGCACGGTGGTGCATATGGCGAAATAATGTTGAGTGGGCAGCAAGATACCACGGGACACTCTAGAATCGGTGATTTAGACGGAGCCGAGCACGACGACGATGAGGATGAGCCAGTAAATCGTGGGCTCCCTCGAAGGGCTGCGCGACAGAACAGAGTCAAAACCAAACCTCTTTCCGGAAAGCACACCGAAGTTAACGACTCTCTGGGTTCAATGGATGACGAAAGCGACGCGACTTCAAGTGGGAATGAATGGGACGGAGGAGACGAAGATGAGCCTGATGACCACGTTGATGACGACGAAGAAGATGAGGATGTTGATATGAGTGACAATTCAGGGGCTGAAGAAGATGGAGACGACCCTCGACAAAGCCTGGTGGTGTCTTTACGATATATAAAGAGCCGCCCCTCTCCACCGAGCCAAGACACGCCGAAAGTTGCTGCAATCTCTAAGGACCACAGTATTGCCCAAATGACGAGCGGCAATTCAAAGGGATCGTCAGAGACGGCTTATTCGACAGACGACCTAACCAAGCCCTTACAAGATGCGCCCAAATCCACCCAAGATGCAGCGCATACCCAATACTCAAGGTCCACCGCAGCTGCGTAATACGCTGCTCCCACAGACCCACGGCCTCAAGCCGGCCACTCTGGTCAAAGCACCCCAATTGCTCCAGAAAAGTATCACACCCCATTTCATGCCAACCACTCCCAGCCTGAGGAGCACCCTGCACCAACCGCCTCATGGTCACGCCCAGAAACAGGCGTGGTGGCACCTAATCGCACTCAGATGTAGCTGGTTACCTACATCAGTGTACACGCTCCTGTCGAAATCTTGCAGACGCCCAAGCTGTCATACTGTAATATTAAGAGTAGATTGCAGTATTTTAATGGACTCATTGTTGCCTTGAACCTCCTAGACAGCTTCATAGCTCAGACAAACCATGAATTCGTATCAAGCTCACTGGTTTCCGCTCTCCTTGTGCGGTGCTATCTACACAATCTGTTAAGAACGAGCCATTGACCCCGAATCAGCCAACCCCATAGCCTGCTCTGCATTCCAGCGCGCCAAGATGGCAATATACTGCTTTGATAACAGTGCCGCTAGTTCGTGCCCTCCATTGTTCACCCAGCCTCTGTCACAACAATGTGAAGCCGCCTGCGCCTGAGGCTCCTCATCGAATTGGGCGTGAGCGCTTTGCTGAAGAATGGCTTAACATCTGCCTCCGATCGGCTCTAACGATCCCCAATGTGGCCTGTATGTGGTATGCTATACGGCCCGCGATTTCGGCCGAGCCCCATAGCCAGCGCTTCCCAACCGTATGACTCGGGACAGCAACATGCATCCACCCATCATTTACTCATCCCTTGACTTCATCCTCTGGAATACTCGGAATGCTCCAGTTATTTACCCCCCACCACCATCGTCTGACCTTACCCCCCAGGTTCCGCCCACTGAACGAAGCGCCTCTGTTCCAGTGCCTCCAGCCACTCAACGCCAGCGTCCACAACGTCCCCTGGACAAGCGGCAACAGGACCTGGTCCCTTCCTGTTATCCACGCAATTCCATACCAAGTATCCACCCCGTGTAAACTTGCCAAGTAGCTCTGTTCGAAACGGAGGTCCGGGAGAGGAGGGAGATTTGTGCGGCGAGGGACTGGTTTGACTGCGGAGGAGGGGATGCTGTTTTCGGAGCTGGCGATGGAGGTTGTGGGGGAAACGGGGCGTTTGGTGGAGGCCGCGGTCGAAGGGTTGAGATCGTGGGCGGGATCAGGGTTGTGTTTTATGGAGGCGGATTGGATGGTGGAGGCTATGTCTACTGCTGGGTTTGACATTGTGGGCGATGCTGCGGTGGTTGTTGAGAATGAATTGCGGTATTCGGTCTTGGAATTGTACCCTAGCGTTCGCGGGTAGAGCTCCGACTCAATGCGCTAGCCTAGTTTGGCCGCAGATGTCAAAAAGTTAACCACACGAGTATGATATTCCTTCGGTATCTGGCCATTCCAGTCCAATTTCGCTCACAATGGCGAGCCGACGGGTACCATACGTTCTCCAGTCACTATCCTTGAGGAAGAGAAGTTTTCGGAGTTTCCAATGCCTCTACTCGAGCCGCAAAGCATCAACCTTCAATGGCATGACCGAGCTCTCCGAGGATGTCGATCCCTTGTCCTCAATGCAAACCCCCGGACCCTCAGAAGAGCATCGCGCATCATTCGACCCCATAGCACGAAGTAGACGACGGAAGACGCCCTTACCATCCAGCAGGTCAGCCTCCGCACTCTGCACCTTTAACCATTCTATTACTCCTCTCGAACCCCTACAGCATCCAGTTCCCTTGAACGCTATCCGCTTACATGCCCCAGATACAAATTCCGATCTCCAAAATACTACCGCGGCCCCCTCCACCCGCATCAACCACCGCCCGCCACCGACCCCGACTCCCGCGAATTTATCCCGGGGCCCTTCTCCCTCCCCCGTCTCCAGCAAACCTACCACTCAACCGTCGCCCCCGATCTCCTGACCCTGATGTACAAACATCACCCGCCCGGCACCCTCCCCGGACCCTCAGAACCCCGTCTGCGCTCTTGGGACGGCAGCTCGCCATATCACAAGAACCGACCACTGCGGGGACCGAGGGGAGGACCTACGCTGCTGCTACTGCGGCGGCCCATCACTTTCAGAAACATCCCGAGGCTCGAAAAGATCCACGTGCACAGCTTCTTGAAGGGAGCCGGCTCCGACGCCGCCCACCTGCAGGTGGCAGGCATGATCATGCAGGCCATCACCAACGTGCGCGCGACCGTGTTCCGCGCCAAACACACCATCACCAATTTCGACCTGCGGAAAGGAAACCCTTGCAGCGTAGGGGTGGAACTAAGGGGAGAGGATATGTACAATTTCCTCGCCAAGGTGACCGAGGTGGTGATGCCAAGGATTAAAGAATATAAGGGGGTGTGGGGGAAGAGTGGAGATAGCAGTGGGGACATTGCGTGGCGATTTGGATCGGAGACGGTGGGGACGTTTCCGGAGATAGAAATCAATTATGATGCGTGAGTGGTCCTATGCTCTTCACCTCTGTTGTTACGGGATGGATTGGGGGAAAGGGATGTTGGTATGGGGTGTTGACTGACATGTTAGAATTATAGATATCCGCCGAAGATGATTCCGGAAATCCATATCATTGTTTGCACAACGGCTACGAATGATAAGGATGCGAGATTGTTGTTGAGCTCGATGGGCGTGCCATTTCATGGGAAGCATATAAATTAAATGAGGCGGGCGTGTACAACATACGGGTCTCAAAGCGATTGTATAGCATGTGGGAAAGACCCTCATCCGGATGGCCCCAAAGCAGCAGTCGTTTTATCTTTCCCACTCCACAATCCACGCTGCGTATGTACGGACTGGCAATGTCTACCACTGTACCAATCTTAGACTAATCCTAACTCCAGCGCTATGCCTCGTGGTGTTACTTTTCCTTTGCCGCTAATGTTCAAATACACGCTCCAAAAGCTCGACCCCTTCTGGCAAGATCACATCGCCGAGCACTCTCTGTCAGGCTTTCCATCTTTGTGCCTTCCCTTCACGAGGTGCTGATGATCCCGGCGATTTGCTCTGCTTTTCTCCTTGGCTTCCTTTCTTAGAGTCCCCTTGTCGTGAGCTTTCTCATCTCCGGTCGAGGCAGCTACGGGAATCTCAGAGACTTTTGATACATGATCTTCTGCTTGGGTTGGCACACCGAGCGGGGTATTGAGTTTGTCTCGTGACATTGCGTTTGCTAATCGAGATAATGATGTGCTCATCCTGTTATCGTCCACTCGGCTGCTGGGTCTGCTTTTCGAACTCGACTTCGTAGTCTTGGAGCCTCGGCGGGAGGCCGCCAGAGTGTTGAGCCCGTTCATTTGCCCCAATCCAAGGTTTGATGTGGGCGAGAAATCGATATTGGTGCTGCTTACGCTGTCGTCGGCAAAGCCGACACTTTGCCGCCTCTCAACGCTGGACCGGCCTCGAGGATCCTCATCGGATGCCGAAGCATCAAAACTTGGCCTGCGAATCTCAAAACTAGGCCGTTGCATCTCGGAGCTCCCACTCTGATGTGAGGGGACGGTCACAGAGAGGCCGCCGACGGCAGAGTCAACGTTTGAGTCACGACTAATAGCTGACTCGGAATAAGCTGGAGGGTTCTCACTGCTTAGCACTTGCGTTTCGCCATCCGCGATATTGGCTGGGTCGCCTTCAATTGGGATGACTTGGTAGAACAAGAGGTACGGAGATTCCACGCCAAGGAACTGCTCGACGTTGGTGTAGGTAACCCTCTCCTTGGCCAAGTCGTCGAAGCGCATCCACCGATCTTCGCCGTTTTTCAGTGGATCTGGGCTACGGACCAAGCTGATGTAGTGGCCCGATTCGACGGAGACGCCTTGATGACAGACTACTGTTTGTAAAAAGAGTTTGAAATTGCCGAATGCAGGACCATCTTCGGCCATTCTGTCGTCTTGGATGAAATGAGGTAGACCGATTTCTAATGGAATATCGACATGTGTTTTCCGCTTGACCGCAGTCCCGTTGGGTAGCATGGAATACCTTTTCAAGCAAATGCCGAGGATAGGTCTTGAAGATGAGAAGTGCGCAGCAACTTGGGCGTCGTTACTAGGCACGTTGTTCGTATACCAAGGTATTAGACTAAAGAACTGCCAAGCAGGCATCATGACTTCCTTTCTCAAACGGCCACCCCGACCTCTTGGCTCTTCGGCGATAGATGGAGAGCGAGCAAGAATTCCAACTTTTTCATCTATGTAATGCTCTTGGATGATGCTAGGTGTTCGATGCCGTTGGTGAGTTAACGCTATTGGCGAGACTGGTATTGCAGACACCTGCGGCTGCAGCACCTTGGGCGACGATGGTGGTGAGTTGTCGAGTTCGGCAACCTCAAAATGCGAAGCGTGGGCTTTTGTTGAATCAAAGGACTGGTGTGAGCGTATCGAATTGAGAGTACCTCTCCGCTCAAGCGAGTCGAGATATCGTTTCACTTCGATCTTATTGTTGAAGAACATCTCGAGGCACTCCTCAAGAGTGATCACATGTCCATCAAGAGGCTCTTCGGGGATGGCAAGTTCCAACAACCGCTCGTTGATAAATTTGTGATCATCGTTTGTATCTTCCTTCCCAGTGTGGAATATATCCATTCTAAAAGTAAGCAAAGGTAGAGCAAGGGTGGACGTGATGAATGTAAAAGCCTCAGAAGCATCCTGCTGACACAGCTCGGCGGCTTCTGTCCAACCGCAATGAGATAGTTGAAGTTGTATTTGCTTTGTCTATGTCGAATCAGTTTGATGTTGCATCTTGTGGTATGCCAACATGGCAACGTACGATATCCGTGGTGATCAATTTTCCTGCCCTGAGAATATTTACCCATAGTCTCAGCAAAGTGGCCAGGCGTTTCCTAGGCGCGTCCTCGAAATCCTTGTATAACATTGCTTCAAAGCTGCCCCTAGCGAACATGGCGAACAGCAGCGCGTCCAAGTAACAAGTGACTCCCTCCCGGTTGATTGCTCCAAGTAACTTTACATTAGGATTGTAGTTCCGGATGATGCCTTCCTCCGACTCTTTCAGCAGCGAAAGCAGTTCGTATGCTTTCCCCGAATCTCCTTGGGCATAGGCGCCAGTCAAAACGTACGCAATGTCGTCGTCTTTGAAGGTTGTGATTCCATTCCGCGCAAGTCGTTGTGAGAGAGTTTTAATCTATCCTAGTCAGTCCCACATCCAACGTCTCTTGTCGATATCACACCTTCTTCTCCTCCTCTTTTTCAGGGGGCTTGACCTCTTCGCCCTCGAAGAAACCGTTGAGGTGCCCACTATAGCGTTTAGGCTGCAGGAGGAAGCCACCAGAGTCAGCAGTGCAACATTCAACCAATCCATCAAGTGCTTTTAGACGTGGGGATCGCTTGGTGACGAGTGTCGAGAATGCTAAAGACAGCGAAGAGAAGGAAGAATAGGAGCTGTTTCTTGATCTTGTGGAGGAAGGAGTCGGGGTCGGCGAAGGCGTGGAGGCTGAAGAAGACATTACTTTATCTTTGTGTGTCCCATGCGAATTCTTGTCTTTCCGGCTAAGAAATCTATTGATAGTGCTCATACTGGATCAAGTATGCCAAAACAAAGTTGGCAGGAGCCGCCTCGGATGCATGTATTCGGGACCGTTGCCTGACAATCCTCACGAAACGGCTTTGCGACGTGAATCTAGGGGCTGTCGACGATGGGCAATGAATCCACAAGTCATTGCTATAAAGATCATTCTCAATTAGAAGCAATGTGAGTGATGTATTGGTACTTTATTGTGTTGACAACTTCGAGGGCCCCACATGCCGAGAGAAGCCCCGAGACCGCCTCGCCCAGTAAAGTAAGCCTAGAATAAGAAGATCCGCGCGGGAGCATTAGCGTTAGGGCCCTTCGCTACGAAGCTGTCCTGACTCCTGACCCTGAAACCATGCAGGTGCAGGTGCGGGTAATTATGCATCCCGCAACATCAACTCAATTGATGAGGTCTATTGTCCGTAGAATGCTCTTCCAACATCCTTTCACCCCAGCCCACATCATAAGATACCCCAGCTATCATTCCTCGTAACAATTGGATTCGGCATACAGTTCACTTGCTATCAAAGTATTGTACATTATAACCAGATCAAATATCTGGGAGCAAAGTCCAAGGGGCACAATCTGGCGCCTCTTCCTACTTCGTAGTAAGGCCCAAAGGACCCATTGCTCTATGGTCAGCCGCGTCGATCTTCCATCATGTCACATAATAAAAAAGACAGGCCAAGCGCGTTTTGTGATTGATCCCCACCAAACCACCATATCAACCACAACACAAGCATGAGAAAGAGCAAAGCCAAGAAGACACAAAGGTTTAGCCCGGCGGCCAGCACTACAACCCAAAGCGCGTCGCGAAAGCCAAGGAAGCACGAAGACCGACCACAACCATCAACGCCACTATTCTAAAATCATCTTATGTAGCTACATGACAAGGATCAACGAGACTTAATTCGATAAAAACCGCACCGCCGAGAGTATATTCTCAAGAGGAATCTAGGAAACCCGAAGCCCTAGGAAAGATGGGTACAAACTTCCTAACGACATCAAATATTAAAACGCAAAAAAAGCCCAGCGAGAGCGTAAGAAGCACGAGGAGAATACGAAAAGATAGAGATGTTTCAGACTAAAGACTGGATAAACGGGGATCTCTAATAACGAGAAGGCTTAAGGCGTGAATCGCTCACTTAGTGGCAAGTAGAAGAAAGAAGCATTACGCTCGGGATCCAGAAACGAGATAACTCAGTGTATTTCGGCGGGAGGAGTATACCACCATTTCACTGAAAGGACCCACAACCAAAATGGAAGAACGACTGCCCGCAGAACGCTAGCGCCTTCAAAATTCGAAGATCAATACAAGATGTTTGAGCATTTCGAGTTACACACGTCGTTTTTAACTAGGCGATGGAGACACGATCTTAGATGGCTTGGATCTATTTATCTAGAAATTTGCTGTTGGCCCAAAAAACAAGACGCCTTGTTCGACTCCTAATTCTACACACATCATAGCCACTAGAGAGGCTCTTTCAGCCATTCAAAACTATTATACGAGGCTGTGACAACCAATTCGCCAGAAAGCAGGACTTTGAAGACAGACTTCTAGCAGTATTCAATTAAGAGATCTCAAACATCACGACCCAACTATCAAACCGCCTTTCGAAAGATTGGTTTCGGCCCTACAATCCGAGGTAGGTTAGAAAAGATAGACTCTACAACCTCGGCGATTACACCGAGTCCCACCCCCTACCGTAGTACACCATAAAGCGAAGATGTTATAAATCGGTCAGTACTTGAGAAGCTCTGAAGACCCAGGGCTTATTATTCCACGCGTTTCGGGGCCATTAGCCAAGTTTGCAAAGGATCTATAGCCAACGGATTTTCAAGGAAATCGCTGAACGGGATCTTGAAGCCTTCACAACGAGGCTTTGGTTAAGCGGGACGTAAAACACTGCGGAACGGTTGCTCAGAAGGGTGGATGGAGCGTAGATCAAGTACGCAAATCTCTATATGGGAAGAAACAGCCAAAGAAAGGAGAAAGGCGTGAAACGGGCTACTCGAGCGGAGGAAATCCAAAAGAAAAGGCCAACAAGGCCATCAAATCTCGCCTTAAATAGTTGGATAATGATGTTTAAAAGCTAGTCCACGCTCACAAGGAGGTTTTTATTAATAGTCTAATGGTTAGGCGAGATATTAGAAGAATTAGGAGGATATGTAGAACACGCGCAATTGAGCCTAGTGCGCAATTGGATGTCGGACCACTATGAGCGAAGCGAGTAGTGGGCGACGATTAATATTACAGCCGTCTCAGGCCAATCCCTTCAAACAGCTCACTGAAACCCTGAGCGGCCTCGTCCAAGCCGGCAAAGATCCAATCCTGTTCGAACTCCCAAGACCTTCAACTTCCTTTCTATGTCATTCATCAAGCCATTCTGGTCAAGCAATTTGCTTCAAAAACGGCGAGAGTAACAACTCGTTAGCGCTCGGTCTCTTCTCATGATCAATCTCGAACGTCTTGCTCAAGAACTCCTGGCCCTCTTCACTAGCATTCTCTGGCGTGGTCGGCTTCGCACTCGAGTTCCCAATTTGGAAAATTGCCTGCAATTGTGAACAATTTGGGAAAGGATGCGTTCCTGTGAACATCTCCACGATCAGACAGCCCAATGACCAGATGTCCGCTTTGCGGGTATAGGAGGTTTGCTTAACGACTTCCGGAGCCATCCAGAAAACGGATCCTTGAAGAGACGGACGGTGCATGTGGCCACCGTTCTTCTGAGGCTGGAGTAGGGCAGAGGCTTCGACACGCTTGGAGATACCAAAGTCAGAAATCTTAATGTTGCCTTTGTTGTCAACAAGTACGTTGGCGCCCTTGATATCTCGGTGAATGATGTCCCTTCCGTGCAGATATGACAAGCCGGCAAGGATCTGGCGGACGAAGTTGCGAATGAGAGGTTCTTGGAGCTGACCGTAGGAATTGAGCATTGCTGCCACCGAACCACCAGGGACATACTCAAGGAAGATGTTGAAGTGCTGATCGTCAGAATTGGAGCCAAGGTATTGGACTATATTCTCGTGCTGAAGATCACGCAGAAGATCAATTTCATGCTTGAGAGCGGCAAGCATACTCTCCTTTCGCTTGTCCAATGTGCTATTGCTGTGGGCGGACGGAACCTCAACTTGTTTGACTGCCATGAGTTCCCCAGTGACTGCGTGGAGAGCAAGGTAGACACTGCCGAAAGAACCTTGGCCAATGAGGGCACCCTGCATCCATTTGACGTTGTCCCATGAATCACCTTTGAGGAACTGATTTAGCTCTTCGTCAGGCTCCTCACCATCTGCGGCGATGGCGTGGGTTAGATGATCGTTGATTGAGCCACCGGCCTCTGTTGTAGGCCCACTGCTGCCTGACTCATCAAAATAGCTCTGGAGCGCTGCGTGCGAGGTGTCGGAATCAGTGCCGTTGGTACCACCCATTTGCGAGTCGCTCTCGAATGAGACGTATGACTTTCTATTGGGCTCAACAGGAGATTCCTCTTGCAACGGTTGGAGAGAGCTGGAGGCGATCGAGTCACGATACTGAGGGTTGGCAAATCGGGAGACAGACAAAGGCCGGGGTCCACGAGCGTTTGAAGCTCCCGTCAACCAAGCGTCTGCAATATTCGGAAGTGGAGGAGCATCTTTGAGACTCGATGTCCAACTGGCATTGCTTGCTACGCTGATCCGGCTTGCTGCTTTGCTTAAACGAGCAGACCTCCGCATGGACATTCGGACCGTCCTCTCAATCGTTTCCTTCTGATGATCTGGGAAGTATGTTGTCAATTCTTGGCTGATCAGTTCGCTAGGTGGTCTGCCACCGAGGAATTCCTTTATCTTCGGCTTCGATCGTGAGTCCGATCGGGCCGGAGGGTCTCCCCATCCTTGGGACGTTGAGCTTCCACTTCGGTCTCGTGCTCGTGGTGGTTGAAAGGTTGCTGGAGACAGAGGGTAGGACACGTCACGCCAGGACTCGCCTGTTAGCTTCTGCACTTTAAGCTGGCTGCGAGGATTGTTGGATGAAAGTGCATTGGCATGCATCTCATTCTGTTCCTCCATGGCGATGCTGGCAGCTTTCCTGAGCTCCTCATCATCTGGCTCGCCAGCGTGCTTTTTCTCAGAATTAGTCTCCCACGCTCATTCTTATCATAAGGATCTGAACAATATTCCACAAGTTCCACATCAGTGAGCTTATGGGTGTTATTCAAGTCTTGACCAGTTCCATCAAGATTCCAAAAGCAGTAGTTCCTGGACTGATTCTCAGGCAGGTTGAGCTTCCTCAGCACACTCAAGATGATATCCTCCAGAGTCCTGCAATTTTTGATGTCCAGTACTTTCGTTTGGCCCCCACCGTAGATAACACGTATCACAGGCGAACCTACAGGGAGTTTGCCGACTGTGGAGTCCATGCCGGGATTTTGTCGGGTCGGTTGACTTGTTTGACTTGGTGTTGATGGTCGTGGACCAGTGGAGGTCTTGGCGGAAGGTGGAGCATTGAAGTACCCGTCCTTCCGGGCAGTCGCCAGAGGGCTCATACCGCCAAGACGTTGAGATCTGAGTTTGTTGACGCCGTCTGACTCGGCAAGGGGCGAGCTTGGTCTCGGGTTGCCATTAGCAGCGTGCATATTATCCAAAGCGGAAAGGTCGACTCTTTGCGACCACCGCTTCCTTGCAGATTCAGAAGTATGAGAGCGATCTCTTGCTGTGTTGAAATCTCGTGGAGAGCGTGATGAAGACGAGGGCGTGTAGGGCGTATGTGCTTGACGATTGTCTAGGGCAGCCAAGGAGTCTCTATTCCGCTTTTTGTGGTTGCCGACAGCTTTTGTTCTCAGCTGCTTAATGGCAACGAATATTCGGACACGATCTCCAATCTTCTTGATTCCCATCTCCTTGAGCACAAGCTGATCACACTCAATAAGGTTATTCCCCGTGACATTATTCACTAAGAAATTGTCAGTGAACTTGGCCAGGAAACAAGCGTCACGATTCCATTTTATTAGGGGTTCCAGGTGTCCTTGTCAATAGGTAGGGGAGATTCTACCTTTGAAGAGCTGCTCGTACTGAGCGCAGTTGATGGCACGCAGCCACTCTCCAACACGTTTCTCGTCCCAGGAACTGCAACGGATCACTGTCAGTAATGGCTCTCGTGATGATACCCTCGCAGCGTCTTCTTAGGATAGATAGCGTACCGGATTGAATCTTGTCCATCGCTGGGCTCCGAGAACTCTGACTCGGTAGGACTCAAAAATGCAGCATTTTGTGAAGTTTGCGCAGCGGAAGCCTTATGATTTGAGAAGTTGAGAGCGTATTGTGAGACCACTGATGGCTGAGTGGGACCCATGCCCATCGATGAACCGTACGGAGCCTTGGAGGCAAGGACCGCCATTTTCTATCCACCTCCCTTCGCTGTCCGTCTATTGTGCGGTGTTGAAATGAAGCATTAGATTAGTCCTGCTGATGCGGATGAAAAGGCGATAGACAAAGGATCCAAGGCGGAGGGGCCCTAGGACAAAGCCGGAATGAACTAGATGCTGAGGCTGTACAGCTGGACCGTCGTACTATGCGAAAGATGCAGGAAGCCTCAAGAGATTGTGAATGAGGGATTTCCAGGAAAATAACAGTCAGACTGAGCGAATGTTGGTGGAGAAGGTTTTGCTTTGGCGTTCGTGACGGCTTCGAAGACTACGGGGCGTTTGAGATGTGGTAAGAGGCGGCCAAGATTGGCAGAACATGTGACGACTACCGAGAGTCCGGCTGACGATGCTGAATAGATGAGGAGCTGATAGAAGTATGATAGATACAGCGATCTTTGACGGAAAAGAGGATGGTTCTGACGGTGAGCTGAGCACAAGTGACTAGTGGATCAGGATGCGCCAAAGACGTTTCAAATCAACAGCACTGCTATCGCTTCTAAGTGAATAGATTTTATACTACGATCTTGTCTGATGATTCAATTCGCATGTTATTAATATTGTTGGCTTCAAGTTCACTCGATTCTACACTGTCTGCTCCACGCCTCAGTTATTATTTCTCGTAGAACTTTCATGTCTTTTGCAATGGCCACATCCACCAGACGGTACTGAAGCGTTTCAGTTCTATTTTTACCTACGTCATTGCTTGGCACTAATACTCGATAGCGTGTCGACTTCTATCTTCTATACGAGTGCTGTGGAGCAAAGGCCGTTGCCTGATACTTGATTGAGATTCGTACTCACTGCTCAGCATCCCTGTGAGGATTGTGATTGTGATTTTGATGTTGACACCGCCTCACCCTCACCACAAATGTACTTCCAATCGCAATTTGCAAGTCATGCTTATGCTGATTTCAGCTTTGCCTCCCCCGTCGGCGTCGGCGCGCATCCCGAAACGGGAGTTTGATGCGACCTTTTTTTTTTTTTTTTTTTTTTTTTTTTTTTTTTTTTTTTTTTTTTTTTCGTTGGGGGGGTTGTTTTTTTTGGCAACAGATAGGTTTCGCAAATTTTGAAACTACCACAGTTGTATACCCTCGTCAAGTCTTCTCACAATACAGCACTAAAATAACACCCGCAATCTAAAATCAGGCCACTAGTTGGCTTTAATGTTGCCAAGGTTGATTTATTGGCTACACTTCGCTGGCAAGGCTGTGTTCTATGGAACAACTTAAACGAAGAATGGGGGTCAAATGTTGAGACATGGAATCCGAGACGCCACTGTCACCTAACTCAGTTCCGAAACTCCAACATTGACCATGCTGATGTGTAACGTAAATATTAAATTACTGTAGACGAGCTAGCGTAGACTGGGACGAAGACAATGTGCCTGGAGAGTCGTCCTTGCTTGAGGAGGTCCTTCCGAATCTTGTAGCATAAAAGAGACCCACTTTCAATTCCCTACAACAACAAGCTCTACTGAAGTCAGCCACTGGAGGACCAATGGGTTGCAAGCACACGGCTTTTGTCTTTATACGGAGGAAGATCGTGAAGCAATGAATAACATGCAGGAGCTAGACGATGCGTCTCTGCCCATCTTCAAGGTCGAAAGGGTACAGCTACAATTCTCCATCTCGTCCGACTTTGTCGCTGCTCAGGTAGCCAACAATGTCCTGATTCTGGCCCTTTCAACAGGGCGTATCTTACGGATAGACCTCGATAGTCCGTCGGACATTGATGGTAGGCGCCCCAAGTCTCCTACAAGTGGGTCTGATTTAACGAGTATCACATAGATATCGATCTGCCCAGAAAGACGTCAGAGATTGGCCTGATTCGACGCATGTTCCTCGATCCCTCCGCCTCCCACCTCATCATCAATACGACACTGGGGGAGAATTACTACCTCCATACACAATCGAGGCAGCCCAAACCGCTTGCGCGCTTGAAGGGCGTCGGCATTGAGGCCATAGCATGGAACCCATCCCTCCCCACAGCATCTACGCGGGAGATTCTCGTTGGAGCTGCAGATGGTAACGTCTACGAAGATTATATTGAACCGTCCAGCGAGTTCTATCGCAATCAAGAGAAGTATCTGAAGGCGGTTTACAAGGCGCAGGATGGACCAGTGGCAGGATTATGGGTAGACCTCATACCTGGCAGGGTGGATACTCGCCGAGTGATAGTGGCAACGCCGAGCAAGCTGTTACATTTTGTAGGAAAGATAGGTCGACCTGGACAAGAAGGTTCAGGATCAATATTCACCAAGTTGTTCGAGACTGAAGCTCCAACGCTACATGAGATGACTCCCAGTACCAGGTCTTCACCATCAGCGCTGGCTGTATCTCCGGACTCTCCAGAATCTCAAAGTGGCGAAGGCGATGAGGTTGAGCGCGTGTACGCCTGGCTTTCAGCACAAGGTATACTCCACGGCAAGTTGCAGACAAATACGAGGTCGGCGAGCTTGGGCAGCACCGTATTCAACAACTCCAAGATGATCTCAAGGTCTCAAATACCCCTTTCGCAGAGCGCCAGTGGCCGGAAAAAGCCGACACAAGAACCGATAGCGGGTGTTGCGCTCTCGCAATGGCATGTACTCTGCTTAGTTGAAGGCAGAATTGTAGCATTGCACAGGCTCGATGAACACGTCGTATATGATCAGGTCGTACTCGAGCCTGGTGAGAGCGCGCTTTGCCTTTTGGCTGATCAAAAAAAGAATACATACTGGCTCTTCACTAACGAGGTTATCTTCGAGATTGTGGTGACCGACGAGGATCGAGATGTATGGAAAATCATGCTCAAGTCGCAGCAGTTCAGTCTTGCAACTCAGTATGCGAAAACACCGTCGCAGAAAGATGCAGTGGCGATGGCCTGTGGAGACTACCTGATCAGCAAAGGCCAATATCTTGAGGCTGCCAATGTCTATGGGAAGAGCAGCAGGCCGTTCGAGCAGGTAGCTCTGACTTTCATTGATCACAGCGAACAGGATGCATTACGAAGATACCTTTTGACAAAGATAGCAACATACAGGAGGTCATCCATTATGCAGAGAACGATGATTGCTAGCTGGCTTGTTGAGATCTTCATGTCAAAATTGAACTCGCTTGATGATACCATCACGACCAAAGCACAATTGACAGAGAGTACTACTACTGCAGACACCAAGGATGATCTTGCCAGTGTCCGAACGGAATTTGAAGATTTCGTGAATAGATACAAAGGCGACCTGGATCGGAAAACTACTTACGAGATTATCAGCAGTCATGCACGAGAGCAAGAATTATTGTCGTACGCAACGGCAATCGATGACTACAACTACGTACTGTCATACTGGGTACAACGAGAAAGATGGCAGGAGTCGTTGGATGTTCTGAAGAAGCAGACCGACCCTTCCATCTTTTACAGGTACGGGAGCGTCCTCATGGTCCACGCCGCAACCGAGCTCGTCGACATCCTCATGCGTCACCCTGATCTCGATCCTCTCAAGCTGATTCCCGCCCTTTTGAATTACAACAAATCAAAATCCAATACTCCACTCGCCCAAAATCAAGCTGTGCGCTACCTTCTCTTCTGTATCAATGCGCTACACACCACAGTCCCCGCTATTCACAATACCCTCATCTCAATATATGCTTCACACCCTTCCCCCTCGGAGAACGCTCTTCTCTCCTACCTTTCCACCAGCTCATTGTCCAACCCTCCACCCTACGATACGGACTTCGCCTTCCGACTTTGCATCCAAAATTCTCGCGTCCAGTCCGCGGTCCATATCTACACCTCCATGGGCTCCTATGCCTCAGCAGTCGACCTGGCTCTCAAACATGGCGAGATAGATCTTGCTTCTCTCGTCGCTGACCGACCCGGCTCCACTGACTCTGCCTTACGTAAGAGGCTCTGGCTGGCCGTTGCGAAGAAGGTCATCAGCCAGCAGGGAACAGGCAGCATCAAAACCGCCATTGACTTCCTCAAGCGATGTGACCTGTTGCGAATAGAAGATCTGATCCCTTTCTTCCCTGACTTCGTGGTCATTGATGATTTCAAAGACGAAATCTGTGCAGCACTAGAGTCGTATTCACGCTCGATAGCTTCACTGGAATCAGAAATGGACGCCTCGGCTGCGACGGCCGAATCTATCAAGACAGATATCAAGCAGCTTGACAGGCGGTATGCCATTGTAGAGCCAGGCGAAAGGTGCAGGGTATGTGAATTGCCATTGCTTAGTAGGCAGTTCTTCGTCTTCCCAAGTTGTCAGCACGGATTTCATAGTGACTGTCTGGGGAAGAAGGTGTTGGATGGAAGTGGATTGACAGTGAGGGGAAGAATACGTGAATTACAAGCGCAAATTGGGCGAGGGGGGAGGAGAGAGAAGGAGGGAAGAGAATTGGATGCTTTGGTTGCCGGTCAATGGTAAGCTTCCTTGATCTGTGAGCATTTGTATTCTGACACCGAACTGTGAATAGTATTCTCTGTGGCGATCTCGCAATCAAGGCAATCGAGGAACCCTTCATCTCTGACGCGGACGACGGTGAGGAATGGGCCATATAGCCTTATCAGTGAAAGTTCACCGCGAACGATAAGACACTCGTAATGATTGCCCTCAGCATGGTGAAGAAAGCCGCCGCTCCACTGGCTGGACGGAATATTTTGAGTGTTTGAGTGTTTGCATACACCCATTTGAAGAATCTTCCCTCAGGCATCCTGGGATATCTGAAATCCCCCCCCCCCCACAAACCTTCTCCTCCTCCTTCCTCTTCTTCTCCTCCTTCCTCCTCTCTTCCTTCCTCTTCCCCTTCCCCTTCTTCCAACGAAAACCCACCTGATATAGACCCCGTACTAGTACATCCACTGTACCAACTCTAGATTCGCATCCCTATAACCTGATATCCACCACTATTGACAACGTGCAACTGCGACAATCTGTCTTCTCGACGTCCTTGCGCATTTATCGCAAGCGACCACTGCAGCCTTTTGTCTCTGACGGACGCCCTGAATGGAGATACTGGCTCTCCCTCTTGCATCTGTTTGCTTCTGTTTGCGTCTGCCTTGGACTGGCTGAGTTTGAGCGGAGGCATTCCTCGATGGGATTTTCGAATGTGAAAGGTTCGGGGCATTAATCAGTAAGAAACACAAGCAGGCGGTCAAGGAGGCGAAGCTGCTTGAGTGGGTAAATGCCATGTATTGGATCAACTACATAGGTAGCTAATCTAATGTCATCGCATGCGTTTCCTCCAGCCAGTCTTGCTCTTCGATGTTCTGATCCCCAGTCTCCTTTGTGTTCTGTTGAGAGACGGGTGAGGATGAAACCACGCAGCAAAAGCAACCTCAACCAGCCAGATTCTACAATGGAGGGTTTAAAGCCCCCACCCACTCGACGTCGTCCAGGCTCTCGCGCGACGTCTTCGCATGAGCATCCCGGCGCCAATCCCGTACCTTTGCATCGACATTCTCCTTCCTGCTACCCTTGTCCCATCCACCGTTCCCAGAGAACACCTTCAACCCAAAACCAGTGCGCCAATTCCCAGTGTTCGTCGCTTTCCGACTCGTCTCCGGCATAGACTCTGGCCCATGATTGTACTGACGCCTACGGTTGCCTAGTGCAGACCACTTGTCCATGATGGAACGCTTTGGAGTAGAATCCTGAGTAATCCCCCTTTTTAGAACAGGAGAGAAGTTTCTCTTCGGAGGAGGGGAGTAGCGTGGTGCTGCTTCCTCGAACATGAACACATCGCTGTCGTTCACTATGTCTGTAGTTGCACGCTTCAACTGGTGGGGACTTTGGGTCCTGGCATTAGCTGAAGAGTCCTTGATCTCTGAAAGACCGCTGCGTTGAAGAGTGGGGTCATTGTCTTTGCTCTCCTGGCTCCAAGTTCGGCTATTGTACTCGCGTCTCTTATCGACTACCTCCTCGCGCTTCATGAACTCGTCCTCCTCATCTTCGTCGTAAATGTCGGTCCAGCTTTTCGAGACTGAGCTATTCTTCTTGCCGAACACGGACGAAAGAGATGTTATGCGTGAGGGCAATGATGAAGGTACAGGAACCGGATTGGAGCGAAGAGGGTGGCGAGGAGCGGGAGCTTGCAAGGCCATCGATTTGACAGATGCACCAAGGATGGAATCCAGACCAGAAGTGGTAGACGAATTTTGAGCGAAAGAGTACCAAGAGTTTCGATCCTTTTCAGAAGCAGGAAAGAGGTCTTCGGTGTAACTTTCCGTATCAGGGACGGCAGACAGCTGGCGTCGGTGTGGGCTCATATGAAGGGCCTTGGACCATGGGAAAGCACCAACCTGATCAACGGGAGGACTGGAGATGGATGGTGTTCGGAAAGGCTCCCGATTGGCACTTGGAGGAGCGACGTCACGAGCCTCGGTGCAGAAGTCATCCAGGACCTCTTCGTCTGTAGTGAAACTGACTACGTTCATGAGTGCATCACGGACGGCAGACAAGGAACGCTTGGTGGGGTCGATAGCCAACGCGTGAACCAAAACTCCGAATGTGTCCTGAGACATGTTCGGGAAGATGTCGAAGAGAGCTTGGGTATCTCGTGCAAAGTCGGTGAACAGCTTATCCGAATCCGTTGGTGTCACGAACGGGTTGCGTGAAAAAAGTATGTTCAACAAGCAGATACCAATGGCCCAGGTATCAGCTTTTGCAGGAGAGTATCCACTGTCTGTAGGGTCGTATTGTTCAGGAGCCATATATCTGTCACTGCCAACGCAAGCTTCATGTGACCAAGCGTCAGTGGTAGCCAGCCCAAGGTCACCGAGCTTCATGGAGCCATCCTCGGAAAGGAAGATATTCTCCGGCTTGATATCTCGGTGGTAGAGCCCCTTGGCGTGCATGAACTCAACAGCATCGACCAGTTGCAGCATGAACTCTCGCACTTTGTTGGTCTCAAGAGGTCCACGATCAAGACGGATTGCTTCGTACAGATCACCCATGGAGCAGTATTCCAGGACCAGGTAGATGTGGGCCTTGGTCTCGAACGAGCCAAGGAGGTTGACAATGTTCGGGTGATGACCAAGGCGGCCATGGCAGGCAAGCTCCACTGAGTTCTCATCGACGTCGACTGCAGGGCAATCCTGTTCCGCTGAAGCCTTGCTCAAACATTTGATGGCGACGAGATCACCATTGCTCGTGTCCTTCGCCAGGAAGACCATACCAAATGATCCATGGTTCAGCGGAGACACTGACTCATAACGCCCATCTAACACCAACCCTTCGCTGAACTGATTCTTCATACACTCCATCTCCCTCCTAAAGCAAACAACCAAAGTGGAACGGTATATAAGGCGACGAAAATACAGGCTTGCTGACAGGGTGCAAAGGTGACTTTTGGCGTAGATAGTACACGAGAAGTTGTCTCAAAACTTAGGTGGAAGCACCTGACTTAAGTAGTGACGTGGTGACAGCCCGGGGAGACCAGGTCCCGGGCTGACGTACTGTGTCGATGATGTGTCGAAGAATGGTGACGGTACGCAACAAAGCTGGAAGCGACCTTTGAGATTATACTGAAGAAAAGCAAGTACGAGACAAAACGCTCCGCCCGCCGTTCATAGACCAAAAACTCCGTCTTGTTCTATCAGAGGCTCATGTGCAAGGTATAAGGATGATTCTTCGTGTTGATCAAAGGAAACACGCTGACGCTGTGGTATCGTGAAAGGCTGCGTATGTACGTGCAAAGGAGTCGAGAGGCGTTACGTGAACATCCGGATTATTGAAGGCTTAGGTTGGAATCGTTGTAGCGAGAGCGTCGAATAGGATAGCTTTCAAAGCGAAGGAGAGGACGTCGACCAAGATCAACAGGCAATGAGATTAGGAATTGGGTATGTCGCTGCTGCGTAAAGTCGTGAAGTGGAGGAGAGTTGGCCAGAGGCTATGAGTTTGACGGAAGTCGGCGGACACCAAAGTCCGTAGGACGGATTGACACTCCGAGGGTGTTGATTTGCAATGGAGATGATCACCAGAAATATCGTAGACGTTGGATTGATTGAGTGAGGAAGATGAGACCTGGCATTCGAAGGCTTGAAGCTGAGATGCGAGTGGGTCTTTATCCCGTCTCGATTGTCACGAGCTACAAGCCAAGATGTAGCCCGCCAGATGTTCGTCGATTCTTCAAGTGAGCTAGATTCAAGACCTTGAAGCTAGAAGTTTGATGACCATCACTCGGTCACAGGCAGGCGGGCTTCAAGGCAACAGTATACGTCGTTGTGACTCAATTGCTGGGAGTCTCAGGCAGGAATGACCAGTCGATGGCGTGAAGGCGAGAAGGAAAAGAGTTTTAATGACTCGAGTTTAGCTGGATGTAGGCGGAAAGGCCGAGTTGTTGGTGCAGGTGATGGGGACGAGGAATGGAATCGAGGGAGGGACGCTTGGAAAAAGACAAAGCAAAGAGGAAGAACAATGACTGAGGTAGGTAATTGACAAGTAGGATCAGAACATTGATGATGTTCTATGTAGCTCTTGAAGTAGGATCATGGTTGAGGATATTGGTTGAGGTAGGGTGGGTAGGAGAGAGAGGTTGGCTGAAGCTCGGACGAAGCAACAGGTTTATGGGGAACAGTCGGACTAAGGTACTTTAGCGTAAGATTGCGCTATTCTGTCAACACATTTGGTGCTACGGTGCGTTGCTGTCCAAACAAGAGAGACCCTGGCTACGGCTAGGATGAAAACGGACTAGTCTATTGATACGCCTCTTCATTCCGGCATCGCAGAGTTTCCACGTCTTTCTTTCAATTCAGGCCAAAGAATAAAGGACAAGACCAAGACCAAGGCGGTTAGGCAAAAATAGCTCGATACGAGACCTTTTGGTTGGCATGTGATGAGCGTTGGACCGCCCGGACAAATGCAGGCTTAGCGCTGTTATGTGCCTAGTGCCTAGTGCCTACGGTCTCAACTCCGACGGAAGTTGGCAAGTTTGAGACTGGTTTGAAATTGCGCCGGCTTGCAGCAGGAAAAAAGGTACTCGGTTGCATCTGTTGGCTGAATGGGCGATGCTTCCTCCAAAGCTCTCCGAATGCAAATCTCCCTGGAGCAAGCTGAAGATGGTACTCGTATGTCACACGCAGTTCAAATACAGCTGTCCTATCGATGATGCTTTCAAATCCAAGACTATTATTCCCAGGCGACTAAAATGCAAATATACATTACTTCATCGTCATGCTCTTCCTAATCTTAAATGCGATCGCATGATGGCGGATAGAAATTAAAATTTCTTTGATCTTGTGCATCATCCATATGACATGATGACATGATGACACTAAGACTGCTTCAGCCAATGGAAGAAGAAGGCTCAGCTGATAGGCAGCTCTGGATGGGGACTACGTCAGATCCACCCCCACCGCCAAGCCCGCCAAGAGTCCAAACTTCCCTTTGTTTCGTCTTTTCCCCTCTGGCCACGTCTCACACATCCAAACGCCCCCAACCTTTTGCCACTCCCTGCAAGTCCTAACGCTTTTATGCAGCCTTCGATCGCTTTTATGCAAGTGTGCGCACCTCTAACCGACTTGGCCAAGTCGACTCGTACAAGTAACCTCATATGGTATGA